GAAAATTTTTCAGATCATTTCTGAGTTTTTTTATGAAACATTTTTGGACTTTTTAGACGTCATGCCTCACTCCATAAGCATACGTGTGTTTTAAAGGTTAAAAGTACGAAATGGATCACAGGTATTAACCGATGCTGCCTGCAAAGGGAATAGGAAGAGCTATTTTAAACTGGGATGCATCAGATAAACATCTCAGACTGTTTCCTGTCTGGAAGTGAGAAGATGTTCGGCTGGCAGCGAAAAGAAGTTCCTGCTCCTCTTAACGAGTTCAGAGTCTTTTCCAGCTGAGAACAAAGAAAGAAAACCGACACAGATCATCTCAGCAGTTTGTTTGTCATGTTGAACCGACGAGGTGAAGCAACAAAAACATTTATCCACGGTTTTCACATTCAGGCAGATTGGATGCTTTTAAAGATGGTTTTTAACGCAGCTCAGTTTGTGTTTAAAAGCTACAGATGTATTGAAATTACAGCAGAATGAAGTAAATAAAGGTGTCTTCAGGCTGCAGGTGAGACATCACCTGCAGCCTGGGCAGTTTCTCAGGGCGGCAGTAGGAAGGGGCGTTGGGCTCAAGAAGGAGAGAAATGTTTTCTTCTCTACTTTCTGCTGAAAAAAGAAAAGAAAAATCCTGCAAGAACCACCTGGTCTCTGCAAGACATGACAGCCGCTTTGCTGTCTCTACTGGTTTAATTGTCAAATAATTGATTAATTGTTAACTTGGCTGTACTCAGTCTAAAAAAAGCCAATTGCTTAAAGAACATTTTTAGAATTGTAATTATGCAAAAACTGACTGAAAATCTTTACATTTTGCAATTAAGATAAAGAAGTTGTTGAAGTCCTCAAACAGCATTTCAGCTCCAACTGGTTCAAATTCTCCTGTTGCTTTCCAATTACTAACCAGTTTACTAAAAACATAATAATCTAACAAGAAAGTTTAGGTCTACTTTATTTTGAAAAGGGATCAAAATGATTTATCATATAAATCGTGATAAATCAAAATTGTCATCAACTACTTTAGTAATCGATTGTTAACTGGAGAATTTTTAAGGCTTACAGCTACACTACATCCACCGTCGCCTCCAAACTATATCAGAATGCTGTTGTATAACTTCAATATGTCGATCCATCGTTTGCCCTCCAACATAGCATTTCCTGTTCTTCTTTTAGTGAAGTATCGGTGTTCGTTTTGTATTTCTTATCTATCTTTTTTTTTTTGAGGACCAAACTCCAAATCCAGTGTACTTTCCTGTGTGTAGTGCATCATTGTGGCACATCGTGTTAAAATTTCCGATCTATGCATTTTGCTAAAAGAAGAACAAATTTAGAGCAGTAATTAAACCAAAACTGTTTAAAAGATAAATTCATTTTACATTTAGGATAAAAAAAAACTGGTTTGTCTTTGAATATATTTAACCCAGATTGACTCAATTTCACTTAATTTAAATTCTGTAGAATCTCCTAGTCAGAACCTGTAGCTGCACAATTAATCTGTTTATGGAAAAATAATCAAAAGAGAAAGTTTGGGTCAGCTTAGTACTGTGATTAATTAATTCTTGAAATGATTGGTTGAAGTGAACTCTGGTGCAGTTCGAATGCATATTTGAATGCCAAGCGGGCTGGAAACCGCTCCATAAACAGGAAGTGGGTTAACGAGTAGGGCATTCTGGGTAAATACAAAAAAAAACAAACGCGTCAGCTTAGAGCTAGCAGGAAGAATGAGAGAAATCCTCCGACCGCTGAAATCTGATGCCACTCCATTTTTATTTCCGTTTCATAAAGAAGGAAGTTGCGCTCAGCGTCTTCTTTGTAGGTTTCAGAGTCGTTTCCTTCAGTAGGTTTTGGTGCAGCGCCCCCACAGGCCAGGAGGGGAACAGGTGGCTCAAAGGGTTTGGTTGGTTTGACTTTTTAATCATCATGACCCGTTTACTATCCTGTTCTGTTTAACCGATCGGTTCTGGTCCCAACTTCTATTATATTAGGGATTTTGCGTTTCTTTGCTCTCGTTTCACTTTTAGTTTCTGTCCTGAACTAAAATTGCAGTTAAACTGGAGTAAAAAAATTCATTTAAATGCATGAATAAAAACAGAAGTTTGTGAAAATTAGTAAGAAACTCTGTATTCAGAGGTTTTTATGCAGAAAGTATGAAATTAAGCGTGGAAAACATCTGAATTCATTCCAGTTTATCACATATTGAATCATTTCATTACCAAATAAACACTACAAATAATAAAGTGCTGCTAAATGTGACTGAATGACTTCCTCCTGTAGATGTGGGTGTAATTACAGCAGTGACACCAGCAGCCCTGCTGAGATTAATGACTCTCTCTAATCTCTCATAATGAAGCCATCTTATTGCTTTTGTAATCTGAGGACTCCATCGTTCAGAGGCTGAAAAGCCAAGAGTGACACCCTGAAGGTCAAATAAAGCAGCATTTTATTGCTTAAAGAGAAACTTAAAGGCTGAAAACATGTCAGATGAACTGAATCTGTTTATTTTCTCACCAACTTCTGGAAACATTTCAGTCAAATTTAAAACTTCTGAAACAGAAACACAACATTTGGACTTATTTATGGGAAAATAAAAGCAACATTTTACATTTCATTACATATACCTGCAGCTGGATGTGAGTCGACATGTAAACATGCAGCTGCGTTTCAGAGCATTACCCATCATGCACCAGATGCAGGAGTGTGTAGGCCGGCCGTGATGCGATTTGTCCTGAGATGCCGCGCGCCCACTCAGCATCAGACGGCTCCTTTCTTCTTCTGCTCAGAGCAGCAACATTCAGCCAGATAAAATCAGATCTGCTCAAAAGTCACATCGGGTCAAAAATTTTAACTCCGATATTAAAGGATTAATATTGGATGCCTGGAAGGAAAATGTACATAATGTAGAACTTTCTAAGAAAAATTCTGAGATCAAATGTTTGTTTTCGCATATTTTCAACTTTTTAAACACAAATGTTCTTGTTTTTTTTTCTACAACATCTTTGAGATTCATTTCAGTTTTTTTTCTACCAAATTCTTGGTTTCATATTCAGAAATTTTCTTCTTTTTCTAGAAATTTCTGAGATTAAACTAAACATGTTTTTGTTTTACCAGCAAATTTCCGACTTTTCAAACTCAAATTAGTTTTTTTCTAGAAACAATTCTGAGATTGATTCATATTTTTGCAAACAGCAGCCAATGAGTCTGAAGTATCGATAGCCTGGCTGTTTCCACTTCCTGAGCTGCATTTTCTTTTGACTAGTTCAGATGTGATTCGGTGGATTTGCAGCAAATAATTCTGAGACACGTTTCAGAAATAGATCTACAAATAGGTGAATTTCTTGAAAGTATTTTGCAGCTGCACTCTATAGAAAAATTGCTAAATAGGTGAATTTAGAGCGAATATTTAGGAGTTATGTTTCACAGCCAGTGTGCTGTAAATGTCAGGTTCTGGACTGAGATGGAGGGAAAATCCACCAAAGTAAATCTTTAAAAGACCTTCAGGAAGAATGAAGAGCAAGTGAACGAGATGGGAGCAAATATCACTGAAGGCTGAAGCAGAACTCGAGGAGCTCAGGTTATAAATAACTAAGCAAGATGCCGACCTTGGCTTTTATTTTGATTGATTCTGCAAGCTACAAAAAAAAAAAATCACATCAAATCTGTTTTCCTCAGACCATCGCTAACAAACTTCCTCTTTTTGATGCTTTTTACTGCATATTTAGATTGTTTTCAATTATTTAAAATGTGCTTTTTTGCTTCTGTAGTTTTGATATCAACCAGCTGAATTTAAGCTCCCCATTAATGCAGTGGCTGCATGCTTGTGAAGCAGCTGCTGGCCTGTCCTTGTGCAGCGTGCGATGCTGCGTGCGATGCTGCGTGCGATGCTGCGTGCATGCGCTTCCTCTGTCAGAAATGCTGCAATGCGTCTTCCTCAGCCAGCACTGGGTCAGTGTAACCAGCAGCAGCAGCAGCAGCAGAAGCAGAAGCAGCAGCAGAAGCAGCAGCAGCAGCAGCTGCAGCAGCAGCAGCAGAAGCAGCAGAAGCAGCAGCAGCTGCAGCAGCAGAAGCAGCAGCAGCAGTAGCTGCAGCAGCAGCAGCAGCAGCAGCAGCAGCAGCAGAAGCAGCAGTAGCTGCAGCAGCAGCAGCAGCAGCAGAAGCAGCAGCAGCAGAAGCAGCAGCAGCAGAAGCAGCAGCAGCAGCTGCAGCAGCAGCAGCTGCAGCAGCAGCAGCAGCAGCAGCAGGTGGAGCTTCACCATAGAAACAGCCAATCAGACTCAGCGCTGCTGATGAGGTTTTTCTGCTGTTCTGTTGTGATTATTGATCATTTAACCCCTTCCTGTTGGTTTGAAAAGGGGATCAGGACAGAGTCACTAATTGGTTTGGGTCAAACATTCGAGTGAAGATGAATAATTAAACATTTTATACATACAAATATATATATTAACTAGAAAACAGTTTTTACTAACTGACCTTTTGCTTCCAATTATAACTGTTTGAGTTACAGCAGAAATAATATTGGAAATACAATTAAAATGAGGATTTGATTTTATTTAAAATTCAAAAATGACTTAAATTAAATCAGACTAAAGAGGAAAGTCAGATAAAGTCGTTTATTGGGGTTAAAAACTATGGAAAGAATTGAATGATGATCTCAAATTATGTCTTGTTAAAATGTTGCATGTATTGTTATGTAGATGTATACATGTATTGTGTGACCATGTATGCATATACTTCATATTTACGTGTAAATGTGTGTATGTATATGGACAGAAGACGGCAGGGTGCTGCTAGCTGCTAGAGTTCATGAACAGGGTTTTCCTTTTTGGTAAATTATGAGTTTGTAAAGTAGCTTTTTGTAAATGTTGATGATTTACCAAAATAAAGTGAACTGAAGTTATACTGCGACAGCCTGGAGTCATTTAGACGTTTCTCCTGCTGCTGGTTGTCAGATCGGCTGTTTGGTGATCAGGAGGCAGCGAGACTCAAAGTTCGGGTTTGTTTGGTTGCAGGTCAGAGAACGCTGCAGTACCAGAGCGACGTCCTGCAGACGGTGGTGCTGGTGAACCCGACACAGGAGGCGGTTTCTCTGGAGGTGAGTCCAGACGCCATGAGGAGGTTCTGTTCGGCCACTCTGACCCGGTTCTGGATGATAAACGGGTTTATTCACATGCAGAAGAAATCAATCAATCAATCCGTCTGTCCGTCCAGTTGCTCTTGATGGATCCATCCATCTCTTAGGTAAAGGTTAAAGGTTAAACCAGCGAAGCGTCTCAAATTGTGAAGATCTCTCAGCTTTTCCTCCTGTTTCTGTTCTTGAGGAGAAACATAGAGGAAGTTTTCCTGAGGTGGTTCTACTGAATCAGAGGTTGCATCAGTGCATGAACAGTCAAAATATTCACTTCACTTCAACCAACATTTCAGTTTGGGTTTGAATATTCTAACTTTATCTCTGTTCTTTTACCTATGAACTTGGCTAGTATCATTTTCAAAGATAAAACATTAATGAGAATAATCCTCGGTTTGATTGTTTTCATGTCCTTTATCCAGACGACTGCTCTGATCACTGACTCTGCTGCTAATAAGTTGCTAATTCTGAGCGGCCAGAGCTCCGACCAGGGAGGCGATATTCTTCTGCAAAGTGGAGTCTTCGGTTGGCAACAGTTTTCTGACATCATCTCCAACCCTCAAGTAAGACGTTTGACTTCAAATACCTTGGAGCATTATTGACATTCAGAGACATCTGATTTAACATTTCTCTCTCTCTGCGTTAGGTTGTTGAAGTCTTGTCCAGGGTCTCCTCGCAGCTGCTGACCAGACTTACTGTTTCCTGTCAAGGAGACGGCGGCTGGAGCTCCCTGGGCCAAAGCCAGGAGCAGCAGCCACTGCTTAATATTCTCGAGTATTGCTTAAACCCAGAGCCCCGACTCCCAGAAATGGACGGGGTCACAGAGTTCACAGAGTATGTCTCGGAAACGGTGGATGTACCATCACCCTTCGAGCTTCTGGAGCCGCCGACGTCCGGTGGGTTTCTAAAGCTGTCCAAACCCTGCTGCTACATATTCCCTGGAGGCAGGGGGGACTCCGCTCTGTTTGCCGTCAATGGATTCAACATCCTGGTGGACGGCGGGTCAGAGAGGAAGTCCTGCTTCTGGAAACTAGTCCGACACCTAGACAGGGTCGATTCCGTCCTGCTCACCCACATCGGTGCAGACAACCTACCAGGGATAAATGGGCTGTTCCAGAGAAAAATTGCAGAGCAGGAGGAAGAGAAAAACCAAGGGTCTGGTTCCAGTAGTAATGGTGACTGGATGAAGAACTTGATCTCCCCAGAACTTGGGATCGTGTTTTTCAACGTCCCAGAGAAGCTAAAGATGCCAGAGTCAACTCTCAAAGTGAAGCGGAGCATTGAAGAGGCATCTCTCACACTGCAGTACCTCAATAAGCTTGGCATCACTCCTGAACCTCTTCACAGGACAGTCAGTAACACTATTGAACCAATAACACTGTTCCACAAGCTTGGTGTGGGAAAGTTAGACATGTACATCTTAAACCCTGTGAAGGAAAGCAAAGAGATGCAGTTTCTGATGCAGAAATGGGCAGGAAATAGCAAAGCCAAGACAGGAATCACCATGCCCAACGGCAAGGAGGGAGAAATATCTGTGCCCTATTTAACGTCAGTCACTGCTCTGATTGTTTGGATCCCACATCGACCCACAGAAAAGATAGTGCGTGTGCTGTTTCCTGGAAATGCGCCACAAAATAAAATCTTTGAGGGGCTTGAGAAGTTGAAACATCTGGACTTCCTGCGATACCCAGTGGCCACTCAAAAAGACATATCATCTGGCGCGCCACCGCCAATCATCAAGCAAACTAAAATAAGGTCCAGAACAGACAGCAAAGAAAGTCTCAAATCCTCACCTAAACCCCATGTTAAAGCATCTAAGAAAGAAGCTGGCGGGCAGGAGGAAGAGTCAAGAAGTGACGCCATAAAAGAGAATAAAGTGGAAAAGAAAGAGGAGAAGAAACCCAAAAGTAATAGTTTAAAAGCCACCAAACAGCAGAGAAACAGCGAAGTGGCTCCTGGAACCGAGAAGACGGCAAAAAAGAAAATTTCCAAGGAAAAGGCTTCAAAACAAGAGAAAGCATCTAAAATGGACGAAAAGAAAGACAAAGAGAAAAAAGACACCAAGAAAGAAAAGGTAAAGAAAGATGAAAAAATAAGAAAGGAAGACAAAAAAGAGAGTAAAGCAAAGGAAGACAAGAAGAAGGAGCCAAGTAAACCAGAGCTTAGAAAAATCACCAAACCCGACCTGAAGCCGCTCACGCCTGAAGTGAGAAAAACCCTGAACAAGGCCAAGAGTCAGGCTAAACCCAAAACTGATAAAAATAAGGCAGGCAAAGAGGAAGCAAATGGGAAAAAGCCTGTTCCAAAGAACATCCCGGATGAGGTTGCAGCGGCAGCTCTGGCTGACAGGTCCATTGTGTCCTCACCTGAGGACCTCACTGAGGACTTTGAGGCACTCAAACAAGAGGAGATGTCCATCCAGAAGACTGGATCTGTCCAGAATGACGTGATGCCTGGAGCTCCAGCTCACCTAGATGCTAAAGCTTCTCCTCAAGCTGTAACAAGTGAGAAACTAGCATCCTCAACCACTGAGACAAAGCCTACTGGATCTAAATCCCCTGTCATCCAAGAAGACAAGAATGACAAACAAGTTACTGCTTCTCTACAAAAAGATGTGAGTCATGGGTTTGACAAGAAATACGAGGAGGAGAAAATGGAGAAATATGACATTTTAAAAGAAAATGTGACTGACAGATCAAAGAAAAGTGAGAGCTCAGAGGAGGAGGGTGATGTGATAGAAAAAGCGGAACTAGAAGGAACAGAAGATGATGAGGTCTTGAAGTTTAAAACAGAGGAGGTGAAAAAGGAGTGGGACACCAAACCTGTGACCGCAGCCCCCCTACCCGCCTCTGCCTCGGAGCAGTTCTCCTTCATCCAAGACGAGACCATCCCTGGTTACTCGGAGACAGAGCAGACAATTTCCGACGAGGAAATCCACGAGGAAACTGAAGACAAGATTCCACAACTGCGCTATGATGTGGGCTCCTACGACATTTCTGTTCCAGATGTTCCTGGTACATTTGAATCCATGCATGGTATTAAAGAGATGAAAAGCTCTACAGTTTCCGATGTTCCAGATGTCAAACCTAAAACTTTTGGTCAGGAACCTGAGCTTGCGCCTTACCCTGCCATAATCGCAGCTCCTCTTGCAGAAGAAGAGCACATCTCTTCTGCAACCTCCATCACAGATTATGACAGACTGTCATCTTTCGCCACATCTGTGGCTGAGGACCAATCAATTGCCTCGGTGACGGCACCTCAAACAGAAGACGTTGTGAGGAATTCACTCTTGTTGGACACCATCAACAGCACTCCATCACGTGCAGACGCTGCCCAAGGGAAGGACTATCTCCATTCAGCAGGCACCATATCCCCCACCTCCTCTCTGGAAGATGACAAGTGCTTTAAGTCTCCGTCCTCTGATGAGTACCAGCCTAACATTCCAGAGATAGAGACTGATGCAAAGACCAAAACCGTCCACGAAGAAGAAGATGACGAAGAAGAGGAGGATGAAGACCAAACTCCAAATGTTGACATCCCTCTGGGTAAACTTCAAGAGGGCTATGAACAAGCTGCCTCACTGATGCACCAGGAGCAACAGAAATCTCCCTCTACTGTCATTCCTGCGCAGACTGTCAAGGAAGAGCAGACTCTCCTCGGCACAGAAGCGTTTAAGACTGCTGCTGACGTAAAGCCCATCTCACCCCCTCTATCCTTCTCCCCTGGGCTAGAATCCCGATCCAGGCAGGACAGTGAGGAGAGATGCTTTAGTCCTGATGACAGCACCATGAAATTGGCTTCACCCACACAATCAGTGCCCACAAGCAGTGGTTACTCTCCAACAGAAGAAAAACCCTTTAAGCCGGAGGAAAAAGATGAAGCACTGAATGCCATTAAAGCTGACGCTCAGAAAACTGACCGATCAGTCACCATCTCAGACAATACCTTTATTGGCTTGCCAGGCGACAAGACAGCTTTTGAAGCATCGGAGGAATCTGATGAGGACAGTGAGGATGAATATTACGCCAAAAAGGAGCTAAAGCCCACTTTAAAAGCCAAACTCATGGAAGCAAAAGAAGGCTGCTTTTTAGATGATGACTTTTCATTCGAAGGAAAATCTACAAAGACAGAATCAGAAGCTCTGAGTTCAGACAAGATGCAGGTGTCTTTTAGCACAGCAGAGAAACCCAAAGCAAAGGTGATGTTTTCTGATGAAGACGAAAAAGATCATGATTTTCCAAGTGGGGTAGGTTCTAAAACTCTTTCGGATGATAAAGACAAACGTGAGACAACCGGTGTTGCCATTAAAGAGTCAGAGAAAAGTGTCCATTTCAGTCTATATGAATATCCAGAGAAAGAGAACAGAGAGAGCAGAGAGAGAGCAGTCTACACTAGACAGGATACACCATATGTTCACGGAAAAACATTCTCTTACGGTGATATTTACGACAGCAAAACAAGCTCAGAGGAGTCTGACTTGTACCGAGAGGAGTCCCAAGATAAGGTAGAAGAAAAACCTTCAAAGGATGAAGAAGATTTGCACACAAATGAGTCTCCATCACAAGACACAGAATCAGACAAGGTGTTAGAAAAAGAACAAAGAGAGCACTCCTCCTCTCCATGGCCAGAGCCCAAGAGTACATCTATCACTGATCAATTTAAAACAGATGTTAAAGAAAAAGAGACATTTATTTATAGTCAGACTAGTCGTTTCCCTTCAGTTGCTGACCGACCTGAAGCCTCGACCACATGTTTGTCATCAGAAAAGGACCAAACTCTTGGCACAACCTCAGTTATTTCCAGCGTCGCTTCTGCATCAGGCTACAGTGAGAAAGGTGCCTGCTTAGAGATTGATATGCGAAAGCTAACAGCAAGAGATGAGGAAGATTATGATGATGAAGTCATCGATGATGACGATGAGGAAGAAGAAGATGAAGAGGAGGGGGACGAAGATGGCATTGATTCTGACATGGAGAAAGGTGCCAAAGAGAAATCTGAAAAGGAAGTACAAAGTCCAGTAAGTCAAATGTTAGCTTCAAAGAGACCTGAGTTCATGGTTTCTATGGCAGGGTACGGTTACAACGGTCAGAGAAAGCCGAGCGTCACCGAAACCAGCTCAGGTTCAGCGACTAAAGCTGAATATCAAGCTCAGACTGACTCTTCCTGTGTCAGTGAAAAGCCAGTGGATGTAGGGGCCAATTTGCCTAGATACTCTTCGGGTTTTGAATACCCGTACCGAACCGATGAAAACGGGTCGTTTGTGTCAAGTCAGAGCGGAGACAAAGGAAAAGAAGATTTATCTTCAAAATCGAAAGTGGACAGTTATTACCAAAGCGAAACAGTTGATACTGAAATTGAGAAACAGAAGACACCAGATATTTTGAGTAAGAGCTCATCGGAGGCAAATTTTCAGTACACGACCACAGCTGCTGCCCCTGGCTACTCCTCCTCTTCAGCCTACAGCTACTCCTCCTCCACCTCAGGCTCCCTGTCCACCAGCCGGCAGTTTGGAGAGGAGCTGGAGACACCTGCGTCCGCCGAACCTCTCTTTGAGTACTCCTCATTTAAAGACGAACACTCGCTTGTTATGGATTCTCCCTTCTCCAGTTCAGCTGGTGCCAAAGATGATTATCTTGAAGTGTCTGAGAAGCAAATCACTGTAGCAACAACGGCAGAGTCTAGTTCCAGTTTAGCTCGCTTCTCACCTCTTAGTCCTTTTGAGGAGGTCAAGTCCTTCCCAATGGCCTCGTCTGTCGCTGCTGTTCAAGAGAAGAAGGAACATGTAGCTCCATTATGTGGAGTTACTGATAAAGGGCCTCAAGCTGACTGCTTCTATAAACCTGAGTGGCCTGAAGATACCAAGTTGGACAAAGCTGCTGGGTTTGGGGCCTCAGTGGCTCCCTTCGCAGACTTCTCTATGGATAAAGAGGCTGCCAGTGCTGCTCTGTTTGGTGTCACTTCCTCTCCTCGGCCTGACATTGAAGGAAAGCATTACTTTGAAGAGACCGACAGCAGTGAAGAGGAGGATGAGGAGGCATACACACGTGAAATGACTCAGAGGTCTCCTTCCAGCGCTCCTACTGGTAATCTCCCATTCTGTGACAAGCCGGCTGCTCCAGCCTTCAGTGCAAAGACGAGTGATGCACTTCCAGATGTTCTTGGCTCTTACATGTCAACACCTCTCCAGACAAGCAAGCCAGACACAACAAATGGCCCGACAGAGGTAAGCAGCAGGAGCACCCTCCCTACGGGGGTGACTGGCGCCGGAGCACCTTCAGGCTCAGCCAGAGTGGAGTCCAGAGAGGGAGCAGCCGGGTACGTCCGCAGTTCGTATGAGTGGGAAATGCCCAAGCCTCAGATGGGGATGGTACCTGGAGACTCCCCTCCTCATTACCGCCATGATGACGAGTTTGAGGAGGAATGTGAGATGGAGCCGGAGCATCCTCCTCGCCCACTTTCACTTGCTTCACCTGATCAGCAGTTCCGCTCACCATTCTATGCAGAAGAGTGCAGCCGAGGCGAGCAGGAAGATGATGATGATGATGATGATAATGACAGTGATCAGGACTTACCCATAGGAGCAACCTCTTCTTACACCAGCCGCACCTCTCCTGGATACTCTTCCTCCGAATTCAGGCAGCGCAAAGAAGACCTGTCACCATCCTTCATCAACCCCTGCATGAGGCGGCTTTCCAGCGATGAGGACGATGAGGTGGAAGGCCGCAGGAGCGATCAGTCACAGGAAGGGGATGAACATGACCTGTCAGTCAAGAGGAGGGCTCACAAGCAACCCCATATTCACCAGTCCCACAGCAGGGACAGCAGCTCTCTGCATCAGTCTGGTGGTATGCCTGCAGGAATGAGTCTGGCCACAGAGGACACTCCGCCCACCTCTGTCAGCGAGTCTTTACCCTCTCAGTCAGAGTCAGATCTGCATCCTGGCACTGCAGAGTACCCATCGATTACCGGTGAAGGCAACATGGACTCAGATGAGGATGGAGAATACATGCCGATTGATAAATCTGCCACAGGGCGAGGTAGCCATCATTCTATCTCCAGAAGAAGCCATGACCCTCCTCCTGCTTCCCTTCTAGACCGCTTCCCTCATCCACCCCACCCAGATGTCTGCATGGTGGATCCTGACTCTCTAGGCAATGGCTCTCTGAAGAAGGAACCGAAAGCAAAAAGTCTGAAGAAGTCTTCAGGCAAAACAAAATCAGCATCTCCAGCAAGGCGTAAGAGGTCTCCAATGCCTGTTAAACAGACGCCGTCACCTCGGAGTGCTTTGCTGAAGAAAAAGGATGCAGACAAAAGCTCGTGTGTGTCTCGTCTGTCAGATGGACAAGGCTCCAAGGACGATGACCTCTCAAGGTCAAGCTATAACCCCAGCAAAGGGCTGACAAATGGGGTCAAAACCAGCTCAGGTGAGCAAATGCAATGTCTTGATATAATCTGTTATTTCTCTTTATATTTTATCAATATGTTAAAATAAAATGCCACTCTACCAGAGATTCATTAAAACCCTTGAAATATCATATAGGAATCATTTTTTTAAAATCTGTTCCCCGTAGCACAAACTCATAGCCATGGAAGAAGGTAGTTTTTTTTTGTCTGCTGAGCCATTTTTGTGATGATTTGTCCACATGTTTTTGGATTGTTATATCACTAATAAACCCAATGGCAACCTGTTTTTAGATTTCTGGTGAAGGCCATGAGATTTTCTTTGAATTTTCATTTTGTCAAAGCAACAGTTCCAGTTAAAGAACTAGACAGCATCTTGCAAAGAAGAAAATAACACAACGGAAATTAACCGTATTTCAGTCTCCTGGTTCGGATCGAACCAACCAGGCTACACGAAAAATAATTTAATTAGATGTTGCTGTAATAATATTTAAGGGAAACATGGCGACTGATTGTATTGTATCACTTTGAGATAAACTGGATTGAACTGAACCATTTGCCTGACTCTGTTTGCCTAAAAGTCATAGCGTCATTTTGTTTTCTCAGGTTCCCAGAAGTCCGGCACGGCGGCCGCCTCCGGCCTTCCGATTTATGTGGATCTAGCCTACATTCCCAACCACTGCAGTGCTAAGAACGTGGACCAGGAGTTTTTCAAACGCATTCGCTCTGCCTACTATGTAGTGAGCGGCAACGACGCTGCAGGAGGCGAACCTGGCCGAGCGGTCCTCGATGCTTTGTTGGACGCCAAAGCTCAGTGGGGATCAAACCTGCAGGTATGAGAGCAGCTTTTGTCCAGTTTCCTGTTTGAGGTCATTGTAGAGGAACACGATGTGACTTGTATTTCTCTTCAGACTCAGACTAAATCCAAGAGTTGATGAATCCTATGACAACTGTCATGTTTAAATGTGCTTTTGTGTGTTATGATTTTGTGCTCGACTCCCCCTAGTGGTCTGGAGGACCAACAGGAGGCGCTTACATAGTTTTTTTTGCACCTGTTTGCAAGTTGTTTTCATTTTAAGGTATGTAAGCTCTTTCCTCACATCTCGCTCTCAGGTGACGCTGATCCCGACCCACGACACAGAGGTGACGCGCGACTGGTACCAGCAGACCCACGAGAGGCAGCAGGAGCTGAACATCATGGTTCTGGCCTCCAGCAGCACCGTGGTCATGCAGGACGAGTCTTTTCCAGCCTGCAAGATTGAGTTTTAGGATTCCTCTCTGCAAAACCTCCCTGCTGTAGATCTTTTCTGGTTCTTCTTTTCTGTATCCTGATATGCAACCCGATGTGTCTCTGCTTCGGTGGTTTATGCCACACGGCGAAGCAGAGGCAGATCTGGAGAACTTTTTTTTAGTGTTTTTGTTGATTTTTAAGCTTGGTGTGACCATGGCCATTGGAGTTCCAATGGTACTTTTCAGCTAGTCGTCATTTCCCTCTGGATTAGTAAAAATCATGAAGATGTCTGCTGCACCATAGCCCTGATCGTTTTCACATTTAATCATTTTACAACCACAAACTTCAAAGTGTTTTATAGGAACTAAAATGAATTCAGAGTCTTTGCTTTTATCTAAACCTTCCCATAAGTCAGTGGTTCCCAAAGGTTTTCTGGGCCCCCGCTGCATCACAATAAAATCCCCAAAGTGTGGCGCGCCCCATACGTTGGGAACCACTGCCATAGGTTATCGTTCTCAAGTCTTCTTGTCTTTAGCAAGAAGACAAGCTTCACTGGTCGGAGTGAAATTTTGATGCTCATAAATAAAGAAGAAAAGCACCCCACAGCATGATGCTGCCATCACCATTTTAGGTGATTTATCAGGGTAACTGGTTGCACTGGATTTAATTTTGGAGTTGCAGGGTGTTTTTGACTCAGTTCGATTGGGGACCAAAGTTGCAACAATTTTTTTTTACATTTTCAGCCATGTTCTAGGCAACCAACAAAGATTTTTAAAATTTATTTTAACTGTTTCTTTTTTAACCAGAATAAAAAACCCATTGAGATCAAAGGAAGGAAGCCTTGGGCAAGAGGCAGCAACAAGTACAAAAAAACAAACAAACTGAAGAAACGTCAAGGAATGAAGGAATTAATAAAGAATTTCTTTAAGAAATTCAAGAAAATACTTGCAGCCAGGAGACCTGACAAACCAGCACCCTGCCCTGGGAATTAAAAGTGTCTACACACCGGTAGTCTGGTAAACTCAGTTTGATTGGGACCAAAATTGTAACATTTGTTGCATTTTCTGCGTTAAACGAATCAAAACCTTTTGAAAAAAGAACCTGTTGGGGGCGCTGCACCAAGAATCACTGAAGAAAACGACACAAAAACCTCAGAAGAAGACACTGAACGCAACATCCTTCTTCATAAAATGTAAACAAAAATGAAGTAGTGTCAGGCTTTAGCAGTTGTAGGATTTCTATTTTGTTGTTAGCAAAACACCATGAGTCATTTCTCCCGCTAGTGCTAGAATAGCATGTTTGTTTGGGTTGTATTTACCCAGAATGCCCTGCAGGGTAATCTGTTCTCTGCCTTTCTGTTTGGCGTTCAGATATGCATTCGAACTGAAATGAGACTTTAGCTTTGAGGCGGATCAGATTTCACCATTTTGGTCCAGATGAGAGTTTGATAAGACGGTTACGCCTCCCAAATGATCCCGTCTTTCAACATGCAGAGTGGATGAAACTCTAAATTTATACAAGTCCAAAATGTTCAACTTTTGAAACTCATAACTTTCCATGTTTTTGAGAATATTTTTAAGATTAATCTCAAAATTAGATTTTTTTGTCTAGCAAAATTTCAAATTTAAATAAACCCCCCCAAAAAAACTGAAAAATGTGAGATTTAATGGCATAAATGCAATTTTTTTTCTCCCTAGAATGGCCATAATCAAGTACAGATCCACTCCACACTTTCTAGATTTTATCCTTTAAGAATTCTGAAACCCCATCCATCATTTTCTTGCTATGCTACAACAACACACTATGTCTATGATATAAAGTCCAAATAAAATGCAGTGAAGTGTGTGGTTGTATGATGACAGAAGGTGGAAGATTTTCCAAGGCTGCTCCTCTAAACTGTCGCGGTAGAAGCACAAATTTGAAGAAATCAAAGCAGCAGTTCTCCATTTTTTCAGCTAATACCAGTCGTGACCTTCTCTGGCAGAGGAATACAAACATTAATAAATTGATCAAATAAATACAAATCCTCCGATTCCCATTGCTTAAAATGAGATCCAGAAACATAAAAAAAAAAAAATCTTATTCGATTGTCATTTTTTGCTCTTTTCTCTGTTGAAACAGTGACAGTGTTTAGTTTTTGGCTTCCCGGTGACATAGACGGATAGAAAACTAGATCCCAGCGCTCCTTTTAGACTATATTTGTTGTAGCAATGGGAAATTAATAATCAAAAATCTGTATTGTAGTGAGTTCTGATATTTCTACTGTTCTCTCAAACCAGTTCAAACCTTCCTGATGGCTGTTCTTTCTTACGGTGAAGCTCTTCATAACCATTTCTGTGGTCTTTGATGTACTTTTCCAGTTAGCCGGTCGTCACAGAGGCTGCGCAGAGCGCTGCAAGCATGTTTATGTCATGACATCCTGAAGCTCAGATAAACAAGAGGCTTTTACAGACCAGCGTGTTAAAGAAGACGATGGCTGTTTTGGTTGATGGGAGACCATCGCCCCACATGTGCCTTTCTGCGGTTCTGGAAGAAAAACGGGCGGCGGAGGCCCGAGATGTCGGTATGAAATGAAAGCGAAACACAGGGCTGGTCCAAGCCTTTCTGGGCTCCTGATCCCAACATGTCAACACCAGACGCTTCACTGTTTCTATGCCGTAATCATTAGCATACTGTATTAGCTTACATCATATCAGTGTTTTATGGCTGTTGATTCTAATGGTACAGAAGCAACAAACTAAAGAAAAACATTTAGATTTTGAAATGTATAGTTGTACACTGCAAAAACAAAAACTCTGACTGCTTTTTGTCTAGTTTCTAGTGCAGTTATCTTAGCACACTTCAAATAAGACAAAACTCACTAACAAATAACTTTTCACAAAGATAACTGAATTTGATTTGATGAAATCTACTAAAAGTACAAATTAACTGCTAATTGCTTCAGGAATCAGTGTTGCATAGCAAAAATAAAATCTTACCAAGTAATTTTTTAATCTAGTTTGTCCTGTAAATTAATTAGTACAGTAACTTACAAGTAACTTTTCAGCAAGGAATAGGAATAAATAATTCCTTAATATAGATGAATTCTCGTTCCATTGTCAGATTTTTTTCACCTTTTGTAAATGAAATAATCAGCCGATGGAGCAAGTAGTTCTTCATCAACATTAAGGAATTATTGACTGAAAGATCCTTACGAGTTAGTTTTTTAAGTGTTTTAGGATGACTGTAATAGGAGAAATACTTGGCAGGATTTTCTGTTTTTGCAGTGTATTTAAGTGTGTCATATTTTAACTATTTAAAAGTAACATCAGCTGATAAACACTAACAATAAAACTGTGTTATTATTACAGTTGATATTATATTTCACCAACAGAGGCAGCAGAAATGAACAGGATGATATTAATTGTGATTTATGTAACAAAAAACAATATGGGAATTTTTTTCCACGTGTAACAGAATCTGGTTTGTGTTATTAAATTGTATTTAAAATAAATACAATTTATCTTAGTGCCCCCTGGTGGTGTGGGGGCTCTAAGCAGCTGCTTAACTCTCGTATGCCTTGGGCCGGCCCTGGTGAAACGGCACTTTTAAAGCACCAACTCAGAGTTTCAGCTGCCACTTTAAAAAGCACAAGGCAAACCAGTGAGCAAAGCTTTCTCTTTGAAAGTAACATTTTAGACTTCATTTGTTAAATTTGATGAAATGCCAGTGAACCTCCAGCTAATTCATTTAATTCCAGCTCATCTGCTGATGCATGCACAGGAGCTGCATGCGACGACATGTAAACGAAAGGCCACGGTTTGTTGCACCCGATCGGCCTGAATGTGAAGATGCAGATTATACCTTTATGTTCTCCGCGGAGGACTCGGATCTCCTGGTTGCCTTCGTTACACATCATGTAACATCTGTAACGCCTGCGGAGAGACGTCAACGTTTATGCTTTCTGCTCAGATTTACAAAAAGGGTCAAAGTTCACGTTACCTCACTCTTGCATTCCTGTAACAATCGATTGATCAGTCAAAGCCCAAACTGCCAGACCTGAGGTGCTCTCTTCACTCATCCAAACACATTTCATCTGTTATCCACATTTATCTGCATCCAGACACCTGACTGCTGCATTAAAATGAATTTTAAAAAAATCAGAAATAAGCACCACCCTGCGTTGGATTGACCCCGGCTTGTTTGTGCATGCGTACCTTTTGAGTTCTCCTGTATTGACATGAAAACGACTCATTATTGAAATGATGTTTTCCATGATGTGGTTTTGAGAAGCTAAAAGTGTCCAGTTTGAAGGAGGCAGATGTAACCTGGCTTTGCTGTGCGGTAAAGAGCCTTGTGAGGGTTTTCCTCTCCTTCCTGCTTCATGGTTCTTCTTTCATCTCTTAATTTAAGTGCAATATTCTCTTTATCTCTATTTAAATGCTTATAAAAGGTAAAATAGAAGTCAGATTTATTGTTGGGAGGCATAAAAGCGTGTTGAAGACAAATAAAAATGTCATTTACTGAAATGAATGTCTCCCTTTCTGTCACTGCAGCTTGTAAATTTTTCAATCCGAATTAACTATGCAACAAACTCCACATTATAAAATGTAAAAAGACATTAAAAACATATTAAATAGCTTTTGTTACAAGTTTCTGACAAATTAGGTGAGCTTTTCTTTTTTTTTTACAAATCAGTCCACTTTTAGAGTTGAAAAGACCGAGCCTTATTTCTACCGTCAGCACAAGTCATGCTAACACTAATCACACAAACCTTTGGAAAAAAAGAGAAAGGCTCATTAAAAATATATCACGATTATATTTATATCTGATCAAACCACGGCAGACGACATTTATTGTTTAAATGATTCAGCAATAAAAAAAGGACAATTTTAAAACAACAGAATAATTGCAACTGAAGACAAAATGTTTATTTGAGTCAACTGACCAGAAATTTGACACGAATCACATTGATGTCGTGTTTTATCTGTACACACAGTAAGATTGCAGCCTCACAGTTTGCATTTATTTTCCACAGTTCATCGTAAAGTACCATGACGGCACACAGCGCTGCGGAAGCTAGCATGTCTCCCTGTGCTACATCGCTGCTCACAATAAAAAGCACAACGAATGTAAAATGCCCCCCTTTATGTTCAGTGATAAAATGAGGCTTGAATGTGTTTTTAGCAAAAATATACACACACCCAAAGCCATGAATATGCTATACAGTTAAATATCTAATGTGCAGGTTCTTAAAAATACATTTTTTCTTTTTCAAAATAAATCTCTGTCTCTAAATTAAATCTTCACTGAGGGTTAAGGACTTTGGCGATCAGCAGTGCACATTGAAAAAAAACAACACTGAAGATGGTTCAGTGTTCTTACAAACATTCTCAGCAACTCTGACGAAAAGCAAAACTCAGAGAAAATTCACTTCAAAAATCACAAAATATCACCAAGTACTTTTGCTCTATTTTCTAGACCAAATATCTTAGTATTAGCACAAGCACATTTTCAACAAAATATAGCAGTTTCAGTCAGTAATTTCTTATATTAGGACATTTTTACCTAAAACATCTCGCATTCCAGAGGAAAAGTTGTTTCTAAGTTAGTTTTTCCTCATTTCAAGTATTAAGATGTTTGCATTAGACACTCAACCAAAAATACTTGGTAGAATTTTGTGTTTTTGCAGTGCAGGACAGACGACCGCAGTAAAATGCTGAAACGTCAGAGATCTGCTCAGCTGATCACATGCAAGCGTCTCTACTTCCAAACCCAATTAAAATGCAGCATTTATTATATTCTCCCAGCTATTAAGACTCTCTGCTCTCCTCTGGTTGCTTTTTCACCCTCTGGCTGCTGTGACTGAGTAACAGATGAGCTTCGATTAAAAACCCGGTCGGACGGGACCGGCCGGTTCACTGTTCCACCGGCTGAACTGGCTCTGGGTCCTGGGCGGTGTCGGGCTGCGGGGCGTCTTCCGGACCGTCCGTCCACAGCTCCGCAGACTCCTGCGTGTCAAAGAACTCGTCTGGCCCCTCGGGGGACTGGGGCGTCTGCGAGCTGGACCCGGCCTCGCTGCTGCTCTCCCTCAGCTCCAGCAGCACCGGCAGCGACCCGGGCAGGCAGTAGCCCTCCATGCGGCCCAGATTCAGCTCCGCCAGCGCCACGCAGGCCGGCCTCTGCTCCGGGAGTGGCTCTCGAGCGCCGCAGGACGCCTCCTGTCTGTCCGCCTCCTGTCTGTCCGCCTCCTGTCTGTCGGTTCTGGGTGGTCAGGCTGCTTGTCGGGTTCGGGTTCTTCCTCTGGGGAGTTGTTTGGCGTCAGCGGGACTTCGGCGGGCAGCGGCTGGGCGGAGGCGTTTTGGGAGGAGTGGGTTTCCTCGCTGCTCTGCGGGGTCAGCGACACCTTGTCGCTGAAGCTGAACCGCGGCGAAGTGTCGGCCGTGGTGGGGGAGGACGGGCCGGCGCTGGAGACCGTGCTGGATGGACCGCTGCTGTCTGCGGGGACGGAAAATGCAGAAAACCTGCTTAATGGGGCGGCATCATGTGTTCACCAGGCTCAGTTTCCATTTTATGACATAATCAAGAAGCTATGATCAGTTGGAAAAAATTTTGAGCCTCTGTCTCTTTAAAAAACGGCTCCTGTTTCTGATCATTACAACATGGCTCCTCTATTAAACCAACATTTTCACCAGAGAAGTACCTCCTCAGTGTTTGCCAATTGCTGCTGGCTAGTCTGAAGGAGCTGAGTGGGGGAGGAACTTTGTCCTCTAGGGCGGGGCTAGGTCCACCCAGGTGTTTTGCTCATTGAATGTTTGCCATGGAGATTAAAGGATTTATCAAACATGCATGACAGAATCAAAGCAACATTTGATTCCCTCATCAAAAACAAGACTGTTTTTGATGAGGGAAAAACATCAAGACATGATGAATAGATTTTAAAGAAAGGTAAATTTTACATAATACCGCCCTTTAAGCAAAATCAGCCTGTTAGGATTTAAAGTGGCAGAAGCCCTAAAACAGCTCAACATAGGCAGGAATGAGCAGACTAAAATCTCATCATCAAAGAATGATTTCGTGAAAAAAATGTAATGAACATGTTTTATATAACCTGTTCAATGAAGCACAGATGATTTGTAATAAGCTAAAACTGATATCAGAAACTGGCCAGAACCGTCTGATTGGTGGAGACTCAAATGTTTGTTGTAAAAGATAATTTTATGTGATACATAACAAACATGTTGAAACTGAAGCAGGCGGTGATACTCACACCACGGAGGTTTCTCAGAGCGAGATCTGAGCGACATGGAGGTCGACAGCACCCTCTGAGGGATGTAAGCGTCCACCGACGGCTGATTGTGAGCGCTCAACATGGCCGACAGATCTGGGGGAGAGAGGGGAACAAAGAGCAAATTAAACTTCAGGAAGTTATTGCTGCTGGTTTTGAAAAGAACAGCGAGGTTTCCTGACCTCTGGACGACCTGGTGTGCGTATCCCCGGCGCTCTCGCAGACGCTGGTGAGGAACTGGTTGACCTGCCTGAGCGACAGCGAGTTGTGCAGCGTCTCTAGCGGGTAGATGGAGGGCACCATGGAGCAGCCTTCGAAGCCTGCGGCAGAGGACACACAGGGCACCCGCGGGCGCGTCAGCTCAGATCCTGACACCGCAGGAAAACGGTGACGTCCGTCACCAAAAGGCCCGGCGACTCCCACCCAAAACCCCCCGACACGGTGCTGCGGGAACTGTAAGTGTCTGTCTGGCGGTCTGCGATCTCCAGCCGTCCCGTTCTGTTTGTTTCCACACAGGCAAGTTGCAAAAAAAACCATGCTGAACGCCCAGAAACGGGACACAACTAACAGGTCTCCAAATGTTTGCAAAAGCAAGCAGATTCCTCAAAACCGCCCCAACCAAAAAAACATAAACATCCACCGGTTTTATGAGTCCCTGTTCCTCCGACAACACGCTCCCCAAGCTGGTTAGTTCACAACCAGAGCCGATCATCAAACCGCAGCTGGAACAACCTGAGAGCACGGTGCTTTAACTAGGCCGGTGTTCGCCACAGAGACAGCAAACAAGCAGGAGTCGCATGCTGGTTAGGGTCAGGACAGAGGAGCCAAAGCGCCGAGCTGTAGGTCCGGTTCCTGTCTGAATCCGGACCGGGAACTTGCAGACTCGTGCGCCGACATTCAGGCATGTTTACATCCGTAAAGCACAACCCGCTGCAGTATGACGTGACGCACGGTGTCCCAACATGCTCACAAAGACGATTTTTACGCTCCACCTTTTCTTTATGCTGCTTAAAATTCAACATTATGAGGAAAATAAACTCAGTAAATAAAAGCTTTAGTGAAAAAGTACCAAACTGCTCAAAATAAAACTTAAATCAGGAACAAACACTCCAGATTTAGATCTGTTTTACTTCATCAGCCTGCTTTGATATAAAGCTTGTTTGGACCTGAATGTTGGTCATTTTGTTATGTTAGCTCCAAAGTCAGATCGATATTCCTGCTGTCTGCTATTCAGCTATCTTCCACTAATGCGCTAATAGCTGAATTCGGCAATAGCTTTCAGTAAATACCATGTTGGTGTAGCTCTTTAGGTTTAGCATCTACTAGTGTGTTGCTACAGTGCATGAGCATAAAATAAATAGAATATAGTGCTTTAATGTTAGCTTCTGCTAAATACCATGTTGGTGTAGCGCTTTAGCATTAGCTTTTGATAAATGCTGTGTATATATTGTCCTATAGCATTAGTTTAAGTCAAACAAATTGTTGGCGTAGTGCTTTAGCTTCAGCATTAGCAGAGCAAACATCTATGAAAAATGCTTTAGAGTTCAGCACAACTGTTATTTCAGTGAGCAGTTACTGGTTTTGGGTAAAACAAGTAATTTCTGTGAAGCCAACGCATCAATCAAAATCAACAATATTTGGAAGAACTTATGTCAGAAAAAAGCCCAGCTGGTGAAATGTTGAGGTGAAGAAACAGGTGAGGATCACACACCTTCCTACATGAACATTAGGAGAAACCTGGACTGATCCTTACAGACGTTCATGAAAGTATTCATCCCCTTTAAAGATTTTCACATTTTGTCACGTTGCAACATGGAAACAAATAAGAACAAAGCAATGCATCATACTAATTAAGTGAATTAAATAGAAAAAGGGGATCTTGTTGTTCGAACCCTGCTTTAAACTTAATTTACTTTACAAAGTTTACTTTACTGCATCCCACAATGCAACACATACGGAAAGCCATTCGGCTCAAACTCAGCGTACTCCATAAATTAAACCCACCAGAACATAAACAAACAAATAACAATAAGGAAGGAAAATAAACCACAGTGAACATCTCTGGATTTATACGGACACTCACCGGCGTCTCTGAATTTTATTTATGCGTATCAGAATAATGGGGGCTAAGCATAATTGCACATGAAACTTCTAAGGCTTTTATTTAGAAAGCAAATCATCCAAGTGTCTGGCTGAAACATCCCACAATGTGAAAAACTATCAAAGGGTGTGAATACTTTTGCAACGACTCTATGGTTTCAGTTACACAGATGATCAGAATCTGTCCAGAACAGAAATAAGTACAAAAAAGTCCAAAGCAAACCTTTAAAAACAATCAAGAAAATCTGGAGGAATAAATATTTTTCTGTTTTTAAAGACGGTTTTAGATACAATCTGAGGAAAATTTGAAGATTCCAGTCAAATGGTTAATATTTAAGACAATGAGGCTGTCACTGTTTGGTTGCACTTCAAAACTGATCCGCAAAATATAATCCTTGTTAAATTACACTATAAATAAATCAACCTGAATTTAGCTGATTAAATCCAAATAAATCATCGAAGTACAACCATTGATTAAAATTTTATTTCTAATAAATTAGCTTAATGTTTAATGTTATATATTATTCTTAATGGTCATATTTAGATCAAAACTATAATTCTTATAATATTTAAGGAAATTTTAGCCACCAGATGAAAAAAATGCACATTTGGAATTTATGTAACCTAATAAAATAGAATCTGGTATAATAATAATAATACATTGTGGCTTAATACATTAAGTTAATAACGTAAAAGCATTTTTTAAAATATAAAATAATTGTATATTATATACTATAATGCAATAAAACATAATTTAATATCATTTAATCTACTTTCATATATAAAAGTGAAAAATTTTTAAAATTTTATATATTTCAACATAACATTTTGGAAACAGAATTTAACAATTTAAATTAATAAAATGTAATAATTAATATAACGAAACTTTATATATTAATATAATTTGAAATATGTAAAATATGTAACAACTGTCAACTTAGTTGTCATATAATAAAATATAACAATTTAATATATAATCGCAATTTTATAAAATGTAATAAAAAATATTTAATGACATTATTTAATGTATAATAATTTTATAAAGTAAAAATCAATATACAATTCAACCTAATATAACTGAACAGAATTTATAATATCACATAATGTAATTTAACATTTAATATAAAATAGTTTGATATAATAGTTTCATGTTATAACATTTAATACAAGTTAGTGTAATACAATTTACTATAATAAATATAAAACTTTTATATAAAATAATGTCATATAACATATAATTGAACATTTTAATAGGACATTATTTGATATAAATTCATATAATGAAAGATAAAATAATATAATAAAATATAATCAATATAACCATTTAATATCATATAATTTAACCTGATATATATGTTAATAGTCATGTTTGGATCCAATCAATTATTATAAGTACATTTTATAAAATATAATTTCATATAATTTAATAGTTTAATATTACATAATTTGGTATGTCAATATAATAAAGTTCAACTTTTTAATATAAAATAATATATATTTTTATTGTTATGTCTGAGTGAAAATATTTAAGGAAGTTTTCATCCTCAGATGGAAATTTCTGCATATTTGGTATTTAGAGAAGAATAATATGGTTGTAAAGTTTCCTGAGAAATAATTCAGTATTTTCAAGGCGATTGTAGTAAAGTCAGTAATCTGTGTGGTAAAATGGCGGCAGAGCTGGAGTTGCTGAGACTTGCGGCTGAGGCCGCCGCAGCAGAAACAGGCAGGCATGCAGAAACACCAGGAGGCGAAGCAACGGGGGTCAACCACAGAGCAAGCACAGTCCCAACGAAACCAGAGGTTAATCAGAGGCTGGGGGAGCAGGAGGAGGGCGGGGCCTGGGGCTGACCGTGGAGGCACTCTAGGGGGTCCTGGCCGGAGATGAGCCAGTTTCGGAAGAGGCGCAGGTGGTAGGAGCACTGGTGGAGGTGGTGGGCCAGAGCGTGGTCCAGAGAGAGCTGGCGGCGGCCCGAGCTGAGGTCGGTGGATAAAAACCTCAACAACTGGGCCACATGGTGTTCCTCCACGGGCTCTGAGGAAGAAGAGGGAGAGCGAGTGGACAGAGCAGTGGGGGGAACAGAGGATACACAAGGGTTGATGCTGAGGGGGGAGAGAAGGTCTGAGGTACGACAGATGAGACAGGAGGAAGGAGGCGTGTGTAAGGTTGGGCGACTTTATCCACGGGAAGCAGCCGTTAAGCACTGAACGTGAAAAACTCCTTAAAGATTTTGACATTTGTATGATAAAAAATTGGATTTCTGCTTTTTTCTGTTTGTTCCGAGAGAGCTTCAGTGAATACGCTGCGTGTTTTTAGGGATGCACCGATTGCAGGTACGCGCTGCTAAACGGCAGAAAACAACTCATTGCTAAAGAACCATTTATCCGCCGTCAGCGTCCTGCTAGCTGCAGCGTAGCAACGGGGGCGAAGGGTAAGGAGAATGAGCAGCGCCACAAAAGATTGTGATTGACAGCACTAAGACCTGCCTCCTCGCTCTGATTGGTTGTTTTTGGTCTGGACTCGGTTGTAGTCGCTTGATTTTCTTCACAGAAGATCCGTCTCATACAGATTCAGCAGATATGTAAAATATTTTTCAGAAATGTTAACTTTAATTTTAAGTCCTTTTTTGAGCTATTTGGAATGTTCAAAATAAATATGCATGGAAATTAGACAGAATTAGAGCAAGAAGAAAAAAACAAAAAAAACAAAACTCAGAAATGCCTTGATAAGTAAAACAATCATGTTTACGTCATTTGGATTTCGTGATGTGCAGGCGGTTCATTTTACCAGGCGGTGCTGAAGACCAGTTCAGAAAATGCACTTAAATGTGTTTTTCTGCAATTTGTGAACTCAAACGATTTTAATGAATTTCCCATTTAACGGCATTTGATGGTATTTAATCGTTTTCCAACATTTTTAATTATTTTAAACAGTTTGTAACCCTGTTTCACCGCATTTAGTTGTATTTCAGGGCTGGTTGATGGAACTGCAGCATCTGGTGATTGTGTTTAAATACTGAAAAATAAAAATCTAGACTGGGAATTGTGACAATGTGCTTGATCCATGAGGATCTATGTAGTCTAATTCTATGCTCTGTGCTCTGAGCAAAGCCATTCTTTATTTTTATTTTACATTGGCTGTTCTGCTCTTTGTTCACTGACTGAACAAATTCAAGTTGTTTTCACCCGTTTGACCAACGCCGTGAAGCTGTTGGTGTGTTTAAACTGCTGCATTGCTGCAATTATTGCATCAGTTTGTAATTCAGCACATTTATGTCTGTGTTTAAAAAAACAAACATTTTAACCAGTATTCACTTTTCACTTCCAAATCAATGTTGGAAGTGAAGACAGTTGACCGGTGCATCCCTTTCATCCAGGTAAAGCCGTTGGATTATTTGTATGTTTGAAAAAAGTCCAAAGATCAAATCAGAATCTTATTGGTTTGGGAAGTGGAAAAAGTGGCTCAGTGCATCTTTACTGGAGTCCTTTGCTGAAAATGCGCCAAACCACTTTGGTTGCAACTTATGGCTCTTATCTTTCATCCAGTTAAAGCTGTTGCAGCTTTTGGCAACTACTTGATAAACCTTTAGACTTGTGTGACCATTTAAACTGTTTCATCCAAATGTCTTTTGTGTGAACATATCGGCCGTTGTCCTTTGTTGTACGGACGGATATCGGTTGGAAAAGCGCTGCACATCGCCAAACCTTAGTGTGGTGCACCGTGTGTGTGAGGGATGAGCTCTCATCAACGGCAGCAACAGCCAACAGTCAGAAGAAGCAGCAAATCATCCGGGAAGTTCCCAGGGTGTCAGTGAAGCTCAAGGCAAGGCACAGAAAATGACAGGTTGCTCCTCTGCAGCCTCTGGACAGAACCGAGCGACCCGAAGACGGACAACGAAAGCCGCGAAGGAGCAAGAGACACAGCAGCGGCGGCTACGGGAACCAAGGAAGCCCAAACTTCCCCCAGGGTTGTTAAAACATCAACAGACTGCCTGACACCACCCGGTTAATGACATACGGCCTGTGGACGTGTTAATACCAGCACAAACCAGCAGCAGAACCGGTCAGGGCTGTACCTGTCCAACTGCACAAGCGGGACGCAGACGATGTGACGGTGGACGAGTCGTCTTGTGTCCCTGCGGTGAATGACACATCAGTGACAACAGGACAATTTCAGGGTTCATCAGCTGCACAGGCACTAAACAACTCACAAAACCACCAAAAATAAAAACAGCAATTACTCTGTTTAAAAACCAACCACAGTCCCCGACCCGTCGAGCGGAACCAAGAAACTACCATGTGGAGCATGAATAAGAGGCCATCGTTGCACTCTGCTCTAAATCTGGATTTTCCCAAAGCAAAGACACAGAGAAGCATGAGAAGAGCAAACAGGATGACCTTTAACCCTGTCTGAGGATTACAGATTCAACTGGGCAGAGAGCAAAGAAGAAGAGTTAAATCCTAGCATGTGGCTTTAAATCTTCATGCCAACTGGACCTCTCCCAATAACTTCTGCTGGACGATGAATTGTACCACAAGTTATTGCAATAAATGATAATATTGTAGTTCTGAGACCGTTTAAGTAATATAATGTTAATGGCAAAATAAAAATGCAAAAATATTCTGAAAGATCAATAAACTTTAAATTCTAGTAAAAATTTAATTCTGAAACTGGAAAACTCTTTAAATGTCCAACATACATAAACAAAAACATCAAATTAAATGACTTATAATATCTCTGTATACAAAACTATTCTTCAAGAAAGGTTGAGTTGAGACCAAAGCAGCAGATTGACAACTTTTATCATCCAGTTTTTGACAGAAAGACAAGAGAAAAACAATAAATCATGGCAATGGAAATTATTGAGTTCATTTTAATTGATCATGCAATTAATTGATTTATTGTTTATTGCAACAGGCCTAATGGAAGCAAGTGTGTGTTCAATGTAATTACATGCAAACAAACAGACACACACACGCAGACACACACACACATACGCTGCTGAGCAATGACTGATCAGGCGATGGTAACAGATCAGATGTAAAACAGGGTTCCCACCTGAAGGTCACAACTTTTATTTAAAATCATGGAAACTGTGAAAAAATTATTCACATTTTACTTGTTTTACGTATTTTTATAAGATTTTACCAGAGCTAAAATGAAGAAGATAGTCGTGCTTAAAATCTTAAAATGGCTTTTATTTCCATTCACACATTAAAGTTACTGCAAATTTTATTCTGTAGCAAAATACAATAAAAATGTCAGGAAATGTGTTTTCAAACGACAGAAAGTAAAGGAAAAGTTACACTAAAGCTGTAAAAAAATAAAATTATAATTTTCTTCAAATGCCAGAATTTGCTGTATAAAACGACATGACAGGAATATTTTGGCTTATTTAGCCAGAAGAGGAAAAAATTGGAGGTTCATTTTTGAAAGTCATATTTTAAGCTTGCAATTCATTTAGTTTTTTACATATTTAGTTGGAGAATATGTTTCAATTAATATGAGTTACAACAACAATTAATTTCCCTTTGGGATTAATAAAGTATTTCTGAATTGAATAAATATCAAACTAAATATTTCATTAGCTTCAACCTGATATTTAGCTAATATCCCAGTTCAGTTGCCAATAACCGAAAGTGGACTATCAAAATAAAACCGCCTTTTATTGTGACAGTCAACTTCCAGTTATTGGCATGTCAACTAAATATTTAGGTCAGAAGCTAAACATTTAGCTCTAAACTAAATATTTTTCTAATTGACTAAACATTTAGTTTGAAGCTAATATTTAGCTCAGAGCTAAAGATTTAACTAATATCCAAATTCACTAACCAGAGTGGCAATCTAAATATTTAGATCAGAAGTTTTGAAGCAAAGTATTTAGCTTAAAAACTAGAAATTCAGTTTGTACTAAATATTTAGTTTAAATTTTGGCTCGAAGCTGTATATTTAGCTTCCATCTAATATTTGGTAAATATTAGATGGAATATTAAATCCAGCTAATAGATTTGCTAAGTATGCAAATCCATTAGCAAACATTTGCATACTTAGCTAATATGCAAATCTCTTGTGAGTAACTGGAACTATCAAACTGGCAGATTTAATTTTGGTAGTAAACTTCCAGTTATTGGCAAGTGAATTTATATATTACTAACATACGGTATTCAGATGGCTAAAGCAATGACAGGCTACAAATCTCCACCACCTTGGTCACTGATCATCCTAACCTCGCACATGTTCACCCGTGAAACCGACTCGGACGATTTTCCTGTGTTTTCACATGGATGCACAACAAACTACTAGAGTTTGCAGTTCAAATTTTGCTTCAGTCAAAAAAGAACTTGAAAGGCATCTTCAAACAACGATTATTACTGTAGTCAAAAATCAACACTGTCTCATTTCTACATTATAAAACGACGACTATATTCGTGAAGTTAGGGGAAACATGGTAGTAAAAATAAGTAAAAACATCTAAAAATTTAAAATTCATCAAACTCTGCCATGTTAACCACCTGTGTGACAACAACACCACTAATTGGCCTCCTCCTTAAAAAAAACCTACCGTATTCCATTATTTATATGCTGTAATCCAACATAAGAGTACATTCACACCAGCCCAGTTCAGACCATTTTTATCAAACTCCGGTTCCTTTGATTAGAAAGTCCAGTTCGTTTGAATGCAAACTCTGATCCTACAAACCTAGGACTGGGTTTGATTGAAGTGAACTCTGGTGCAAACGTGAACAACAAGTGGCCCAGTGACCGATCCAAAAGTAGGAGGCAGACGACAGCGCAGGGCATTCTGGGTAAATACAACCGAAACAAATGCACTATGCTATCGCTAGCGGGAGAAATTACTCATGACATTAAGCCAAAGACAAAAGAGAAATCCTCCAACACCACTCCATTTTTGTTTACATTTCCTGAAGAAGGAAGTTGGACTTGGTGCAGCGCCCCCACAGGTGAGGAAAGGAACAGATTGCTCAAGCAGTTTGATTGTTTTGCCTCAGAGCAGAGAGAAAGAGAACCACAGCAGCTGGAAATATAATAAATGTCGCAACTCTGATTCCCAATAAAACTGAGTTTATCCAGACTATCAGGTGTGACAACACCTTAAATAATCCTGGTTCATGCCACAGGAACCATGGGAAACTGCAACAAGGACTAACAACAGCCAGGTGGGAAAAACGTTCCCAGTTACAACAAGAATGAGCAACAGGATGATTTCTGCATGGTTAGGAAAATGTTAGCAGTTATATTAAAATTCTTCTGTAATGACCTTTAGAAAATATGCTGACATTCCCAACATTTGTTCATGAGGCTTAAAATGAAGGATTAGTGGGAACCCTGGTTAGACAGAGAATGTCAGTGTTAGAAAAATAAGAGTCCAAAGCGGATGAATTAAAGAAAAATTTGGTAGAAAAACAGCAAAATAACGGAAACCTGAAAATGCTGGAGGGCCATGTGGAATAAAAAAATTTAAAAAAATTATCCAAAGTAGAAAAAAACTAAAAGTTTGAAGGCATGCAAGACAAAGGGAGGTGCAGTGGAATAATACTTGAAAGAAGCAGACGTACCATTAGTCGGATGCTTTGCAAACGACACAGAAAATCGTTTTACTGCCGGCATAGACAACAACTCTGAGGAAATAAAACAAATAAAATAAATAAAAAAATTCACTAGAGTCACCATGAACCAAAACAGCTCACATGTATCATGTTGTGCAAGTCCCTGGGTTTTCCTAATGTGCTTGGGGGAAAGTAAATGGACCTAAACAAATGAGACTCAGAAGGATGTCCTGCTTTCAGGTTTAAGGTAAAACATGCAAAATGTTTGAAGATGTTTTACTCATGGCTGTCAGTGGAACATCTTCAGATGAGGAAGTGACATGACACCATTAAAACTCAAACAATAAACAACAAAAAAGTAAAGAAAATACAAGCCTCCGCTTTCCTAAAGTCAAACCAAGACGAGCCAAACGACGACACTCAGATATTCTGACCAAGTTGCTACAGAAAAACATGCACTAACTCTTTAAAATGTGGAAGAACAGGCTGAAGTAGTTTGATTCCTTCCATTCCTGAAAGCGAGGTGCAACAAGATGGACGACAAAGATGAGACAATCAGGAGGATGGAGGTGAGTCGGCACAGTCCCACACTGACACCTACTGGACGACCGCAGCACTGCAGTCACAACTCAGAAAATGGTTGGTTTTAATGGGAATTTATTTGGATCTTTATGTTTTCTCCTCTTTTGAAGCATGTCCAATACAATCATGCTCAAATGGAGGAATACGGTGGAAAGTGTTGGGCTGGGCAATATGTCAGATTTAAATCTAAAGATCCAGACTCCAAAAAGCCTGGAGAACAACTGATCAACGCCACATTGAAAGGAATACAAGAAAATAAATCTGATCAAAATTAAAAATATGAGCTCAACAATAAGACAAATTATTGCCTTATTTTACATTCATCTTTCTTGCTTTTTTTGTAAAGTTTAAATGTTCCAAAGTGTCAGCAGATTTTAACATAAAACACAAATAAGCAGAGCAGAAAAATTCAGTTTTCTGTCATATATTCCAATTTCCTATGAGCATTAGAGCCATGGTAAAAACAAAGAAAAACAAAAATAGTTATATTGTGAGAAAATATCATGAGAAACAATAATCACAATATTAGGAGAGAAAAAACAATCAGGAAAATTAAGTTATAATATCTGAATAAAGTTGTATGACAGACAGTAAGTCGAAACATTATGAGAAAACAAATCTTATTAATTTTAGAGTAAAGTCATATTACAAGAATACTGTAGAAATAATGTGGAAAAAAAAGCCATGATACATAATTAAAGTCACACCATTACGGAAAGTTGTACCACCATAAAAAAATTCCCAAAAATACGAAATTATTATCATATAAAAGAAGCCAAATTTATGAGAATGAAGTTGTGAGGACAACAACATCCCCACCAAAACAACAATAAAACCCGGGTCACCGGTGAGCTAAAGAAACTGCCAAATAAAAAAAGATTAGTTATTGAGGATTACAGAGAATCCTAATTTTAATCAAAGATTAGCGACAGCAAAGAGAAGAATCTGGAGAAGAAGGTGCAGAGGAACATCAGAGATGTTTGTTCAGGAATTAAGAAAATCAGGCAAACGGAGAAACGTTAGTGACTCGGCACGGTCCCACGTTTCCTTACCACGGCGACGTAATCATCGAAAAACGAGCCAAATTCAAATCAAAATGAATTCTCACTGTTTTGTGTCAGAAAGAGAGACTGAATCCTGCCAGGCCCTCTGCGTCACCACAGCAGCAGCACACTGAGCAGGGCAGAGCTGAAATCAGAACGACACAGCCGCCATCTTAGCGGAACACTTAGAACAAGCACAATGGCAGGCGACCAGAGGACCAGAGGAAGTAATATACCCGTACACTGAAAGCCACAATGGACTTTCAAAATAAAACCCACATATATCCTACGCAATAAAAGCCTTAATATGTTAAACTGGAAGTAATTACTGTTTTTGGTTTTATATGACTGGTATAAGCCAACCACTGTTGCCAAAGTATTTGCATGGCATTTTAAAATGAAGTTTATGAAAGATTTCTAAATAAAAGCCCCGGACACCCATTCATTTTTTTGTTTTAGTTGATTTAAAAGTTATTTCTGGTGCTCATTTTCTGCTTTGATACTCTGACAAGAAATGGAAAAATTTCTGACAAGAAAAAGACCAAAAGAACTGTAGTAAAGCCAGCATCGTCAGTACTTTCTTCTTCCGTGGATTGGAGGAAGCAGCTGTTTTGTGTAACATAACATACAAGAACAACTTAATAGGGATTACTTGGCAGTAATTAACTCCAGTTAGTAGGTCAAAATATTTACAAATGCATTTTAAGCTATGATAGAAGGCACAAAAACCCTAGAAAATATAAAATAACCAAGTAATTTTAGTACATTTACAATAAAAACTGAACTGGTTTGTCCACACTGCCACCTGGTGGCAAAGGATTCATGTAAGTATGTTTGATTTGCCTGTTCTTACCTGTCTCTCACCTGTGGTTTATGTACGACTCATCTGGATTTCCTGCTGCCCTCCACTCCCAAATATTTCAGAAATCCTTCCAATATGGACACTAAAAATCTCCTATGATGTCTACAATAGCTCCTCATACAAACAGACAAGAATGTTGTCACCGTTGTGTTTCTCACCAGAATCTTCATCTTCTGGTGCACTGTCTTTCTTTCTATCTTCAGCATTTCCTCCATCTTCTGATTATCAGAAAATATGTTGTAATTAATAATTGAACTTCATTTAAATTAATATATATATATATATATATATATATATATATATATATATATATATATATATATATATATATATATATATATATATATATAAATAATAGGCAACCAAAACACAACAGTACATAACCTGTTTATCAGAGTTGGGGCGTAAATAGTTGCATCAAATCAATAACATTTTTTTTAAATGTACCTTTAGGAGTATTTTATTTTTACTTTTAAATGAATAATTTTTTCTGAAGTATTTCTACTCTTACTTCAGGATTTTCTGCCTACCGTCTCTGTTTATTTATTTTTACATCTTCACTGTCTGACTAGCAAAAAAAAGTGCTGTAACTAATAACCAGATTTGAAATAAAGCCTAATAAGCAACAAATACATTTTAAATCTGGATTTCACAATAAAAACTGAAGTGAAAATAATGCGAACTCTCTTGCTCTATAAGTTAGAAAATTTAAAATCAAGTTAAAAAATGTAACTGAATAAAAGTTCATTTAGAATCGAGTGAACTGATAATCACTTTGTGGCCTGAAATTACCAGTCAATTTTCTCACCTGATTCGTCCGTTTTATCCTTCTCACTTTTCTTAGTCTCATCTTTTTCACTCTGTTCTATTAGTTAGAAAACAAAAAATATCAAAAGAAAATATGTAAATATATAAATAAATCTATACAATATAAATATATATCCTTATTCTCAATAAATATAGAAATTATTCCATCAGAATGAGTGAAAATCAAGTTCACCTCAAATCACCTGACTACTGTCTCACCTGATCCTCTTCTATCCCTCTCTCTTTTCTCACGCTTCTCACTTTTCTTTGCCTCCTCTTTTGCACTCTGTTCTACTAGTTAGAAAACAAAAATATCAAAATAAAATGCATATATATATGTATATAAATAAGTATAAATCAATGCACAATACATATGGCCTTATTCACAATGAATATTGAGATTATTATGTAAGAATGAGTGAAGATCAAGCAGAAACACTGAGCTGAATGTGAGAAGTTTTATGAATTAGATTTCATTTAAAATCACATTAAAGAAATCTCCTGACTTGATAATCACTTTGTGGCCTCAGCTGAAACCACCTGGCATCTTTCTCACCTGGCTCCTCTGTTTTATCTTTCACACTTTTCACAGCCTCCTCTTTTCCACTCTGCTCTATTAGTTAGATAAAAAATATCAACATAAAGTGCCTATACACATAAATCTATGCACAATATCAACATAAAGCCTTCTTTCTGAATAAATATTGAGATAAAAAATATCGAGCTGAATATGACAAATAGTATAAGATTTCATTTGAAATCACATTAAGGAAATTTCCTGACATGAAAATCATTTTATGGTCTCAACTGAAAAGCCACAGTTGAGGCCACATCTTTCTCACCTGGCTCCTCTGTTTTATCCCTTTCACTTTTCTCACTTTTCTCACTTTTTTCTGCCTTTTCTCTTTTACCAAGTTCTGCTAGTTAGTAAACAAAAAAATATCAAAATAAACTGCATATAAATAAATCTATACAATATAAATATATAGCCTTATTCTCAATAAATATCAAGATCATTACATTGGAGTGAGTTAAAATCAAGTAAAAAAAAACAAAAAACGAGCTTCATGTGACAAGTAGATTTAGATTTCATTTAAAATCATATTAAGAACATTTCCTGACATGAAAATCATTTTGTGGCCTCAACTCAAATCATCTGGCATCTTTCTCACCTGGCTCCTCTGTTTTATCCGTCTCAGTTTTCTCACTTTTCTTGGCCGCCTCCTTTTTATCGAGTTCTACTACTTAGACAACAAAAAATATAAAAATAAACTACGTATATATGAATCTATGAATAATATAAATATATAGCCTTATTCTGAATGAATATTGAGATAATTATATAGGCATGAGTGAAAACTGAAATATTCTAAACTGATAATCACTTTGTGGCCTGAATTCAACTATCAACTTTCTCACCTGATCCTCTTCTACCCCGCTCTCTTTTCTCACTTTTCTTAGCCTCCTCGTTTCCATTCTGTTCTATTAGTCAGCAAACAAAAATATCAAAATAAACTGCATATATATATATATATATATATATATATATATATATATATATATATATATATATATATATATATATGTGTAAATAAATCAATGCACAATACGTATGGCCTAATTCACAATAGATATTATGTAAGAATGAACAAATATCAAGCTAAAAACTGAGCTGAATGTGAGAAGTCACATGAATTAAAGTTAATTTAAATTAATATTAACCCTCCTGTTGTCTTCGGGTCATTTTGACCCGAAGACAACAGGAGGTTAGTCTTATTTTTTTCGTCAAGTTCACATTTGAATTGCTCCAGCAGAAAATTCCATCTGAGTTGTGAACACTGTAGGTCTGATTCAGGACTGTTAGATTTCAAGTTTCTGTATGCAGTTGCAATTAAAAAAATGTTTTATAAGGGCTTGTCCTCGGGTCATGTCAACCCGAGGGCAACAGGAGGGGGGGAAATTTGAAAAGATATCAGTTTTACGGAGATCAGTGATGCCATTCCATACTGTTTGCCTGTCCAGCTGTAATTTCCTTAGTCTTCCGGTCAGTCTGACCTGAGGCCTGGGTTTAGTTATTTTTATTTCTTTTGCAAAGTTCACATTTGAATTGCTTGAGCCTAAACTTCCCCCTGAGTTGTGCACACCGTAGTTCTGATGCAGGACTGTTAGATTAAAGTTTCTGTATGCAGCTGCAATTGAAAAACATATTTTTAAGGGCTTGTCCTCGGTCGACATGAGCCGAGGACAACAGGAGGGTTAAGGAAATCTCCTGACATGGAAATCATTTTGTGACCTCAACTGAAATCATCTGGCGTCTTTCTCACCTGATTCCTCCGTTATATCTGGCTCACGTTTCTTGACGACCTCTTTTTTACTGAGTTCTGTCACTTAAATAACAAAAAAAACTATCAAAATAAAGTCTTTATGTAGAAATCTGTAAATACTATAAATATATAGCCTTATTCTCAATAAATATGAAATTATTCCATCAGAATGAGTGAAAATCAAGTTCACCTCAAATCACCTGACTACTGTCTCACCTGATCCTCTTCTATCCCTCTCTCTTTTCTCACGCTTCTCACTTTTCTTTGCCTCCTCTTTTGGACTCTGTTCTACTAGTTAGAAAACAAAAATATCAAAATAAAATGCATATATATGTATATAAATAAGTATAAATCAAAGCACAATACAATCAATGCACAATACATATGGCCTTATTCACAATGAATATTGAGATTATCATGTAAGAATGAGTGAAGATCAAGCAGAAACACTGAGCTGAATGTGAGAAGTTTTATGAATTAGATTTCATTTAAAATCACATTAAAGAAATCTCCTGACTTGATAATCACTTTGTGGCCTCAGCTGAAACCACCTGGCATCTTTCTCACCTGGCTCCTCTGTTTTATCTTTCACACTTTTCACAGCCTCCTCTTTTCCACTCTGCTCTATTAGTTAGATAAAAAATATCAACATAAAGTGCCTATACACATAAATCTATGCACAATATCAACATAAAGCCTTCTTCTGAATAAATATTGAGATAAAAAATATCGAGCTGAATATGACAAATAGTATAAGATTTCATTTGAAATCACATTAAGGAAATTTCCTGACATGAAAATCATTTTATGGTCTCAACTGAAAAGCCACAGTTGAGGCCACATCTTTCTCACCTGGCTCCTCTGTTTTATCCCTTTCACTTTTCTCACTTTTCTCACTTTTTTCTGCCTTTTCTCTTTTACCAAGTTCTGCTAGTTAGTAAACAAAAATAATATAAACTGCATATAAATAAATCTATACAATATAAATATATAGCCTTATTCACAATAGACATTGAGATTATTATATAGGCATGAGTGAAAATTGAAATATTCTGAACTGATAACTTAGAGGCCTGAAATCACCAGACAATTTTCTCACCTGATTCGTCCGTTTTATCCTTCTCACTTTTCCTAGTCTCATCTTTTTCACTCTGTTCTATTAGTTAGAAAACAAAAAATATCAAAAGAAAATCCAAATATATAAATAAATCTATACAATATAAATATATAGCCTTATTCTCAATAAATATCAAGATCATTACATTGGAGTGAGTTAAAATCAAGTAAAAAAAAAAAAAACGAGCTTCATGTGACAAGTAGATTTAGATTTCATTTAAAATCATATTAAGAAAATTTCCTGACATGAAATCATTTTGTGGCCTCAACTCAAATCATCTGGCATCTTTCTCACCTGGCTCCTCTGTTTTATCCGTCTCAGTTTTCTCACTTTTCTTGGCCGCCTCCTTTTTATCGAGTTCTACTACTTAGACAACAAAAAATATAAAAATAAACTACGTATATATGAATCTATGAATAATATAAATATATAGCCTTATTCTGAATAAATATTGAGATAATTATATAGGCATGAGTGAAAACTGAAATATTCTAAACTGATAATCACTTTGTGGCCTGAATTCAACTATCAACTTTCTCACCTGATCCTCTTCTACCCCGCTCTCTTTTCTCACTTTTCTTAGCCTCCTCGTTTCCATTCTGTTCTATTAGTCAGCAAACAAAAATATCAAAATAAACTGCATATATATATATATATATATATATATATATATATATATATATATATATATATATATATATATATATATATATATATATATATATATATGTAAATAAATCAATGCACAATACGTATGGCCTAATTCACAATAGATATTATGTAAGAATGAACAAATATCAAGCTAAAAACTGAGCTGAATGTGAGAAGTCACATGAATTAAAGTTAATTTAAATTAATATTAAGGAAATCTCCTGACATGGAAATCATTTTGTGACCTCAACTGAAATCATCTGGCGTCTTTCTCACCTGATTCCTCCGTTATATCTGGCTCACGTTTCTTGACGACCTCTTTTTTACTGAGTTCTGTCACTTAAATAACAAAAAAAACTATCAAATAAAGTCTTTATGTAGAAATCTGTAAATACTATAAATATATATCCTTATTCTCAATAAATAGAAATTATTCCATCAGAATGAGTGAAAATCAAGTTCACCTCAAATCACCTGACTACTGTCTCACCTGATCCTCTTCTATCCCTCTCTCTTTTCTCACGCTTCTCACTTTTCTTTGCCTCCTCTTTTGCACTCTGTTCTACTAGTTAGAAAACAAAAATATCAAAATAAAATGCATATATATGCATATAAATAAGTATAAATCAATGCACAATACATATGGCCTTATTCACAATGAATATTGAGATTATCATGTAAGAATGAGTGAAGATCAAGCTGAATCACTGAGCTGAATGTGAGAAGATTATGAATTAGATTTAATTTAAAATCACATTAAAGAAATCTCCTGACTTGATAATCACTTTGTGGCCTCAGCTGAAACCACCTGGAAACTTTCTCACCTGGCTCCTCTGTTTTATCTTTCACACTTTTCACAGCCTCCTCTTTTCCACTCTGCTCTATTAGTTAGATAAAAAATATCAACATAAAGTGCCTATACACATAAATCTATGCACAATATCAACATAAAGCCTTCTTCTGAATAAATATTGAGATAAAAATATCGAGCTGAATATGACAAATAGTATAAGATTTCATTTGAAATCACATTAAGGAAATTTCCTGACATGAAAATCATTTTATGGTCTCAACTGAAAAGCCACAGTTGAGGCCACATCTTTCTCACCTGGCTCCTCTGTTTTATCCGTCTCACTTTTCTCACTTTTTTCTGCCTTTTCTCTTTTACCAAGTTCTGCTAGTTAGTAAACAAAAAAATATCAAAATAAACTGCATATAAATAAATCTATACAATATAAATATATAGCCTTATTCACAATAGACATTGAGATTATTATATAGGCATGAGTGAAAATTGAAATATTCTGAACTGATAACTTAGAGGCCTGAAATCACCAGACAATTTTCTCACCTGATTCGTCCGTTTTATCCTTCTCACTTTTCCTAGTCTCATCTTTTTCACTCTGTTCTATTAGTTAGAAAACAAAAAATATCAAAAGAAAATCCAAATATATAAATAAATCTATACAATATAAATATATAGCCTTATTCTCAATAAATATCAAGATCATTACATTGGAGTGAGTTAAAATCAAGTAAAAAAAAAAAAAAAACGAGCTTCATGTGACAAGTAGATTTAGATTTCATTTAAAATCATATTAAGAACATTTCCTGACATGAAAATCATTTTGTGGCCTCAACTCAAATCATCTGGCATCTTTCTCACCTGGCTCCTCTGTTTTATCCGTCTCAGTTTTCTCACTTTTCTTGGCCGCCTCCTTTTTATCGAGTTCTACTACTTAGACAACAAAAATATAAAAATAAACTACGTATATATGAATCTATGAATAATATAAATATATAGCCTTATTCTGAATGAATATTGAGATAATTATATAGGCATGAGTGAAAACTGAAATATTCTAAACTGATAATCACTTTGTGGCCTGAATTCAACTATCAACTTTCTCACCTGATCCTCTTCTACCCCGCTCTCTTTTCTCACTTTTCTTAGCCTCCTCGTTTCCATTCTGTTCTATTAGTCAGCAAACAAAAATATCAAAATAAACTGCATATATATATATATATATATATGTAAATAAATCAATGCACAATACATATGGCCTTATTCACAATAGATATTATGTAAGAATGAGCAAAAATCAAGCTAAAAACTGAGCTGAATGTGAGAAGTCATATGAATTAAAGTTAATTTAAATTAATATTAAGGAAATCTCCTGACATTGACATCATTTTGTGACCTCAACTGAAATCATCTGGCATCTTTCTCACCGGATTCCTCCGTTATATCTGGCTCACGTTTCTCACGTTTCTTGACGACCTCTTTTTTACTGAGTTCTGTCACTTAAATAAAAAAAAACTATCAAAATAAAGTCTTTATGTAGAAATCTGTAAATACTATAAATATATATCCTTATTCTCAATAAATACAGAAATTATTCCATCAGAATGAGTGAAAATCAAGTTCACCTCAAATCACCTGACTACTGTCTCACCTGATCCTCTTCTATCCCTCTCTCTTTCTCACGCTTCTCACTTTTCTTTGCCTCCTCTTTTGCACTCTGTTCTACTAGTTAGAAAACAAAAATATCAAAATAAAATGCATATATATGTATATAAATAAGTATAAATCAAAGCACAATACATATGGCCTTATTCACAATGAATATTGAGATTATTATGTAAGAATGAGTGAAGATCAATCTGAAACACTGAGCTGAATGTGAGAAGTTTTATGAATTAGATTTCATTTAAAATCACATTAAAGAAATCTCCTGACTTGATAATCACTTTGTAGCCTCAGCTGAAACCACCTGGAAACTTTCTCACCTGGCTCCTCTGTTTTATCTGTCTCAGTTTTCTCACTTTTCTCGGTCATCTCTCTTTTACCGAGTTCTACTAGTTAGAAAACAAAAAAACATCAAAAGAAAATATGTAAATATATAAATAAATCTACACAATATGAATATATAGCCTTAATCTCAATAAATATTGATATTATTACATAAGGATGAGTGACAAATTGAGCTGAAAGTGACTATTTGAAAAGAAGTTAATTTAAAATCACCTTAAAGAAATATTGTGACTTGATAATCATTTTGTGACCTCAACTGAAATCATCTGGCGTCTTTCTCACCTGATTCCTCCGTTATATCTGGCTCACGTTTCTTGACGACCTCTTTTTTACTGAGTTCTGTCACTTAAATAACAAAAAAAACTATCAAAATAAAGTCTTTATGTAGAAATCTGTAAATACTATAAATATATATCCTTATTCTCAATAAATATAGAAATTATTCCATCAGAATGAGTGAAAATCAAGTTCACCTCAAATCACCTGACTACTGTCTCACCTGATCCTCTTCTATCCCTCTCTTTTTCTCACGCTTCTCACTTTTCTTTGCCTCCTCTTTTGCACTCTGTTCTACTAGTTAGAAAACAAAAATATCAAAATAAAATGCATATATATGCATATAAATAAGTATAAATCAATGCACAATACAATCAATGCACAATACATATGGCCTTATTCACAATGAATATTGAGATTATCATGTAAGAATGAGTGAAGATCAAGCTGAATCACTGAGCTGAATGTGAGAAGATTATGAATTAGATTTAATTTAAAATCACATTAAAGAAAATCTTCCGACATGAAAATAAAAAATTTTTTGACCTCAACTCAAATCACCTGGTATCTTTCTCACCTGACTCTTCTGACTCACGTTTCTTGGCCACTTCTCTTTTACCAAGTTCAACCCGTTATACAACAAAAGGGAAATCTCCTGAACTGATAATCACTTTATGGCCTCAAATCACCTGGCAACTTTCTCACCTGCTTCATCTTTTCTTGGCCACTTCTCTTTTACCCAGTTCCGTTGCTTAATAAACAAAAAACCTATCAAACTAAAATGTGTATATATATAAATCTATGCATCACATCTATAGATAGAATTATTCTCAGCAAATATTGAGATGAATACATAAGAATGAGTGAAACTCAAGTTAAAACATTGAGCTGAGTGTGACAAGTTGCATGAATTAAAGTGAATTTAAAATCAGACTAAAATAATCTCCTGACTTGATAATCATTTTGTGGTTTTAAATCACCTGACAGCTTCCTCACCTGCTTTCTTTCCTCTTTTGACCTGTTCTCTTCTCCTTTGTTCTCTTGCTTAAAAACAAAAAAATATTAAAATAAAGTTCATATATATTTATATAAACCTCAAGTGTTACATTAAAAGATTAATTTGCTTGTTTGACCGTTTTGCTTTTAATGACAGAAAAATCTGAAACGCCTGCACTACTCTGTGCAAATGAGCAGATACTTTCACTTTCTACACAGCATACATCTACAGACTGATCTGAGTGATTCGGAGCCCACATGCCAAACACTGTAGGAGTTCGCTCAGATACGCGTGAAAGAGAAAAATGGCAGTTTTGATTCAAAATGGCCGACTTCGTGTTTGGTTTGGGAGATGGCTCCAGGAGACGTTTTGGTCGGTCCTGCCATGATACACATATGCAACAACTTTCATGATTGTATGTCAAAGCTTGGCTTTATAGATTTCTAGGGGGCGCTGTGGAGAGATTAGGCCACGGCCGCCAGATACTGGACTGGATTAGGACCAATCCTAGTCAGTTTGGTGCAGCTCAACTCATAACTGTGAAAGTTGGAGACAAATGTACGGCAATGGCGAGCCCTCTGACTTCGCCATGGCCACACCTTACAGCAAAAACTCTTTGTGCTTTAAAAAAAACGCGAGACCAACTTGTTATCATCCTTCTGACACAAACTCATCCTGATAAGGTCAAGAGGGTCAGAGATGGAGCTTTCCAAGAAAAAAAAAAGATTTTCTGTTTTGAGAGGGCGTGGCTTTGATGATGTCACCATATGTCCACATATTATTTACGGTTATCTAACATGGATGCCTCATACCAAATTTGGTGCAAATCAGTGTTTCCATATGAAAGTTATAGAGTTTTGTTTGATTCTGCCACTTGGGTTTTATCAAGACCATCAAAACGTTTTGATAACTTTTAATCCCTCATTACTAAACTGCATGCTGAGTGAAAATGAACCAGATAGCTTAGCTTAAAATCCCTGGCAGGAGTTCGCGAAAGCTCGAGTTGCATAAATGTGAAAAATGGCTGAATTTGCCCTTTGACTCAAAATGGCCACCTCCCTGTACATTTTAGGACACACATCCAAGAGAGCTTTTTCCTAATCTGGGACGATCTACCAACCTACCAGGCTTCATATCTCCGCGATATACTGCTTGGCATGAACTCCATTAAAAACCTTTAATGGGACAATTGCGACAAAATTTTGCAAATTTGTGAAAAAGCTTAGGCTCCAAATCTACAACCTCTGGCTAAAAAGAATAATAATAAGACGAGAACAATTAATTAAGATCCACCAGGCCTTTGTAGCGCTTTTGCTGCTCGGGCCTCAGTAAATATTGAGATGAGTCCAGAGAAACGAATGAAAATCCAGCTCTACCTGGCAACTTTCTCACCTGCTCCCTGTTTCTTTGCCTTCTCAATTCTCCTGGCCTCATCTCTTCTACTTTGTTCTATTAGTTAAAAAACAAAAATACATTATATTAAAATGCTGTGTCTTATGTATCTAAATCTGCACAAAATACCAATATATAGCATTATTCTGAGTAAATATTGACATATTTACATAGGAATGAGTGAATGAGAATCAAGGCTAAGATATAAATGTGTACTGTCTTTTTCACAACATCAAATGGGACTCAAATGTTGTTAGAATATTTTAAAGACATTTAAAATTAAGAGAACATATGAAGATTCAAAATAACTGATATCTGAGACCTTATAAACCCACTGTGCATAACAAATTCACATTAGTTTAACTTGCACCTGAATTTGGATATTTCAGCTTGAAACAACCAGATTTCCAAAGTTACCTGGTTGGACATCTGCACACACACACACTCAAGTTAAATGGAAGGTCCCTAATCACAAACGATGCTTCAATGGCTGTGTTTCCATTAGAAAGGTTTGCAGAAATTTATCAATATTCCGCTGATGTCAAAAAATACAATTTCAAAATCCAGTGTTTCCATTAAAATCCCCTTTTGAAAAACTTTGTTCACAAAATAAGACAACAAAAAACAGGTTGTATCCAATCACTTCCTGTCGTCTTCTTTGTTATTTCTGCCAGTAGTAACTTATGCTGGTTGATCATGTGGAAAAAAGTGTCTCCATTGCAGTTGTGCTAAATACACAAGCTTGGATACTAAAAACCCATGTCAGTTGTTTTATTGAGTTAAGTGTGTTTCCATAGGCAAATTTATTTTCATAATCCCAATCTGCACAATTTGAAGATCAATGCAAACGCAGCTCCTGCTGCAAAGTACAGAGGTATTCCTGAATCTGCTAAATATCAGTTGTGCCAAACTTGAACTCCTCCAGAAAGTTAAAAAGCAAACAAAAACCTCAAATAATCCACTTTATTTTCAATGCCATAGTCCCATCTAAACCAATGCATGAAATATTTCCATCATCACCAGTAAAAACAGGGAAAAAGCTGCAGTCTGAATCTGATGTCATGCAAATAAGCTTCCAAAGTGCATGCACAGTATGCAGAACAGAAGAAACAGGAATATTGGTTTTATGACTGCTGTTGTTTTTAAAATTTCAACTCTCATGGTGGCAGTAAATACAGTGTCTATAAAGAGTATTCACCTTTTTGAATGTTTTATCCTTCTACTGCTGTTAAAATCACTCATGATCAACAAGATTTGACTTTTCTGACAAAAAAAAATCACAAAAAAATAATTTAAGGTTGATTTCTACAAAATATTGACAGAGTGGCAATTAGAATCCACTGTTGAAGAAAACTCAGATCATGGATTGATTTGAGTTTGCCTGGAATAAAGTTATTTGGGCTGACGACATCGAAATTGAGCTTTCTGGCCATCAGACAAGACAGTGAAGCATGGCAGGGGTAGCATCATGCTGTGGGGGAACGTATCAGCCACAAAATCAGGGAAAATCCTGAAATACTGAGAACTACGGCTTCCGAGAACATTTATTTTCCAGCTGAAGCTACATGGAGATGTTTTGAACACAGCAAGATGGAGGTTCTGGAGTGGTCTAGTCAAAGCCCAGACCTGTCAGAGCTTAGCAGGAAGAATGGAGGAAAACTGCAGCGTACAGATGAGACCGACTGATCCACACAGACTTTATGCAATTTATTATTTTAATACATATTTTTACTTAATTATTATTATTTTGTAGTAATCAGGTTTCACATTTGAGATTAAATGTGTTTTTTGTTTTGTATTTTTTGAATATTTTATTAATCATGATTTTTATGAGCTGTAAAAAGGATAAAACATGTAAGGGTGCGAATACTTTTTAAAGACGCCGTGCATATTGTGCAGATGTAATGTTCCTGCCATATCGCCCAGCCTGACTGTAGAGACCTGAGAGACAACATGAGGATGAGATGACGAATGAAAGCTCACCGGTGCAGCTTCATGCATCCAGGAGGAGAAATAAATTGGCCTACATTTTAATAAAAAAGTGTGCACTCAGCTGTAAATATTACAGTGCATTTACAAGGAAAACATCAAACCTATCAATCAGCCTCACATTTACTGGGAAGCACTTTATTCGAAGGAGTGTGCATAAAACATAAACACTGTCATAACTGTGGCTTCACAGGTAATGAGCAGGAAGGAGTTTTTATGAATGTTAATGACGGTTGTCATGAAGTGTCATTTGGTAAATAATCACATTTTAATGCACATTTTTACTGCAACTTTACCTCAAAAGTGTCATTAATGCCTGAGTGAAGGTGTTTGTGCAGTAAACTATTTTGTTTGTGCCACTATCATTTTAATATATTAACTTTTCTAGAGGTCATGAAAGGTCAACCATGCTCCTCACTTTACACACATCCAATAAAGTTGCTAAAGTTGCAAACATTTGTGCTACTTTTGTGCAGCTTGAAGATATTAAGGAAAGTTTAAAGGTCAAAAGGTTTGATAGAATTTGTAAACATGAGTTGGGGGAGTGGTCGACCTCTGATGACCAGCGGAAACTTTTTTATTAATATATTTAAAATGATAGCAGAACAAATGAACATTTTTAAGGCACAAATGTAGCACAAACAACATTTTGACAATGTGGGAGGCTGGTTGACCCTTTCACCTAATATCTCCAAAGCACAGCAGCACAAAGGAACATTTTGCTGCACAAACATTTGTCATTATTTTGTGTCATTATTACACTGAGGTGTCATTATGTTTGTTAGATTTGGGAAATGACACTTCATGACAACATTCATGAAGACTCCTCCATGTTGATGGCAGCGGTTATGTCACATTTATCAAAATGTCATGTCAGTCTTGCACACACCATCCTGTAAAGCAACTCGATTTCTAACTCAGCCAGCAAGGGGAAAGAATAGGTGAGGAGGGTAAAATGGTGACGAGAATGAAAACGAACTGAAACTTTCTACCACAAAACAAAAAATGAATGAAAGTGATGAACATGTATGAGAGTCCATCACACGTGACGCAGTGGATGGTAACTTCCTGCTCTAATGATGAACTGTGTGGCGTATTTCTGCGAGCCGGGCTCGTGTGTCTGATCTACTGTTGGCCTCTGTGCAGGTTGGTGAGGAAGCGCGGCGGTCTCAGACACATACCGTCTTTGTAGGACAGACCGGCGGTGGAGTATTTTTTGCGGTTTGCACGTGCGTAGTCCTGCAGGTTAGGGGCGCTAGAGGAGCCACCGAGGACGGTGGTGCTGAAGAGTCCGGCGCACTGAGAGCCTGCGAGGGTTAGTGACCGGAACATAAGCATGCTGTTACTCAAACAGCTCACCAGCAGGAGAGAGACAGAGACAGAAACTGACAAGCAGAAACAAAGACTGGAGGTTTTTAAACTGGCTAAGATGAATTTGGACCTTGTTAGATCTTCAAATGAAGCAAATACAACAGAAGAACCTTTGATATTAATACAAAAACTTTCAGAACCACGGTATCTGTGTGTTTCTACCCAAATGTAAGACTTTTTTATGCCACTTTGAATTAAATTAAAAAGAACCTATCCTGCAAAATTCACATTTTGGACGTCTTTTCACTTCCATTTTGGTTTCCACTGCTTGTAAAAACAATATAAGTGCTTAAAAAACCCACCCAGACATTTTTTTAATAATAATTTAATGTTTTTTTGGTTTCTTGAAAATGAGCAGACTCAAAATCTTTCTTAATGTAACACTAAAAATCACCAGGCATTGCCCTGTTGCCTAGCAACCCCAGCCTGTTGCCTAGCAACCCCAGCCTGTTACCTAGCAACCCCATCAAAGCCCAGCTTGTTACCTAGCAACCCCATCAAAGCCCACCCCTTTACCTAGCAACCAAGTGGAGCATCTGCACATTTGGTCAGCTGGTTTTACCTACATTTGTCTCCAGAAAGCTTTGGTAGATCGGAGATGTTGATTCCCAGCTGCTCTGTTTAAGCCGCTCTAATCTGATTCCAGTCCGTTTGACTACAAAGTCAAACGGTTCAGTTTGAGAGGATAAACTGTCTAAATCATTCCTTACGGAAGCCATTTTTGCAAATTGTGTCATTTTTCTGTAAATGTTTCTGAATATCTCGTTAAAAGCGACTCGGTGCTGCCCTCTTTGGGTTGAGTGGTGGTTACTGCAGTTGAATTCTCCCATTGGCTCCAACGGTGTGGCTGGGTTGATGTCTGCATCTGAGTCACCACCAGACACGCCCCCTGGTGGTGACTCAGATGAATAACGAGCATTTATCGAAAGCGTTTCTTCTCACCTTGTATTCACTTCATTTTTAAACCTCTAAGGACCAGTTCAAGTTTTTATTTCCAAAACCTTCTCTTTGTAAAAACCTTCAATTTAAAAATTGCTATTATTGTCTTTTCCCCTTATCATTTGAATGTGTCAGAATTAGCATCGCCATGCAAACAGAGGGCAGAGAAGGAGAGAAGAGCCAGTATGAAGGACGAAACGACCAAAACCTGAATATTTATTTGTGATACTTCAGGCAGTTCAGACTGCAGCACAGGGAGGGGAGAAAAGTTCTGATGGTTCTGATTAGAAAGACACCAAAATGATCCACAGAAGTACAGATAGACATTAAGAAGTGTTTCGGAAGGACTGTAAACTCAAACTGTGGCATTTCCTCCCGAAAAAACAAACCAAAGTTCTGAACAGGTGCGTCTCAATAAATTAGAGTACCGATGAAAAGTTCTGTTAGGTTGGTGCCAAGTCCTGGATGGAAACCCAAATCATTACAAACATAAAGCAACCTGGAATTTTTTATCACAGCTTTTCCTTCCACTCAACTTTCTATTTATATTAAGGCTGGGTGGCTGAGCAAACAACTGAATTTGAAGAAATTAGCTGGACACGTTAGATCTCAATAACTAGAAGCTTTTTTAATAAAACAACTTTTTTTTGGTAATTTTTAGACAAAGTAAAACTGCATCTTTAGTCGGGAAATAGTACAACATTATTCTCCTAATTAAACGAAAATACTCACAGCATGACCTTTACACTGCATCGTACAACTAGCAGGAGGGAACATTAAAATAAAAGCCACTTTTTAAAAAAATAATTTGTCACATGAAAAAACTATATTAAAATTAGAAGTGGTATGAAAAGATAAATTATTTTATTCCCCAGCCTTAATTTAAACGCTTGGATCCAGCAAAGCTTCATTAGCATCAACATTTTGCAACTTATTGAAGTGAATTCTGCATTCATTTCGGTATTTAAACAAACATTTAAAATGAGTCTGTTGAATAAAGTCTGTCTATCTATCTATCTATCTATCTATCTATCTATCTATCTATCTATCTATCTATCTATCTATCTATCTATCTATCTATCTATCTATCTATCTATCTATTCTATCTATCTATCTATCTATCTATCTATCTATCTATCTATCTATCTATCTATCTATCTATCTATCTATCTATCTATCTATCTATCTATCTATCTATCTATCTATCTATCTATCTATCTATCTATCTATCTATCTATCTATCTATCTATCTATCTATCAATCTATCTATCAATCCATCTATCTATCTATAACTAATTAATCTAATTTACTGAGACGTACATGTTGATTTCTGGTTAAATCTGAACCACAGACAGTTTGAAGTTCTACTTTCTTACTTTTTTTCTTCTAAACTTGCAGGCAAAGTTCAAAGGTCACGCTACGGAAATGCTCAACCTGCACTCCAAACATAAACATAAATAAAGGGAGCCGGTTGATGATGTGTTTCTTTTGTTGTGTTTTGGTTTGATGTTTTTTCTCCACCTACCTAAGCCGCTTTGCTTCATCTCTGGAGACTGACGTGAGATGGAGAAGAGACGGTAGCTGCCGACTTTAGAGGAGGAGGTTTCTGAGAGGACCTGTAGGGGGTCAGAGGGCAGCGTGATGTAGCGGCATCAAATTCATAGAGGAAAAACTGCAGCTGCATAGAATAAACCAATTTCACTCAAAAGCAAAAGAATGTGACGTGACCTTAAGTTTTCAGACTGAAAAATAGAACTAAATAGCCGTTAGAACAAAAATTGGTGGCTCCGCTCCTTCCTGGGTTCAGCCTCACCTCCATTGATCCGGTTTTGTGATTGCGAATGAGCGGCGACCGCTTCTGAATGGTGATCGGCTCCGACGTGGGAACGGCGCGGTCCGTTTCGTCTCGCGACAGGTCCTCCAGACTGCCACGGTCCTCCTTTTTCTGCCCGTTCTGAGGAACACGACGGACACAGCTGGAGCCTCGGCGTCCTCCACTTGGGGACGTTTTTAAGCTTCACGGTGTTTACCTGTCGCAGCACCTCTGATGAGGCGGGCCTGAAGCCGAACCCGTGCGGCGCGTGCTCGTCCTCCTCCAAGCCCTTAACACCAGGGCTGAAGTGGAGCTCCACGTGGAACCGCTCCTCAGAGGAAATGTCCTTCAGGCAGACAATGTTTGAGACATTTAAGCCTTGATTATTCAGTTTTTAATCTGTTTGTTACAGACATGCTGCGTGTTATTGTTCACATCTGGAAATGTCACAACGCTGGAGGTCAAAAAGACGATTCTAACTCTTGCTGCTGATACAGGAGAGCAATTTCATTGACAAAATGAAACCTGCAGTTGAAGGTAACATTAAGGTTCTGAAGTACAGAACCTTCAGTCCATAACAGTTTTCTGTTTTCAGGCTTGATGTTTATTTTGTGATTATTAATAAGTGATCGCTGTGGTGGATTAGCTGCTGCTGCTGCTATCCGCTAATCTAACACAGCGGTAGTTTATTAGCTCATTTGAACCCCTGCTCAACAATGATCCGTCTCATAAAGCATCAGTAACTCACTTTATTGTTGTCTTCGTAGAGCATGATGACAATCTGCGTCATGTAGTTGAGTTCGGAGACCTCCTTGATGTAATCCATGGCGCGTTTCCACTGCTGGTCCTTTTCTTCCTGTCAGACGCAAACAGAGAAAATATCACCCTGACCGTCACGTCTTTTTATAAAAACACTCCAGAATCTGCAGGAATCGCTGTTTGCTTACATCGAGCAGGCCTCCATATCGGAAAATGCTGAGCAGGGAGTGGACGTGGCTCTCACTGGTGAAATATAACCGAGTCCTGACATGCCGGCCGGGTGACATCACGCCACGGGAATACCTGCAAACAGGAAGCAAAAAACAAAACAAAAACATGGCTACCTATGTTTACTCTCCGTTAAACATCTGTGATGAGTTAAAATTTGACTTACAGAGGATGAAGCTTGTTGACAAACTCGTCTCCGTGCGTCCTCTGCAGGTCAAGCTGGATCTTCCTGACCAGAGGGAGGCAGTAAGCGTAAGCTATGTCCAGCTTCTCATCTTTACTTATGCCGTATTCCTGCAAAAACACACACAAAAAATAAACTACTCAGGTGGCTCAATTCATTAACATTTCAGGGCTTCGCATCCAGAACGTGATGGATAAATATTTACAATTTCCCACAGATTAAAAACATATTCAAACAAAAGAACACCTAATTAAATATACAAATAACCAGTGGTGATAACCGCTAGTTGAAACGTTACCTGCACTAACTGAACATAAACAATAGTTCTGCTAATGCTAAAGCGCTATACCAACACCAGCAGAAGCTAATGCTAAACCTCTTTAAATGTTCAATGATGCTAATAAATATAGTTTTAATGTTTATATCTTGTCTTCTTTTGTTCATTTTGTACCTTTGCATATCTTATTTGAAATAAAGTTATTAGAACATATGGAAAGGATCGGAACTGTTGCACAAGCAAACTTCAATTTAAGAGTATGAACATAAATATCTAACTGCTGGACAAATGCAAAAGTTGATAAACAAACCTTCAACCACAATATCAAAGTTTATTCAACTGAAACTTTAAAAAATAAATTAGTGCTTTAGAATTTAGTCAGAAAAAGTAATTTAAGGGAAGTTAAGAGGTCTAAATGTTTTCAAAGTTAGCAACAAAGAATGAACCCTGCTATTAGTATGTTAGCGTAAGTGTGCCCAACATCTAAAATATTGTTAATCAAAAGAATAAAGGATATAAGCATCTGACAACACTGGTAAAAATATGGAAAAACTTTAAAGTAAAAAACATTTTGTCACATTTTGAACCAATCTGCAAATAGACCCCACCTATTTGCAGATGGGTTCATCATATATGACTAATTATTTATTATTAGAATATTTAATAAGAAAAGCAGCTCTAGGCTCCTTCGCTGTCCTCCCACCTGCGGGATGACGAGGTCGGCTAGCGCTCGTGACAGCCGGAACAACTCCTGCGTGTCCTGCAGGCCGAGCGTGGCGTTGTGAATGACGTCGTACTTCACGCAGTCGTAGATGTCAGGGATCTTGCTGATGTCGTAGCGGCTGTTCTTCATGCGGAAATCCTTCTCCAGCTTGGACCAGCGCTGCAGCATCAGCTCCAGAGTCTCGCTGTGGTACAGCTGCAGGTCTGGAGGCAGAAGAGAAAAACATCCTGGCAGCTGAAGAAACAGAGCCGGACACTTCAGGAACGGTTGATTTCATGTTTCTGTACCGGCAGACTTTGGGTCCTCCATTCTGGTGCGGATCTGAGAGGTGAGGCTCTGAATGAGCGCGTAGACCTGATCGCATGTGGCCACCGGGTTCTTCACCACTTTCATTGAATTCAAAAGAGAAGTAGCGCAGGTCGGGGCCAGCTGTAACAAAACAAAACAGACCAGGGTCATCAACAACGAGTATCACGAAACAAAACAAAACACGTCGCTTCACTAAACACACGTCTCTTGTTTTTTGAAGTAACAGATGCTTGGGTTCGACGTCGTCCAAACAGCCTCTTTTACAGGATTCATGTGACTTTCCTAGACTCTCCAAAATTCAATGTCATTTAGTTACAAATATAAAAAAAAAATTAAACCCAAACTGAACGAGAGACCTGGAAAGAAAGGACAGAGATACACAAAGAAGGAGTATCTCTCCCATTCCTCTAGCGCCAACCGGTTAGAAAAACAACAATCAGCACTCGTTTATGCACAACTAAGACAAAAAAAAAAATATATATATATATATATAAAAAAAAAAAAAATTCCCTTCTCACCCACCTTGGGTGGTTCTTATCCTCTGAGCTCGGGTCCTCTACCAGAGGCCTGGGAGCTTGAGGGTTCTGCGCAGTATCTTGGCTGTGCCAAGGACTGCACATTTCTGGACTGAGATGTCTGATGTTGTTCCTGGGATCTGTTGTAGCCACTGCTCCAGTTTGGGGGTTACTGCCCCGAGGGCCCCGATGACCACAGGCACCACTGTGGTCTTCACCTTCCAGGCCCTCTCCAGTTCTTCCCTGAGGCCCTGGTATTTCTCCAGTTTCTCGTGCTCCTTTTTCCTGATGTTGCAATCACTTGGTATTGCTACATCTACCACAACGGCTTTCCTCTGATGTTTATCCACTACGACAATGTCTGGTTGGTTCGCCATTACCATTTTGTCTGTCTGGATCTGGAAGTCCCACAGGATCTTAGCTCTGGCGTTCACCACCTTTGGGGGTGTTTCCCACTTTGATCTCGGGGTTTCCAGTCCATATTCTGCACAGATGTTTCTGTACACTATGCCTGCCACTTGGTTATGTCGCTCCATGTACGCTTTCCCTGCCAGTATCTTGCACCCTGCTGTGATGTGCTGGACTGTCTCAGGGCCTCCTTGCACAACCTACACCTTGGGTCTTGTCTGGTGTGGTAGATCTGGGCCTCTATTGCTCTGGTGTTTAGGGCCTGTTCCTGGGCGGCCAGGATGAGGGCCTCTGTGCTGTCCTTGAGTCCAGCTTTTTCCAGCCATTGGTAGGATTTACTGATATCAGCCACTTGGGTTATTTGCTGGTGGTACATCCCATGTAGGGGCTTGTCCTCCCATGATGGTATCTCTGGCACCTCAACCTCCGTTCCCTGTTGTCTGAGACATTCACTGAGCACATTGTCTGTTGAGGCTTTGTCCCTGATGTATTTATGGATCTTAGTTGTTTCGTCCTGGACAGTGGTTCTCACACTCACTAGTCCTCTGCCTCCGTCCTTGCGGCTCGTGTACAGTCTCAGGGTGCTGGATTTGGGATGGAACCCTCCATGCATTGTTAGTAGCTTTCTGGTCTTAATATCTGTGGCTTTTATCTCCTCCTTTGGCCAGCTAATTATTCCAGCAGGGTATCTGATTACTGGCAAGGCATAGCTGTTTATCGCACTGATTTTGTTCTTGCCATTGAGCTGGCTTCTCAGGACTTGCCTTATTTGTTGGAGGTATTTAGCTGTGGCTCCTTTCCTTGTGGTCTCATCGAGGTTGCCATTTGCTTGTGGTATACCTAGGTACTTGTAACTGTCCTCTATGTCTGCTATTGTTCCTTCTGGGAGTGAGACCCCTTCTGTGTGGATGACCTTCCCCCTCTTTGTGACCAGCCGACCACATTTCTCTAGTCCGAATGACATCCCAATGTCAGTGCTGTAGATCCTGGTGGTGTGGATCAGTGAGTCGATGTCTCGCTCACACTTGGCGTACAGCTTGATGTCATCCATGTAGAGTAGGTGACTGATATTGGCCCCATTTTTGAGTCTGTATCCGTAGCCAGTCTTGTTGATAACTTGGCTTGACTATGCAGAACAGTAGCGGGGACAGAGCATCTCCTTGGTATATGCCACATTTGATGGACACTTGTGCAAGTGGTTTGCAGTTGGCTTCAAGGGTGGTTTTCCACAGCCTCATCGAGTTTGCAATGAAGGCTCTCAGAATCCTGTTGATATTATACATCTCTAGGCATTCAATGATCCAAGTATGCGGCATTGAGTCATAGGCTTTCTTGTAATCAATCCAAGCCATGCACAGGTTGGTGTGTCGGGTTTTGCAGTCTCGGGCAACTGTGCGGTCTACGAGGAGTCGGTGTTTGGCTCCTCTGCTATTTACACCGATACCCTTCTGTGCCGTGCTCATGTGTTTATCCATGTGTTTGCTTATCTTCGCCGCTATGATGCCTGACATGAGCTTCCAGGTTGTGGAGAGGCAGGTTATTGGTCGGTAGTTGGGTGGGACTGGACCCTTTGATGGATCCTTCTGGATTAGGATTGTCCGCCCTTCAGTTAACCATTCAGGGTGAGTCCCACTTTGTAGCAGCTGGTTCATTGTGTATCTCTTTAGGCGGCTGGCCAAGGCTTGGAGCCTCTGTTTGGCAGTCTCGAGTGCTTCAGGTATGGGCATCTGCCTGTACTTTCTGGGTACTGGTCTTTTCATTGCACCCTTGTGGAGCTCTGACAGTTGGCTCACTTCCCTCCTTGTTACCTTGATTTTAGCCTCTAACCGTTTTTTCCATGGTGGGTATTGGGTCTCATGGTTGCTCTTATAGCCAAGTATCTCAAGGATCACTGATGCTGAGTTGTAGATCAGCTCATTGGTTTCTGTTATGGTGTTGGTAGGGATCGTTCTCAATGCTGCATTCACATTCTCAATGAGACTTTCAGATGGTACTTGGCGCCGGGGAGGCCTGGTTGTCATTCGGGTCATGATTCTCTCTCTCAGGTCAGCAGCTGTCTCGTTCAGCTCTGTTTCGCTCATTGGGGCAGTGTATCCCCTCACTGGGTGGGGACTTGTAGTTAAGTCCCCACAGTCCTGACATCCGGGTTCCTCCCTTTTGCCGTAGCATTTTGTTGTATCTCGTCAATCTCAAGTTGTGATAGCAGTTGTCGTTTGCGGATGTTGGAACACTGAGCTACTAGTTGTTTAGCGCTTAGTGTTGACTGGGGATGTCGAAGTAACCATTCCTTCCCCAGTCTTTGCATGTAACCTCTCTCACTAGGGTTACTTGAGTAGTAGCATTCCAACAGATCCACATTTTCATCTCTCGCCCATTTCCGTCTTGTTCCAGTACCCATTTGTCATCAAGGTGCTCTGGTTCCCCAACACCTGACGCAGACCTTGTTTGGCCGGGCGACGTCTGAGCCGGCATGTTATGCAACTTAGTATCTCTCATGGTATGAGGTAGGCAGTAGCTTGAAGGGTCTTGCCTAAGGACCCAGACTGGATTCGAACCCTGCCCTCTTGGGTGATATACTGATGCCTTATGTATTGAGCTATCCAGTCAGCTATATATATATATATATATATATATATATATATATATATATATATATTATATATATATATATATATATATATATATATATATAGTATCTTTAGCCATCAAATAAACTTAAATAGTGTATATTTGTGTTATTTTCATGCAGCTAGACAATATAAATGTCAGAGTTTTTTTAAATGTTTTCTTTAGATTTAGATCTCGTTCAGCCTACTTCATGTCAACCATATTGGGACAGTTTCTGCTCTGAAAGCATCAATTTTCTGGTGATGGTTGTGGCTTTTTTCACACTCTGACCATTTCCTTGTTGAAATGTTTCAGCTGCTGTTTAACCGTGATGTTTGTGGGAGTCATGGCGAGTTAAAAATAACGGGCTGAGGTGGAGACGCGGTCACGGTGTAGCTTCGAAACATGGAAACAAAACATGTTTTCTTTAACCAGCCACCACAGAAACAGCCTCTGTCAGGGCTGGAAACTTTAGTAGGGATGTACAACATGGCATGAAACTCATACCTGGTCGTAGTCCTCGTCGTTGAACTCGCGGTCCCGCTGCATTATCTCGTGCAGCCGGACCTTGACGCGGCGCTGGCAGCTGCTCAGCGAGTCGCTGTCGTTGTCCAGCAGCCCGTTCATGTTGGCGCTCTTCACCATTTGCACCAGGATGGGTGTCAGCTCCCCCTCCAGAGCCAGCAGGCCCTGCTCTCACACACACACACACACACACACATACGTACGAACACACACACACACGCGCACGCACACACGCACACACACACCACGCACACACACACACACACACACACACCACACACACACACACACACACACACACCACACACACACACACACACAATCTGTGTTTCTACACTGAGTGGAAAATGTTTCATTTTGTCTGAATCTCAGAATCTGTGCAGCTTAAACTGTTTGGGATCTGCAAAACTTCTGCTTCTATAAAATACAAAATAAAAAGTTTCAATGGTGCCACATGCAGGGCCGTTGCTAAACACAAATGCTTGGAGTTGGACCCACACTCTACTCTGGCCAAGTCCTGGAACAGGAATGATCATCGATTCTGTTTTTTCAGAGCAATTTTCTATATTTAGGGGAGGAAATTTCAGCTTCACTAAGGGAAAAGATTTGGAAAAAGAAATAATAATAATCTGACAATACCAACTTTCTTTCTCTAAATTTTGACTTTTTTCTCAGAATTTAGAATTTTTTTCTCAAAATTCTGACATTATACTCAAAATTGTGACTTTAATCACCAAATGTCAGGCTTCTGAGCTTAATCTCAAAATTGGCCCCAATCCTCTTCTGTAGATCTTATTGAAATGAGAAGACAAACAAAACCCAAATCAATAATATGTAACAATACAGAACTAGAACAAAATCACCAAGTTTCTGGCTTTGCAAAGGGAACAGACTCATATAAGCATGACACGCTTTGCTTTCCTCAGGAAAATTAATCAGGAGGAGATTATTTCCAGAGATTTCTAGAAAAGGTCTGGAAATCTGCAGATTAAAATATCAATCTGCTGATTAATCTTAATATTAATATTAAGTAAAAATATCAATCCTGCTTCTCTGGTCCCCAATTTCCAATCATCTGAATCCAAAAGAAATCTGAGTGAACATTTAGCTTTAGATGGTTCTCAGGAACCAACTGGAGGTTAAAGCGTTAAATGCAATTTGTAAAATGTTGGAAACTCAAATATTTTTTCACACCCAGAAACACAGTAAATAAAACTTATTGCTGGTTCATCATCAACGTGATCATTTGCTGAATATTACAGAATACCTTTGCGAAGGCAGCCGCCGTCATCTGCACCCGGCCTTCGTCCGACGCGTAGATCTTCAGGTCGTGTCTGTAGGTGCTGTGTAACCGTAACAACCCGCAGCCCGGAAACCCAGCATAGTCTCCTACATCAAACCAGCAGGAATGGCGTCAACAAACAAGGATGCTGCTTTCTGAACACAATGAGCTTTTTCACATTTTGTTTCTTCACAGGATTTTATTGGGATCTTCTGTGATGAAGCAACAGAAAACCGCCACCAGAAGTTTTTCATTAAGCAAATGTATTTTCTAATTCTGATTTATGTAATTTTAAGTAATTTTCACCTTGACCTCCAGGGTACATGCAGCGAAAGGCTCTGCCCAGTTCCTCCGCTTGCACCCGGCCAGCAGGAGTCAGCTCTCCTCCCCACTTCAGCACCAGCAGCAGAGACTGGCCTTCCTTACGCGTGTCTGAAACGGACCGAAAATTAAAAACTGATATGGACATAAACCGTAAAGCTGCAGGGTGTAACTATATTTAAAAAATGTTTATTTGTCAAAACTGATAACCTGTGAAAAAACAAAAGCTCCTTCACCTCCACCATGAGCTATGGCTGCAGTCAATATCCAATCAGAGTCAGGAGGCGGGTCTTAGTGCTGTCAATCAACCTTGTGAACATTAGTGGGCTAATGATGGAGAAACTCACCACTACAGGCAAACTGTTATTCACCATCATCCATGGCTATACCAACTTAGCATTCACAGGCTTGATTGACAGCACTAAGACACGCCTCGTGGCTCCGATTGGTTGTTTCTGGTTAGCACTGGGAGAAGGAGGAGAAGCTCGATTTGTTCACAGATCATCTGTCTCATGCCATACTGTCACAACATACTGACAGTTTCACCAAATATATAAAAACATATTGCTTATAAAAGTTGCAAACTGCAGGTTTAAATTAATGAACAAATAAAATGTGTGAACCTTCGTCTTCACTGGAGGTTTTCGGCTGCCCATGGGGCAGGTAAGTCAGCTGCACTTTCCTGTTGATCCCAGAGAAGTGACCATACCTTTAGAACCAGAAAAAGATAAAAATATAAAACTACTTCCAAAATTTCTCAAGCATTTTTGATTTGACTATCGTAGCTAATCAACATTAAAACTGTAAATTGGACCTATACAAATTATTTTAAGTGCAGAAATATTGAAACTTTAACTTTAGAGGCTCGGTTTCCACCAGCAGTGGTTAACTTGCTGGTGTTAACGCTGTCGTTTGTGGTTTATCCACCTTTTTCCTTCCACTTTCCTTTAACATACCATATTTCTGAACGATAAATCTCAAGTTTTTTTCATAATTTGGCTGGTTCTGCCACTCATGCATGTTTTTCCTCTTTGAAATCTTGGTTTTGACTATAAGCATTTGGCAATAAGTTAATGTCTCCAAGGTGACTGGAGAACAAGCCGTTTAAAATCTTCCCTATTTAATTTCCCTATTGGGATCATTAAATTACTTTTAAATTGAGTTAATTATTATGTCACGTTTCACGGCCACTGCGCCGTTACCCAGCAACCCTCCAGCAGGATTGGCCGGCTTTTGTTGTTGACTCACAATCCAGAAACCACTTGCTGCATTCCTGTTGGTTGTGCAGGAGGCTCTGCTAATGCTTTTCAAAAATGTACAGTTGTATAATTACACATCTGCTTGGAGCCATTTTCAGGATTCAAAGTGACAAGATGCCTGAAAACATCTCAAAAATCAAATTATCTAAAGATGATTTTGTTTAAAATTGTAATGAACATATTTTCCAAAGGCCATAAACGTATTCTAACCTGTTAACTGAAGAATAAGCGATTTTTAACCTGTGTTTTAGGAAAGCATGCATCATCTGTTACTGAACTCATCGCAGGCGTATCAGAAGAACTGCGACCTTGTAAAGATGGAATGGTTTCAATCACAATAGAAGGGACCAAGGTTTTTCATGAATCACTGCTATGACCTCACAGGTCTGCTTCCACTCTTTTCTCAGCAGATGTTTATTTTATAAACAGTGAGAAAACTGAGCAGCAAGCTTTTAAGGAAGTTTGAGGAGAACGAGAACAAAAACGTCCAACAAAAGCTGATTTATCACAGGCTGCAGCCATGCTTGTGCTTTTAATAACCTGCTAAGAAGTTGCCGTTTTCAGGACCTTCCAGGGAAATGAGGTTAATCATTAGACTTGCTTCACCTACATTTCTAAAACCGTCTTCAGCTGCTCCAGTTTGGACTTCTTCTCTTCGATCTCGCAGTCGTTGCGCTGCCCCAGTTCGATCAGTAGCAGCCGGGTGATGTCCAGCACCTCCTGTGAGACGGTCAGAGAGAGAAACCATCAGAGGAGCGGCCAGCGCTGACATTTCTGCACCTCAGACGTCAGGATCAACTGTGTCACCTGCAGCTGTTTCGGCCTCTTCAGTTTCAACTTTCCGGTTTTGTATCCTTCGTATTTTTCAAACAGATCAAAGAACCTGAAGGGAAACAAATGAACAGTTGGTCTTTCAATGTGGCGGTTAGTGATCGGGCTGCAGTGGGAAAAACTCACATGGGGTTGCGAACTTCCATCTTCATCTTCTGTTTGGGCGTTCTGTCTCCGTGACGGATAACGGCGATGACGGAGCGCAGCTCCATCCTGGCCAGTTTCAGAGTAAATTCATGAAAACATTTAAGCCACAGTAGCTTCGTCTTATTACAAATGTGAGCAAAACCTTTTTTAAAAAACAAAACAATGCAATTTCATATTTGTGGTGTTCCCATTAAATAAGAGACATGAATAAACTTATTCAGATGATAAGTCATTAAAATTTAATACGAGTGTTCATCATAGACAATCTATGATGACATATTATGGCCATTGTAGATAGAAAACAAAACTCAGAAAAGTTTAGATTAAACTAAGAATTTCTTTTAAAAAAGAAAACACTTTGTCATTGTAGCCATCAGACAAGACGTCAGCGTCTTCAGGCGTTGGAACGACACACCTCTGATATTTGGGAGAAATTAGTTTTGTTTGCAACCTTTCAGGAAAATTTTAGTCTGCAATTTATTTAGTTTTTTATTTTTTACAGCCATGGATTCAACACTTTCCAATGAGAAACTAAACTTTTATGATCTTTGCTATGCTGTCAGGCCTCTGATTTTCAAGGAAGCCATTGCCAACAAATAAGCTGCTGGAAAACAAACCGACGTGATGCGAAATAAGTTTTCATTGCAGTTCTGCAAAATGTACTGAAAAACCATCTTGTTCTACACAAAAACATTTTGCTTCTTCAAAACCGACATGTTTCCAGTAAGAAAATGTATTTTTGTCATTTCAATTTGCACAGTTTTAAGATAACCGGAAACACAGCCAGTGATGAGGCGAGTCCATTAATCGGGTCTTACATGGTTCCTGAAGTGGTGGGAACAATCGGGATGTCCTCTGCCTCCGTCGGGATCGACCAGGGAATCTGGAACTGAGGCGCCAACTCTCGCATCACGATGTTCCTGAGACATTTCATCAACACCAAAAGCTCAAATAAACACTCAGAAATGTTGAAAAGGGCAGGTGAGAGAGAAAAGCCGGTACCCGAGGATCTTGGCGCAGTCGTCGTAGTATTTCATCGAGTTCTTGACGAAGCTGAAACCGTTCACGTCACAAACGTAGGAGCGTCCGTTGGCTCGGAGCAGGTCGAAGCCGCACACCGTTTGCTGCGGAGGAAGAACAAGAGTAAACACAGATTAGGGCTGAAACTAATGGTTATCTTAATAATCAATTATTTTGATTGAAAATAAATAGCCAAACTCTGCAGTGGAAGCCGGTGTACCTTGAACGCCAAGCAGACTTTCCGGGCCACCAGTTTTTCCATGGCCGAGAGCATGACGGGGTAACGGACCTCCTTCCCCTCGCTGTCGCGCTCCACCTTCCCGTCCAGCGCCGGAGACTTCCGGGCCTCGGCGTGGGCGTAGTCCGGCCCGACGGTGTACACCTGCAGTCCGACACAAACCCCCAGCAGAACCAGCAGTCCTGTTACATCAGAGCTCCAAGTCCAACCAGAAAACTACGACCCGTTTATCTGCTGCAAAACTCATGAAGATCAGAACGTTCTGTGTGGCGGTTCTGTTGTGAGGTTGACAGTAGTTGATATGTGGCAACAGGGCCTACGATTAGAAATCCTCAAGTCCTACCTCACAAGATTCATGTAAATACATAAAAACATTATAAATTAGCTGTAGTCTGTGATTTAAACACAAATGTGAAGAGAAATCTATGTGAACAACCAATTAATAAGTGAATGCAAAAGATATGAGAGATTTGTTTTGCTTTAACCAGGTGAAGCTAAAACTTATAAAGACAAAGTACTTTCTAATAAGCATACATATTTTTTATGTAGTTTTGGCTCTGATTTAGTCTGGATACACCTGTTAATTGCTAAATTAGTTCATGAATATTTCATTAGTCGATTAATCACAATTAATTGCTTCAGCCCCAGTTTCCACCTTCACTGATGCAAGGAGGCCATTTTGGATCTCAAAGTCCATATCTGAAAAATGTCCGATCTAAATAATCCATGAAATTATTAAAATCCTTTTATTTATCTTATTTTTCTGAATGTGATGCGTGAATGCAAACTTCTGGCCGGGTCTGCAGAAGTCTGGTTATTCACACACAGAAACATGTCGGCCATCATCAGTGACGTTCCATGTGAAACACGCAGTGCAGAGCCGGCCTCCGTTCTGCTGCAGCTCCACTCCTGACAGCTTCCTGGGACTGGCGCCATTTGTCTCATTTTAAGGCCTTTTGTTTGTTTCTAAATGGTTAAATGGACCAGGTCTGAGAGTGAGCAATCTATGTTTATATGAAATAACTGCACTCCGCTGACATATCTCAGCGAGTTTTGTCCAAACCTTAACATCCGTTCCGTCAGTTGGCATGAACTCTTCGTAAATGTAGGAGCCAGTCTTCCTCACGCTGCTCTCTGGAGAGTAGACGCTGCTCCGGCTCCCGATCTGCACAAAGCAGAAACCAAATCAGTTCTTCTTCTTCTCTTTTCACACAACTTCTTTTAGAAACCGAGACGCTGGTTTAACTAAAATGTAAAAACTTGTATTCATTTGTAAAAAGAGCTGCAGGCTAAAATTACAGCAAATGTCCCAGAGGATGAAAAAAGCCGTAAAACGCAACACAGAAGCGATAGGAGTGCTCTTATTTTGAAATATTTAGAATTTTCTGACTGGAAAATGTGTGGAGACAAAATCTTACATAGAGAGAAGAAATCTTTTCTGACTCCTGATCAGCTTGTTGCATTTTTAAGAATCTGTTTTCTTTCATCTCTCCTCAACAGACGCATTTCCATAAAAGAAACTTTTTTTTGTAGTTTGGCTCAGTTACTGATCTGAATGGGTTTTTTGACTGTACATCAACCAATTAATCACAAAAAAAAAAAATCTAATTTATCGTTCCAGCTCAAAATTTTTATTTCTCTTCTTCTGTATTATTTATTTTTTATTTACGGAAGGAGGCCCCCAGATGGTCAGACCGATCTGAGGGCCACTGGAAAAAAAAATGTCAGAAAATATTTTTTTCAGTGGCTCAGAAAAGGTTAAGTAAGAAGAAAAATCTGCGGTCCAGAAAAAAAACAAAAAAAAGTAATAATTCTGACTGATGGGCGCCAGCAGCAACCAATAATAATAATTTAAAATATAGATATATTTATATATTATAGTTATATTCTTGACTTTGAAAGCACTTAATTAAAGTCACACTGGAAGTCTGCGTATAATAAGAAAGAGGAATGTTTGCTGCCCGTATTTTGGTCAGACCGATCTGAATTACTAAACAAGTCATGAATGTGGAGGTCACGACCTTTCTGAAGAGTCTCTGGCTGCCGCCGCCTGCTGATGTGGGGTAGTAGATGTAGACGTTGTGGTCCTCAGCACAAACGGGCTTTTCCACAAAAGGTTTCTGGAAGATTTCCCCGTTCACCTCCACATGGTCCTCCCCTTCCACCAGGTTACACTCTGAACACACACACACACGCACACACGCACGCACACACATTAGGCTGTACGATATGGCTGAAAAACTTTTCATGATTAGGCCCGTCACAAAAACAAATGTTGCTGGACGATAAGAAGAGTTAGTTGATTCCAACACTAGCAGTGAGAGAATATTCTATGGATATTGATCTATAGTGATCTGTCATTATTGATTTATTGTCTGGCCGAACACACACAGAATACACTGAGCCTGCGGCGTTCACTGCTGAGGCCTGAGAAGAAGCTCTCCTAAACACGTAAAACATCTGATCCGAGTGCCAGAACCTTTATGTCACAGAACCTAATGAGGGAAACTCATCCCTGCAGAAAATCCAGCACTATATTTATCCCATAGCTGCCACAGAACCAGAACCCGGCTGAATAAATGATGCCTGATACAATAAGTTCAGAGCACAAACGGGAATATGAGGCTGACCTTCTGGTTTATCTGGGTCGCGGTTCAGCACAGCGTAACGCGGCAGCTCGATCCCCTCCTCCTGTATGATCCGATACACTTCTCTCCTGGAAAACACACAAAAAAAACCCTGATGATAAATAAAAGGCACCAATAGATGTTTGTTTTGTTGGAGCCTGGAAGGGAGAGGTAGATGCACCTGTCCTGAATGTAGTACTGCATGTTCAGGTCGTTGATGAGCAGAGGGCTCCTCAGTTTGGCGTAGCTCACCGCCTTGTCCAGAGGGAATCCTACAAAAAGGAGACACAAAAGAAACATTTTTAAACCTTTAAGATGGGGAAACTTATTAATTAAAGCTGCATTGTAACTTACGGAAAAAATATATATTCTTTTACATATTTGTAGAAACTGTCGGTATGGTAGAAGACAGATAATCTGAAAAATTTTTGCTCTTCTGCCTTCTCTCAGTACTAACTAGAAACAACCAATCAGAGTGAGGAGGCGGGTCTTAGTCAATCACCATCTTGTGCGGCATTGCTTGTTCCCTCTCCACTCCCCCCGTCAGCAGATCTTATGCTAGTGCTAACACCAGTTAGCACAGCTACTGATGATGTTGGAAAAACGGTTTTCCTGCCTCTGATGATTGACAGCGCTAAGACCCGCCTCCTGGTTCTGATTGGTTGTTTTTGGTACATTTTCTCAGACGGCGTCAGCAGCTCAGGAAGAAGGTGGAGCAAATCCATCGCTTCACAGTTCATCTGTCTCATATTTTTTACAAATTTGTACAAAAAAACCGCAACATACTTTTGACAAAAGTTACATACTGCAGTTTTAAAGACATTATCTAAAGTTGATTGATTTTATTGATCGACTAATAACTAACTGATAACATAAATTTTTCACAATATGCTGAATTAAGCGATTTTAATATTATTTTGTGTCAGCTGCATTAAACACTGCCTTAATAATCAAACAAATTGTGGTTTTCTCACATTATTAATATTAGTCATGTAACAAAAAAAGAAGCTTTTAGGTTGTTGAATAGAAAAATAGAAGCTAAAAGAATTAAATATGTGAAAAGCTTCATTCCCCATAAACAGATATTAACACAGTATTGTCTGTGGTTGCTCCTGAAGGAAAGTTAACACTTTGCTCCATGAAGTACATTAACTCACCTCAGCCCTCAAAATGAACAGTGCCAATTAACGTCATGTTTTTTTTAAGGATGACCAGCAGCAACCAAACTACAATACTAGGACTAAACGGACGTTGTTAGTTAATCGACTGGAACTAATTTTAAATTGATAGTTAATCATAAGTTGATTAATTTCTTGCATCCGTAGAGGAAACACAAGCATTCAGACAAATATCAGCAGACAGTGCAGATTAAACATGCATGATTTGCATGTTGACCAGTTTGTCAGTATGCATGCACTGTGGTGGGAGGGGTGGCACCTTTGGAGTGGAAGGAGATGAGGCAGTCGCACAGCGGCCATTTGTCCACAGGCTCGTTGAGGATGGTGTCCTCTGGGAAGATGACCACGGTGATGTACTCGAACCGGCACAGCCTCTCCAGAATCTGGGTCATTGGCTTGGACTTGGACTTTTTCATCATGCAACAGATCCCCACCACAATCTGTCGCTCCGGGGGCTGAGCGGGGCGGAAACAGATCAACTCAGAAGGCCTCAGCTTTCAGTGTATTTATTTTATTATTGCTGGAGCATATTGTTCTTAAAACACGATAATTAGAAATATCAAATCTGCAAAAAGAAGACATTGATTCAGTGCAGAAAACAATAAAGAGCAGTGACCTATTTTCAGTTTTCTGGCAGAAGCAATGACATTATTCAGTTAACAGGCTTCCGGAAGAAAAACAGATATGAGGCTTTTTCCACATCATCATCTTTTGTTTTACACTGCAGCCATCTCCTTTTCGGGCGTCTGCAGCTGAAAATAAAATCTAAATCTCCTCCAGCCCAAGCAAACGGTTAAAATCACTGAAATAAGTTCTGAACTTTTTTCAGTTTCATAGTCTTTGAGCATAATTCATAACCTTTCACAACATCTTTGAATGGCGCTAAACTGGAGCCATGAAGTAAAAAAAAAAATCTGAAACTGGGGGAAAAAAACCCCAACAAAATATGAAAAAAAAAAAAACTGGAAAAAAACAGCGCAAAATTTTATTTAGGGTCAGTTTTTTAAACAAACCTTTGTTTTGACACAGGAGCTTCTTTTAAGTCAATAATTTCTTTATATTGAGCAATAATTGCTCGTTTAATTGTCAAATTATTTCATTTATAAAAATATTTTTTATATATATTATAAGTTTAATAACCTTAAAATGGATCTGTAATTTTTCAACATCAAGAAATTATTTACTGAAATAATAATCTGTCTCGCAGAAAATTTATTTTTAATTTAGTTTTGTCTCATTGTAACTGTATTGACATATTTGCATTAGAAACTAGAAAAAAAATACTTTTTAGGATTTGGTGTTTTTGGTGCCCATTGCAGCACTTAGGCTGCATAATTACTGACCTTATTAGTATTTATTTACATTTATATGTTTATTAGCATGTGTGAATTTTATGAATTCAGGTTTGAGACTTTACCTTGAACTTGCCCCTCAGGGACAACTAAAGCTAACTGAATGTAGTGATTTTAAATAAGGAAACTCTAAAATCAGAAGCGAGACGCTCACCGTGTCCTCGTCGTCCTCATACAGGTCCATGTCTGTCCTCATGCTGTCCTCCTGCACCTCGCTGTCATCGTCCTCGCAGCCCACGAAGAATATGGGAGCGCCACGCTGGCTCTCGGGCTCTGACATCACAGTCTCCCACGGCTGCTCTTAGCATCCCACCGCGCCATCAGACACCAGCAAACGGCCGGAGCGGGCCGCCGATGGGAGGGCCCGAGGCCTGCGGTGAGGGACGAGGACCCCGCTGCTTCGACTGCAAGCAGAGGCAGATCAAGGTGGCAAGACAGAAAGGACGGGACTAAATGAAGAGAGAGGCTGCAGGGTTGCTTCGTCTTTTATTTTCTAGTATTGGTTCAGCTGATTGTGATTTTGTTTGGCCGAATATTCAGCAACAAGCTCCAGTTACACGACTGTAGTTCTTTCCTCCATTTGCAGAAACGATGGGCAGTCCTGCATGAACACCAAAAACAATGAAAAACATTATAAATACAGACATACATCATGTTTCTTTTTTTCACCTTAGTATCTAATACCATCATAATCAATCATATGATAAATTAAAACAAGCTCAATAATTTCCATCTGCACGGTTTATCGTTTTCCTCATAAGCAGTTATGAGTCACGGAAGAAAAACGTGAAACTGCTGCAACGCCAGTTACTGAGGAGGTTGTTGCTAGGTAACTGAAGTTTTAATTTAACTTATTGATTTATTGTCCAGCCCTAATTAAACAAAAAGAAACTAAAACTCTTTAGTTGCATCCCTTTTTGGTTACTGGCAACATGGAGACATCAGACTCATAATGAGATGTTTAGAGTTATAAAAATGCTCCTGCTGTTCTGTAGACATGTAAACATGAAGGAAAGACTAATAAAGAGCCCAGAGTCTTCAGATTTTAACTACCTGATGATTAGCAGCTTAAAGACAGGAAAGTCAGCAGACAGACCTGATTATTGTTTTGTGACATGTTACAACACTCACATATCAGGAGATTGCAGACTGGCTTTGCAGCAGTGAACATTACTGTTACTGAACTCAGCTCAACACAGCTGAGATAATAAAACAACCCTTCTGGGACGTCAATGCTGAGGAAAACAAACATGGCTGCCAAAAAAAGACCAAGATCCCCCTGAAGAATTTTGTTGTTTGTCTGAAACCACATCGATTTAATATCAATTATGTCTCATTTCCAGTGAAAAAAAAAGTCCAACATTTAACAATGCAACTTAGAACTGCTTATAATTTTTATTTAAGGCTATTTTGCTAACATTTGTTACCAACTAGTTTTACTTTGTTACTTTTGTCTTGACCTCTAAAGGTGATCAGATGTTCTTACATGTTAAGCCATAAGCACAAACACAGTACAAGGTGCCTTTGCAGCCTTGGCTCCTAAACTAAGCTTTATATATTGTGAATCTTAATTTTGGTTTTTTCAATTAAAAATGATCAACTTATTTTCATTATGTCTCACTAAACATGCAATATTTCAATGCAGAAGTAGAAAATATAAAGTTTTAGGTTGTTAAAAACTACCAATTTACCAAAACAAAGTTTCTTTTTGGATTAAATATTTTCTATTTTTGGTGTAGAAATGTTTATTCCCACCAACAAGAACAAGTTTCCTTTAAAGCCCTTTAACCAAACTTAATGGATATATGAGAAACAAAAAACCATGGTTAAAAAATAAAAATATGTTGCGTAGTACCAAACATTTTCCTAATCACCATTTCAAAGCTTTTGGACATTAGACCATTAATACAAACCACTATAAGAGATCGTTCCTGCCAACAGCTATCACTGTAGCAATAACTCTGGAGAAATTAAATTAACACGAGTTACAACATTTATTTTCCCTTTAATTGATTTTTGAATCTGAATGCCTGAAAGACTGTGCGTTTCGTATCAGTCAATATGAATAATTGTTGATATCAATAACTAATTCATTAGGATTTTACTGCCAAATAGGTGGCAGGATCTTTACTGTTTCATCCAGTTTTCACTCCCTGATGTTATTTTTTTGTTTTTAAGCAGTTATGAGGCACAGAGAAAAAACCTGAAACTGTTGCAACGCCAGTAACTGAGGAGGTTGTTGCTAGGTAACCAAAGAGTGGGTGAGTTAGTGAACACCACCAAAAATCAGTGAATTTATAGAATATTCTATCATCCGTTAATATTGATTGTGTGTATCGCGATACATATTGTAATTGATTTATTGTTCGGTTCTAACTGAATGTAATTTGAAGTTACATTTCATTCAGATTTTGGTTTATTTTTAAACTAGACAACCCAGGAGGATTGATTACTGACTTCACAGTCAAACGTAGACAGTCAAGTTTTTTTACGTCACTTTTATTTTTGCTATGAAAAGGAGCCAGGGCGATTTAACAACAGCTAAATATAGAACAGTAATTTTCTAAGGAGTCTATTGTATGAAAATGTGGCTCTCACCCAGCAGGAAGACTCTCAGGGTCATTTTAGTTGGTTTCATAAACTCTCACATTCAATGAGGCCGGATCTGAACTACTGTTAATGGAAATTTAAAAAAAACAGCTATTATCTAAAATAAAGAACAGTTTTTAGTTAGTAGGGGAAAAAATGTAAGTGACTTTTCAGTGGTTGCTCTTTGACCACCCAAAATCAGTCACTAATTACCTTTTTAGCTGCCTGGCCTTTAAAGATCCGGCTTCAGTCACTGATACTTAACTTGACCTTGACTCCTGGATTTTATGTCTGCTTGACTGCATTCATTTCTATACCTGAACATAAACTAGATTGTTTTGAGATCACTTTTAATGTGAATTTGTGGCCTATAAATAAAGTGAAACAATTTGATTTTGTTATTTTGATATAATACTATTACATGGTTAACACAGCACTGGATGCACCAGTGCAACTCAGGTGCAAAGTTGTTGTTGTTGTTGTTTTTAAATCACTGTCTATTAAGGGAATATTGATTTGTAAAAGATTAAATAACCAAATAAACACAAAGTTATTTGAATTTGAAGCAGAATTGCACAAGATGTGTAATATATCTGAAGTAATTTTCCATAACCTATCAAGTCTATTATAAAGTTCATGTGTCTCTGATGCCAGGAAGAAAGTCCTCAGTTTTTTTTTTTTTTTTTTTTTTTTATTAAACTCTGGTCATAATTTACAAATAAATCATAGCATATTAGGAAAACAAGCATTTTGTAATATTACTGAATATTGTAAATAAATTGACTCCCTGCCCTAGTTATTTATTTATTCTATAATAAATTAGCAAAAATAATTATATTGTAGGAATTTAGTAGTTCACAGGAAACAAAAATAGATTATGAAAAGGAGTAAATGGAAATATGAATCATTTAGTCTTCATTCAAATTAGTTAATAACTACCAAATTAATGATACTTGTCCTAAGCTGTTAATTGACTGTGTACGAGTGTCGAAGTAATTAAAAAGGACTTTAGTCGCGTAAAGAATGAAATTTCAATGAGTTGAAGGGGAAGCGCCATTCATCTGGCTCTACATTAATGGGCCTGACACCTTTACCTGTGCAAGAAATGACGTTAAGGTGACGGATTAAATTAAATATGAGAGAACAGTTTTTAGCACGGGAATATTAATGCAATGCAGTCGATATTATTACTACAGAAACACATTAATTTACGCAACGAACATCGGAACGCAACTTGACTTTACACTGTTGTAAATAAAAGAAAACATAATTTAAAACTGTCATTGTGAATTTAAATGCCACCTTCATTGTTTCTCGTTTTGGAAGCAGCTGTCCTGCGCTAACGTTAATGTTGACGACATATTTTAGCTGCTGTTAGCTTGCATTAGCATTCGACTAGCCGCTAATTCGGCAACGTAAACAGGTCTCCCGCTGCCCTCACGTCAGAATTTAACGCCAATACGACATGATTCCGCAGATATCAACCCTTATCGCTTCCCATTTATTACCTTTCATCAGCAACAGGAGGTAAAATATTAAACTTACGGTGCCATAAAAAGGTCTTTTGCTACTGCTGCTGCTGCTGCTTTGGAACGCTCGACTCGCTGTTGTTGACAGTTTGCATGAAGCCAATTTGACAGATGGATGATTGACGTCTGAAGCAGCCAATTAGGAAGAAGTTTTGTTTGAGAAGGCGTGGCTAAAACCCAGCGGGGCCAATAACAAATGGCCAAGGCCAGTGGGAGAACGTCGGCACCGCCTACAGGTGAAAACGAGGATTACATCTTCTTTTCAATAAAACCATGCAAATATAGCAGCTAAAATAGGATAAATAATAATTTAATGTTAAGAACTGAAATAACAGATAGAATAATAATTGCTTGTTATTGCATAAAAACTTCAGTTTCACTAAAAAAACATCAAATTTCGTATTTTTTGTCAAGTTTCTAAATATCGTATCACACTTGACATAAGACAAAACTAAAAGGGTATTTTTCCTAGATAGTACAGACCAAAAATACTGGGTATTAGTAATGACTACTGTCACTACTGTAGTAATAACTACAGTAGTGACAGTAGTTTTTTTTTTTGTTTTTTTTTTTTTTTGCAGTTACTGATACTAAAATCCAGATTTGCGGTGTGATCTTGTCTCCATACAGCAGGACGATCTGCTGCTGCTGCATGAAGTGCCAAAGCTGATGTCTTCGCCGTGATGATGCATGTCTGCAGAAGGCTGTTATTGGGGCTATGAAAGGGGCATTCTGGTTTACAAGGCTCTTCTGTGCATAAGCTGAACATGAGGGGTAGGCGCTGGGCGGGACTGCTCACACAAATACCATAACTGTGAAAATAAAAACAGTAGAACGTGCAGTTTACCTCTGCAGAGGACAAACTGCACTGTCTGCAGTGAAGATGAAGCTTCTCTGCTTTCTTTATTTGTTAAAGTTATTGACTTTCAATAATTTGAAAGTCAGAGCAGGACAGGAGTTATTGTTTTGAAAACAGTTCTGGCCTTTGCTTTTGGACTCGGCTGCCGTCTCTTCAGGAGGCGGCAGACATACAGTTTCCATTGCTTTTGGCTCAGATGACCGTGTCGTACCACCGTCCCCCCCTGCTAACAGACATATTCCTGCAGCATGATGCTGCCGTCCACAATTCATGAAAAATACTGCATTATTTTCAAAACATTTTATATCAAAGCCTGTTTTAATTTAAAACTTAATGGAATATGAAAACGTATGCACACTTTCATGTTTTGTCACATTGAAACCACAAACCTGAAGAACCAAATATAATTTGCATTTATATTTGTGTAGTTTACTCAATTATTTAAAATTGTTGAGAAACTGCCATTTTGTAAAAAAAAAAAAAAACAACTATACATTTGACACACGTTACAAAGTAATTAGTTTGCACTTTTATGTGGTACAAAAGTCCCAACTGGCAGAGATGGGCTGAATTTGTTTGGCAAAGAATAATGCGTAAAATGTCAGTGTTTGTGTACAAAGCTGATAGGAAGAGACCCCATTTGTTTCTGTAACTGCAGTGAACGGAGGTTCAACAGATGGAAATTCACGGTAGGCTTTTATTTTTAATTTGGAAAAAATCCCACATAATACTTTCCCTAAACTTCATAATTATGCTGTTTTGGAGTAATCTATTTTGCATGTTTTTATTCTTCTACTTGGGTTCCATCTGCTTCTAAAAAAAAAAAAACAACCCAAAAAAAAAAACCATCCAGTTGTTTTTTTGTCAAGAAGTTAATGTGTTTTCTGGTGCCTGGAAAATGAGCCATTTCCAAACCCTTCTGATTGTTTCGTCACATTGTATGAGCACAGCGCCGTTACCTAGAAACCCCAGCACATCACTTAGCAACCCAAGTGGTTTGGTTTGGTTTACAATGGCTGCTAGAAAACTGCTGGAAAAGTGTTTTTTAGTTGACTTGCCGTTCAGAAACCTCTTGCTACGTTCTTGTTAGTTGCGCGGGAGGCTCCAATTCTGCTTTTCAAAGATGTGCAGTTGTATAATTGCAGATGTGTCCTTTGAGTGAGGGGGGCGTCGCCAGAAACAGCTTATTAGAGTTTAAAGAGCAGGAGGTCCTAAAACAAATAATTTTGAAAGGATCCAAGTAAAATCTCATTTCTTGGAAGAATGATTTTGTGTAAAAAATGAGTAACGAATATCTTTTGTATCTCCCATAAAATTATTCTAACCTGTTCAATTAAGCATATGTCAAATTTAAATCTCAATGTCCATTTTCATCTTCTTTACTTTTTTATATGAATGTACTTGTGTCTTTAGTAAAGGTGATGATGGTAATGAATAGTTTTCCAAGGGTCTGTAAATACGGCTAATGAAGCTATTGAGAGTGATCCTCAGCTGCTGAAACACAAACAGTCAAACCCTCGTTAACCTTCCTGTTTCTCTGAATTCGGCCTTTCAAACAGATTGGCTTTGTTGACAGAAAATTCCTCCAGTTTGTCAAACGGTTCAGTCATTTCACCCGACCTCAACTCCAGTGTAAACACCGTGGCTGGGGGACACACCTTATTCCAAAATATCACCAAAAAGAGGGGTGGGGAAATCTAAATATGGCGAGGAAACTTTGAACAACTTTGAACAGATGGAGACATAATCTAACTGTACACAGACTCCATAAAAGGGTCACTCAGTTGGGCTTAAATTCACTGATTAGCTTTTAAAATGCATCATTCTCCTGATTCCTGAATAAGGAGCTAAATTAGGGTCATAAAGTTTGTTCACAAAAAAAAAATTAACTGAGAAGAAAACTTGAATCTGACAGGTATTTTTGAACTTTTTTTCAGTTTCAAAATGTATTTTTCAGCTTCAAAATGTTTGACAACCTGCATTTTTTTTCAGTTTCAAATCTTTTTTTTTTTTCTTTTAAACAAACTTTATGGCCCCAATGTAGCTCCATACCTGAGTCCAGCATCCTCACACATTATGAAGGTTGGAGCAGCGTTTTATAGAAACAACAGAAGTCCAGTGTGTGTTCCTGCTGATTAAATAAGCCCTGGCTCGCTTGATGCCACTTAAACTGAACAAACTCCAGTCTTTGGGTAATTAGGGTTCATTTGTTGCTGCGGCGACACAGTTGTAAAGCCCATGAACTTGCTGTAATTACCATTTCCTGTCCTGCCTTTGCTCAGTACAACTGGACTGAAAGAGCAGCTTTGTGTCCTCTTTTGGGAACTATTTTCTCTATTTGAAGACAGAAAGAAAGTTGAAAAGGAGAAGAATGATAGCTTCCTATCTGAGAAGGTTTTGGCCAAATCATCATCCGTCATTTCTGCAGAATTTGATTTGGCCACTTTGCCATTTAGAGTCAGGAAACAGAAGCTACAAATGAGAAGAAACAGCTGGAAGTGAAAAGAGATGATTATATAACAGACTAACTCCCCATCAAAACCTTATAACTGCAACTTTTTACCGCTTTTCTGCACACAAAAAAACTAAAATTAAGGCAAATATCCTCCTTCCCTTTCAAAATAAAACAGCATGGTTTTCCATGTTTTCTCTGTGTTGTGTTGTGGTGAACAGTCATGAAATGACACAAATGCTGCTGCCAGCAAAGAAGTGAATATAAGATGCTTAATTACCCTGCAGATAAAAAAATAAATAAATTTGACAAAAATCAAACAACGTAGGAAAATATGAAAATAAAAGCCCTGAAGCTGCTGGTTTTATTTTATCATTATTATTTTTATTCACTTCTTTTTTTTTATTATACTTTAAAAACAACCATTTTTAATGTTTAATTTTATTATTACATTTCATTTGTATTTTTGTAAGAATTGAATTAGTTTTAACTTCTATTATTAATCTTATTATTTTTGCTTCGTTTTAGTAGAAACGATTTTGAGATCAAATGAAATAATTTTTACATATATTAATTACTGTAATAATTAATATATGTCTTCAACCTTTATGATCATTATTATAATTTTAATTATTTTACATTTTTATTAGAATCATTTCAGTGACTGTGAGCTTTTATTGTGAAAGTTGATTCAGTGCCTCAGCCTGAGCAGCTTCATGGTTTCTCCTCTCTGAGGTCTGAGAGCCGGACCCGGTCCAGGACTTTTTCCTCTGTGTTCAGCCAAGCATCCAGAGCTGCTGCTGCTGCTGCTGCTGCTGCTGCTGCTGCTGCTGTCGGTTCTGTTGTTTAAACTCAGAACCAACAACAAACGGACCGGTCCAGCAGAAACACACCAGAGACAAAACATTCCACGTCAGAAACAGGTAAGCCAAAACTTTTTCACTGGATTCATTGGGATGAAATATGTCTGTAAGCAAGAGTTGCTCCAAACTGCTGCACAGACATGAAAAATGTCATGGTTATAATCTATACTTTAATATAATTATCATTATTTTTAACATTTTGTGCTTCTGGTCAAAAGTCTTTTTATGGATTTTTGCAGCTTTTTTCACCCATTTTCTGTAAAATTTTCAACTTTTTCAGTGTCTAACTTTTGACATGAAAAACATTTAGGCACAAGTCATTGTTAGACTAAAATATGTCTGACTTATGAAGTACATATGTCTTTAAGTTCTCTGTCACGTTTCACAAATTCAAGACATTCCAATCTGTATCGTCAAAGTACAGAAAATCTGTTCAGTTTGACAGAAAATCCAACATGTGATTGTGAAAAAGCTGCAGCCTTCAGACCCAGATCCTTTCAGAACCTGGATGGATCGGATGCCTGATCCTCTTTCTTTTGTTACTGCAGACAAACCGGACATAAAAACATAATCTTCAGAACAAAATTAGACCAAAAATAAATAACTCTGAATCTTTTTTCAACTCCAAAGAAAAATATTGTATATCTCATTCCAAAATCCACATAAATAAATGCAGCAAATATTGAATAAACAAATGAATATAGATAAACATAAATAAATACATTTTAGTTGCAGACAGTACCTTTCCATTTCATTACGATCTACCAGAAGAGCAGTAAATTGGCAGTAAATTGTGATTAGGATCATTTTAAAGTCTGGAAGGAAAACTGTCCCAGTGTCACTTCCTGTGGGACTTTAACTATAAAAAAATACATTAAAAAATTCCTTAAATTCTCCACTTCCTCTAATATTCACCATTTTTAACTCATATTTGACATAAAAAGAAAAAAGTCACTTATTTTTGTGTGTGAGAAGAAAAAGAAGTAAATGTTGCAGAAACAGTTTTTTAAAAATTAAAGTCATAAATAACGAGCAGATTTGTGTCACAGAGGCTTAAAAATCATTAAAAAGAAGAAATTAATTTCTGCCCAAAACTGAGAAAGTTTGATATTAATCTGAAGAAATTTTCTACAAAAAAAACTTGGAAAGTTCTATTTTGACTATGGAAATTTTATGAGTTTAAAAAGTAAAAAATCATAAATTTCATAGATTTACCTGTTTTTTCAAAAATATTTCTAATTTTAGTCTCAAAATTTGTTTTTTTCTGGAAAATTTCTCTTCTTTGTTTTTGTCTTTTCATATACATTGACCAACCCATTGTACAACTTATTCAATTTAAAAAATTTTCAACCAACATTTGTTTTTTGTATTCTCACATATAGACATTTTTTGTCTTTTGCATGTTAATGAGTTAAAACGGTGAACAGTAGAAAAAGTTTCAGGTTTTAGCCATTTTCAGTATTTTTTTCCCCATATTTCAGCGTTTAAACAAACAGATTTAACACTGTTTATGTGTGTTACACTGGAAAGCGCTGGAGCACAACTAATGTGACATAAATGAAACGCCTCATCCCAAATCCTGCTCTCAACAGGAAAAAGGTATCACTTAAAAAGGATGAAAGTCTGCCTCCGTCGTGTGTCACGTTTTCCCTGTCCTGCCGCCTGAACGTGGGCAGTGTTGGGACGTGATGGAAATGTTCTGGGGGAACGTGGAACATACATGCTGCTGTCTGCAGAGGCCTGGTGCCGTCACCACGGTTAAAGCATTCTTCACGTCGGTGCCACACCCGGTCCAAAGGAGGCGTTTTCACCCCGACGTCACTGCCGAGACAAAAACAAGTTACATTAAATAATCTGGACAGCTGAAGACATGCGAAGGCCAGAAAATGTTGATCTCATAGAAGAAAACTAAGTGAAATCCAGAGCTGGTTAGTAGTGACAATTACTGGAGTAATATTTTGAAAAACTTTTACTTTTAGGAGTATTTTTACTACACTGTACTTTTTTACTTGTATAATTTTACTATGAAGTATCTCTACTCTTACTTGAGTAAAATTTCTGGATTCTCTGCCTACTAAAGGAAAAACAAACATGTTTTAACCAAAACGTCACTCAGACAGTTTTTGCTAAAGTTCCACAGTTGATTATAGTTGTTTATTAAAGAAAACTAATTAAGAAAAATATTAATTTTTTGTTAGTGACATGAATTATTGTCATTTTCATCCTTAAAACACCAAAATTTCCACTTAACTTTATATTTTTGTCCATCTGATGATGTAATATTTAAATATAAAATGGTTGATAATTGACCAGTCAGTGCTTTTGTTGATGTTTCACCAAAGACGTTTTACTCTTACTTGAGTAATTTCTTGGACGGCGACTTTTTACTTTTACTTACATGAGTCCAAGTTTTGGGTGACCTGCCCACATCTGGTAAAATCCAACCTTCAGTGCATTTTGGTTGAGACTGAATGAAAACCCATTTTCTGTCTTTATGGCATCAGACTGGAATTAAAAATATCAAGTTATTTCCAAGAACTAAGAAAAGGGCCTTTGGAGATTAAATTCCAGATTATTCCGAAAGCATAGTTGAAATACAGCAAGTTTACGCAAATGCAGCGCAAAATGCAGCGCAAAAAATGCTGCGCAAAAAAAGCACATAAACACGTAAATTGTCAGAGTTGCACATAGTGCGACAGACTGGGGCGCCATGCCAAAGAGGGTGCCAAACAATATGTTACTTATTAATTTTCCATCTCTATGCACCTGACTTTATATACAATATGAATATTAATGTTAATATGTAATAAGATGTTCTTTTCTTTCCACCATTTTAAGGTAAAACATGTTGAAGTGGACCGTGATCCTGTCTTTATGTTTGAATGTCTCCTCTGCAACATTTGACTATCTATACGAGCAGAGATCCTTCATGGGTAAGAAATCCATTTTTTCTGTGTTTTTAACTTTCACATTTATTCTGACATTTAAGACATTTCAATTAAATTTTTCTGTCTTTTGTTGTGATTCTGGGACAGATCCGGAGGATATTCTGACTGTGAGCATTCCTCTGGAGGGCTTGCAGCGTCCTCTGCTGGGAGAAACTCTGCTGCTGCCCTGCTACTTTCAGGTCGTATGTCAATCGTTTTTGTTTCTGGATTTTAATCTGCTTTAAAAACTATTCAGTGCATGTTAGCATGGCTATTGCCTTTATACGGGATTTCATCTCTGAGTTTTGAAATATGACATAAATTTTCTGCCCTGTTTTAGAATCATACCTGTAGTTCCAGCAATGGCAGTGGAGGAAGTGAATAAAGCTGTTCAGAGCGTGTTAGCCACGCTTTCATAAGTTTAATTAACCTCTGCAGCCATCTTGTTTGGCTTGGCTCTTCTCTCTTTGCACTGGAGAATGGTTGTTAATAGTTCAGAACTAGAACGTGCCAGAGGAACTATGCATCCTGTCTGGTCATTCCGCCAGATTGACTGGGATCCCTGGTCACCAGATTAGAGTTTAAAGGTAATCACGGATTGGGATCCCCCAGAATGACTAGCACTGAAGAAATTGGATGACTCAGTTTTCTGTGAAAATGTGCCGCTTTGACTTGATCGTTATTTCTTTTTTGAAAGTTGTACTGGCTCTTGGACAGTGGTCAGCCAGGGAAGTAGCCCAAGAGGTCATTGGCCAGGACTTGACCCTGTAATGGCCATAGGGCTGCACACTCTGCCCCTGTGGCTCCCCAATCTTGGATCTTCTTTTTTCATATCAAGTAAACCCCTATTTGTCCATTTGTAGGACCACTCTGCTGAAGATTCTGCTTCCTTTTCCCACCGTATCAAATGGAGCTATGTCACAAAGGAAAAGGCGACTACCATTCTTGTGGCTTTGGAGAGACAGGTCCGCATCAGCGAAAGTTATCTGGACAGAGTTCAGCTGAGGAGCTACCCCCAGACTCCAACAGACGCCAGCATCACAATATCAGCGCTACGTTCCAGTGACACGGGAGTGTATCGCTGTGAAGTTCAGACTGGCATTGAGGATGCCTATGACATTGTGCATGTCCTTGTTCAAGGTACTCAAATTTCATCAAGTTGGTCATAATTCACCTTAAAGAATAAGTATATAGCAACAACAAAATCCCTCCACTGGCCTCCTGTTTGTGTTGGTCTTGGACTGATTATACCTGAAGGTTTTTTTTTTATTTAACAGACATGCTTCTCAGAGAACAGCTTACTCTGTGTTTCCAGGGTCAGAACGAAACAAAGGGGGCAGCTTTTAGTTTCTATATTCCTCATCTCTGTAGCCAATTCTGACAACACCTGATAACTGAAACTGTTGACTCCTTCAAATTAGAACAAAAAGCTTCCATTGTTTTTAGTGTTCATGTATTTAGAGTTTCCTTGTATGAATGATGCTGTACATTAAATATTTATCCTGCCTTGACTGTTTTAGGCATCGTGTTCCACTATCGGCCCTTTATGGGTCGCTACACTTTGAGTTTTGAGAAAGCGAAGGCAGCATGTGCCCAGAACAGTGCAGTCATTGCTTCTCCAGAGCAGCTTCAAGCCGCATTCGAAGACGGTTTCCACCAGTGCGACGCTGGCTGGTTGTCTGATCAAACAGTGCGGTGAGTAAGTCAAGCGACGAGCAACCGTTGCTCTCTTATCCAAATCTGTGACACATTTTGTTTGCATTTTATCACATTTGCCATATTCAATAGACACAGTTGTTTACAAAAAAGTGAATTAATTTGGGTATATTAGATTATCAAAATTTAAAGTAAATAACATACAAACCTTTTCTTGAAAGAGAAGGGTGACATTTGAAGATATAACTGTTGAAAATGTAGAGCAACAAGTATGAAATCATTTTTTCTGTCCAACAACAGGTACCCAATCCATGAGTCTCGCATAAACTGCTACGGCGACAAAGAGGAACTCCCAGGGGTCAGGACGTATGGCATGAGAGACCTCAATGAGACATATGATGTTTACTGCTTTGCAGATAGGATGCCAGGTACATAGTCTTGGTCCATGTTGTTTATTGACTTATTTTCCCCAACAGTTTCTGAAACAAACCTTCCTTTTCTGGAACAGGCAGAGTTTTTCACAGCACCTTTGCAGGGAAGTTCACCTTCTCTGAGGCTGCGCTGGCGTGCTCCTACCAAGGAGCTCGGCTGGCCACCACAGGTCAGCTGTACCTTGCATGGCAGGGCGGGATGGACGTCTGCAATGCCGGCTGGCTGAGAGATGGGAGTGTCCGCTACCCCATCAATATTCGACGGCCACAGTGCGGAGGGGGTCTGCTGGGGGTGCGAACAGTTTATCTCCACACAAACCAAACAGGATACCCACTTCCTGGTTCTCGCTATGATGCCTTCTGTTACACAGGTATACCAAGACTCTCACAAGATGGATCTATTGAAATCATTGTTACTTTGGAATATTACTTCTTATACAAAGAGGTCAGAATCCAGCAATGCTTATTAGATAGAGATGCCTTCATGTGCACAAAAACACAACACATGCTTTTCATTGTGTAACTAAACATATCTAAATTTCTGAAATTTGGATATGCAAGGAATGCTTGGAAAAAGCATTCCTTTTTCCTGGTGGGAAAGAGGAATGCTGTTTCTGTTTTCACAAGATGGAAAACCAAATCCTGACAATGCTGATCAGATGCCTATAAAGCAGTCGGTTAAAGACATTGCTGGTCTGGATCAATGACCTTAGAGAAGCAACTGCTGGTGCCCATCTATCTAGTAAGGGCTTATGGCCATTTCCTGAGTGTTAGATTATATGTCCCTCTGTTTAAGATGAGAAAGATTAACAAACAGAAAACACTTAGGGAAATCTTCCTTCAAGTGAATGTACCAGCAGATTTGCTCCAACATTTTTTCTTAGCATTGGCTGCACAATGCTAAGAAAAATTTCAAATCCCCAACAACAGCCTCCAAGAATCCTCAGGCCCCAGGTTGAATGTTGGGTTAATTATGGCTTGTTTGGAATAGATGGTGATATGAAGACCCCATTGCTACTAGAAGGAAACAACTTTATTGACAGACTAACACGTTTCAGCTTGTAAACATCATCTTTGGTAGTTGAAACTTACGTTGTGTCTTTTTCTATATTGTGGTGGTTCAATGAATGTTTGCCTTGGACTTGTGTCTTTAAACCAAAGTTTCTGTGTATTGGGTGTGCATCAGTAGTAGTGGAAGTTTTGGTGGCTGAATTATGACTGCCTGTGGACCAGAGATATACAAATCACTTCCCATAGTCCTTCTCGTCCCTTAGGAAATGTACGACGTTCGACTGCTGCTGGAACAGTCGAATGTCTGCTCCAGCAACACTCGAACAGTCATTCGAGTGTTGCTGGAGCCTTCATTTCACCAATCCTTTGACCCTATCCATGCACTTTGGGAGTTGGTGAAATTGTGCCTGAGACATTTTGGATCCCTTGGCTTGGAAAGGTTTCTAAATATTAAAATGGTGAGAGTGCATTGGGTTTGGAAAGTTGTATCTATAAAATCCTGGGGACAGCTAAAACTAAAGTAGCTTTGCTAGAGGATATCACCTTCAGTCACTGACTTGATCATGTTCTAGTTGAATTAAATGTGAGTCCATTGGTCTAACAGCCAAAACTTGGTAAGTCTGGAGCTTCAACATGAGTCCAAACACGGACATATTCTAGTCAATGTGTAGACATCATCCAGACTTTGCAGAAATAAATATCTGTAAATTTCCTTAAACTAAATCAATGCTGTAAAGATCATTTCTCCACATTGGTGAGAAACTGATGAAGTCATGCACAAAGACTTAGTTCCCAAACTGCCTTCACAGTTACACTTTTTGTTTATGCACATTTGGTTAGATCATAGATTTATGTTGATGAATACTTCCATTTCAGAGCAACCGTTTCTCACGGCGATTTAGTCAGGAAGCAAAGGTTAAAATAACCTATTTGGCTTCTATTTCCTAAGGGACGAGAAGGACTATGGGAAGTCATTCTATTTGCCTGGAATGGAAACCGGCTGATTTACCAAACATGGGTAAAACAAGCACCAGTTATCAGAACTGTGTTTGCAGTGGTGAAGATTGTGTCTTTAGCCCAACACCATGTCACAAATTCAAAACTATATGAGCTCAGCTGCTCTAATTTTAAAGCAGACAGCCCTGGCAGTGGCATGGACCCAGACAGAGCTCTGGCATCCATCGGGTGTAGTGTAACAACAACATGCCTCTGGGATTATTGCCAATAATGCTCGGCCTCTGCTGAAGCTGACAGATATTTGGGTGATAGATAACTATATTAAAATTTACTGTTTTGTGCAGCAGGAGCTGTTTAGTTGCTCTTAAATGTTTCATAACTTTCAGTCAATGTGTTTAGTAGGATTTTATTGAGATTGTTCTGAGATCTTGCCTGATTCGTTCCAGTTTAGTCACTTCTGTTATCTTCAGATTCCCCTGATGATGAGGGTTCAGGCGCAGACGAGGGGAGTGGTGTTGTGATTATTACCACAGTGACGAAGAGGCCAGAGATGTTCTTCAGCAAGACGACCACAGAGAGCGAAGCAGTTGGAGAGGTGGAGACCCAGCAGCCATTCGATCTGAGCTTCACCAACAGCCAGAAGCCCAACAAGCTGCCACTTCCTCAGCCAACAAACTTCACAGACTTCACCTTTGACCTTATTGAGGCCGTCACCAACCAGCCAGCTCTACAAAAGGAGCCCAACAAAACCTCTGTCATCTCTCCAGCAGGTCAGCAATCAAACTGTTGACTCTTGGATAATAACTGCCACCATCCGGACAAGCTGGACTTTCCTTCATTTCTTTAAAGTGGTTCAAGAATGATTAACATTCTTTCAAACGGGTTTAATATCTGCTGCAATAGCATAAGAAAACAAACTGAGTGATAAGTCAGTGTAAAGAAACAGATGTACAAGAACTTCAGAAACTATAAGCAATGGTTGGCTCACTTCTGCTAAGCCTCTGATAGCTAAGCTAACATTTAGTTTAGTGCTTTTGCTAATTTTAAATATGTTTAACGCCCTTACTGCTAAACAAGAAACCTATAGGAACAAAACAAAACATAAAAGGACAAGATATAAACATAAATACAATATCTAAGAGCGTTGTAAAACATGCAAATAGTAGATTGAACGTGGGTAGCACTTTATCAAGTTGAGAGGACCCCACATTCACCCATTCACATCTGTGGCTACATTGTAGTCTGACAGAAGTGACAGTGAAGGGTCATCAACCTGATTTAATTTAGTGCCTTAACATTAGCTCCCACTAAACACTGTGTTGGTACAGCATTTAAGCTTTGGAGTTTGTGCCAACAGCACTTTAGTTAGCGTTGCTCACGCTTGGTCAAGAAGACCAATGGTTTGAAATATTACTAAGGTCAGGCTGCCTGGGAGATATGTTAGAGATATAGTGAGGAAACTGGTGGTTCTAGCTTCTTCTTCCTTTAAACTGTAGGCGTGGTCTTCCATTACCGCTCACCCGCTGGCCGTTATGCTCTCACATTCGTTGAGGCTCAGTTGGCCTGCCAGGGTGTCAGAGGCTCCATGGCCACACCACAGCAGCTGCAGCAAGCATACGAGGATGGATACCATCAGTGTGATGCAGGTTGGCTTCTGGACCAGACTGTGAGGTAAATCCTAAAAATAGGTGTTTGAATCTCTAGAAGCAAATTGCTTCTAAAATGTAATTTCCATCTGCATAGGTATCCTATCGTATTTCCTCGAGAAAAATGTGCTGGAGATCTTGGAGATCAGCCTGGAGTTCGGACGTATGGCCTAAGACCAGCAGAGGAGAGATACGATGTTTACTGCTACACCGAGGAGGTCAAAGGTGACTAATGTCAGTCTTACCTGGTGAGTTCTCCCTCCAAGTAGGTTGTATAACCAAAGGTTTTCACTGCACAGGAGAGGTTTTTCATGTGGGATCTGCTGAGGGTTTCACCTACGATGAGGCTGCTTCTGCCTGTGAAAACCACAGTGCGGTTCTGGCCTCCACTGGAGAGCTCTACGCAGCCTGGAAACGAGGCTTGGACAAGTGCCGAGCAGGTTGGCTACTGGACCGCAGCGTTCGCTACCCCGTCAACAGCCCCCGGCCTGGGTGCGGAGGAGAGACATCAGGGGTGCACACTTTGTACTCTCCTCCAAACCAAACACACTACCCTGAACCTGATGCCAGATTTGATGCATACTGTATAAGAGGTAGACATCGACATGTTTTGGGTCAATGTTTATTAAAGTGGGATATTCATTACTTTCTTTTACCGATTCATCATTGCAGTTGGCTTTCTGTCAAATGAAACTGAACTGAACATCACAGATATCCAGAAGGCTCCACCTAACCAGACATTGGATACTGAAATATTAAGGCCTTGTAAGTTCAAATAATTGGTAGATTTTGGGGGTTTTACCCATGAATGTTAACATGTTTGCTTCACATCTTTTTTTTAGATGGTTTCTTCATCGTTCCTCCCATTCCCGTGGAGATTTCAGGTTCTGGCTCTGGTTCAGCAGACTTTGATTCAGGCTCTGCAGTAGATAATTCTGGAGTACAATTTAACTCAGGAGACCGGGTTACCTCTGGAGATCAGTCAGGATCTGGAGATCAGCCTGGATCTGGAGATCGAGTTAACTCTGGAGATCAGTCAGGATTTGGAGACCAGGTTAACTCTGGAGATCAGTCTAGTTCTGGAGATCAGCCTAGTTCTGGAGATCAGTCTGGTTCTGGAGATCAGTCTGGTTCTGGAGATCAGTCTGGATCTGGAGACCAGGTTACCTTTGGAGACATATCTGGTTCTGGAGGCAAAATCCCCATTGGAGACCAAGATGGGTATACAGACACTGTGGTGAGCAGCGGAGGATCCGGTTTGGCCAGTGCATCTGGTTCAGGATCAGGACTCAGAGTTGTTTTCTCTGGACCCGACATTGAAGCAGTAGAGGGATCAACATCAGGAGAACCTCAAGAGGCTGGAGAAGGAAACACAGATGTTCTTATATTTCCTTTGTCTGCAGCTGATTCTGGGGAACTCAGTGGAAGTGGAGATAAGTCCGAGTCTGGATCTGGATCTGACTTCATTGAAAAAGATGCTGGACATCTCAGTGGCATGGGTCACATCTTGGATCAGGAGTTGTCAGGTTTCATTGGATCTTTGTCTGGAAGTGGACGATCTGGAGACATTTCTGGAAGTGGAGATGCTCCGATCCTAAGAATAGATGACAAACTAATTGATGCAAAGAAGGAGTACAACCTTGATGGAGGTCCGTTAGATTTCAGTGGTTCTGGGATTCTCAGTGGGTCAACCTCTGAAAGTGACTCCGAGTCTCTTACTGGTGTAACTTTTATGGGTTCAGGCTTCACTAAACTTATTGGGTCACATTCTGGAGAACAGGAGGAGGCGACTGGGGATTTATTCTACAGCTCTGGACCAGAAAGTGGGGGACAGATGTCTGGATTTAGAATCTCAAGTTGCAGTTTTGAGTCTAGAGCTGGAGTTTCTGGATCTGGTTTCTCTACATCTGAAACATCAACAACCAAAGGTGAGGAAGAGGGCAGTGCTGCATTTTTCACTCAGGGTCTAATGATAGAAATACCTGGAAATGATAAGGTGCCTCTGGAGCTGGGAGAAAACTCAGTGGAGTACAGTGGAGAAGCAAGTGGCAACAATGGTTTCTACTCCGGGGATGGAAACAAGGACTTAGCTGACGATAACACCTTCATGTCAGGGGTTTCTTCTTCTGGAGATTCTTCTGATCCACTGGTGGTGGTCCCACCCGCTCCATCAGTTGACCCGGCACTAACAGAACCCATCATAAGAACAGAGGAAGATATTCATGGGACTGAACTGACGCACAACTCCAGAGTTTATGATTCTCCAGGTCCAGCAGTTGTCCCTGCAGGATTAGCAGCTCCTCCTGCAGAAGTCAAACCAGCTTTTGTACAAACACCATCTATCCGAGAAGGTAGGTTGACTTATCTCTTCTGCTTCTCTCTTTATGTTTGTCATTTTGTCTTTTTGAACAGTTGTTTTTTCATCAGTTCATATCTGACTTTTTGGGTGCAACTTGGTGACAATCATTTCGTGTCCACCACAGAGATGGTTCAGCGTGACAAATGATGATTTTCTTAAACATGCATATGTTATATAATCAGCACATGCAGTGACATGAGACCAGTTTAAGGGTGTTCTAGCACCTGGGGTGTTCAGATTGATTAACACAAACTAGCTCCAAATAGGAAGAGACAGAATGGTTGGCCAGTCTTGAGATTAAATGAAGGCAACTGGGCCTGTTTTGTTACTTTGAAGATGAAATGTCGTCAAGATAAAAGAACTCTCAAGAGATGAGTGATGACACAATTTCAAGTCCCTTGGCTCACTAACAAAACGTTGATGACAATGTGTCTTCAATATAACAAGAGAAGTTCAATTTCCTTCGCTTTAACTCTTAAGACATAATGTCCTGCATGACTGAGAATACACCCTTGATGTATGGTGACACATCAAATCAAAAACCAACTCTTGACTGATCTTTTCTGTCTTTGAAGCTTCCAGCCCATGTGAACCAAATCCTTGTGGCAATGCTTCCTGCACAGCAGAGGAAGGGGTTGCTTTCTGCTTTGGTAAGCTTTACATTTATTCTCCTCTTCTCAGTTTTCTGTTGTTTTGGTGGCTATAAATGAATGTGTATGTTTGTTGTTAGCATGTTTTGTACTGTTTGTGCATGCTTGACTGTAAGGGACTGTGTCACTGCTGCTGTCTTGTCCTGGTATGATTTGCATCAGATTTGGTTTTCATGTGTTGTTTTTACGTTTTATGCAGAGTGTTTGTCAAACATGCATCAGCTCTGCTCTGGTGATGGTAAAATATGACACGTACATCTATGTTGTTTTTGGTCTGCTCTGCCTGCCGGCCTTTGCTCTGTCGCTTTAAAGTCATGCTAGCATTCTTGAACTTCTTTCGTCCAACTGGACTTGAAAACTAATCTGTTGCAACCAAGAACGGATTCAAACATACATATTCAAATTTCAACCTCTTTAATTTGGAGAAAAAGATTAAAATACTGGGATTTGCAATACTTTGGATCTGAAGTTGCAGGATCTATAATGTCTCACAGTCTTTATTGAAGGTGTGGTACTTGTTTATCACATCTCCAATTATCTCACGCTGTTACTGCATCTTCGGCCTCACCCCCTCTGAAACCGTAGAGTCAACACCCCACCGTGTTTTTCAGAGGCAGAAGTGTGCCATCCCAACCCTTGTACCAACGGAGCCACCTGTGTGGAGAGCGCAGACTCTTTCAAATGCTTATGCCTGCCCAGCTACGGAGGGGAACGCTGTGAGATCGGTACGATCAGCTTCAGCTAATAAATACTAACGGCGGCCAGTCAAAAACAACCACAGCAGGGTGAACCTGGGAACCTGTGTGGTGCAGTTCCCAGAGGAGAGTGAACGCTGTGTGGCAGGCAGACATCTGGTCGTCTGACAAAATGTTAACACTGGTGCTAATTTCTTGTTTCACGCTTTTTGCTAATAATACAAAATTAGCACATTTATCTCCCCTGAAATCATTTTTGCAGATAAATTCTGAAATTCACTTGGCTGTTTGGTAAACTTTCAGTTGAATAAAGTTTGACATTGTGTTCAGGTTTAGTTCAGATCTCCTCAGTTAGCTGGACGTTTGTCTGCAGGCTTGTCGTGATTTGTGTGGCCAATATACATTAATTACTAATTTCTCAGAGAAATGTGTCGTATGGAAAACCAATAGTGTCCAAACAGTTTCACCTTTTAAGATATTGAATGCAAAAATAGTTTAATTGATATATATATTTTTTAATTGCAGAAAGAAAGTAAATCAAATAAGTTATTTGGAGAGGTTTTTGCATTTCACAATACAAGAGTATATTTTCACACAAATGTGAAATAATTTGATTCCAGCAAAACATTTAAAGACTCTTCCTTAAAGTTGCAAAAGACAAACAGAGTTGCTTGATGGTTTCCTGTGTTTGGCGGCTGCAGAGGAGCAGCGATGTGAAGACGGCTGGACGAAGTTCCAGGGAAACTGCTACCTGCACGTCTCTGACAGGGCAGAGTGGCTGGAGGCGGAGCAACGCTGTCGGCACCTGAACGCTCACCTGGTCAGCATCATCACACCAGAGGAGCAGCAGTTTGTCAGCGGTGAGCGACTCATCTGGACTCTGTTTGGCGATGTGAGAGGGACTGAAAATCATCCCAGTGTTTGTTTTTCACAGCGGATGCGCAGGACTACCAGTGGATCGGCCTGAACGACAAAACGGTGGCGGGCGATTTCCAGTGGACGGATGGCTCTCCACTGGTGAACAGGCGTCACACCGAGGGCTTTAGATTCATGTTGGGAACAAACTAATTTTATAAACGTGGAAATAAATAACTAAAATAATTCAAATTTATTGGAAAGAATTGCATAACTAACCCACAAGGCAGAGCAAACTCTTTAAAGGCAGAAATGCAGATATTACTGTACAAAGAAAGTAAATATTTAGATTCCTAACAAAATATTAAATTAGCAACTCAAACTTGCTTTGTTGTCTAACTATTTAGTTTTTAAGCTTCCAAAGTATTAAAGTCGTAAACTAAATATTTATCTTGTTAATTCAATATTTAGTTTGGGATGAAAGTAAAACCTATATGAAATTTCTGTCACATGCTAAATGAACCAAAAATATTCCTGTTATTTTTCTACTGTTACTTTACCAACGGGACAAAATAACTAAAATTAAATTCAGAATGTTTGCAAATGATTCATAAAGAAATGAAATAATCAAAATGACATGCAATACGCTACAAAGTGACAATACGAGCTTAAGCAGAAAGTAATAAGAAAAATCCACATCATAGCATGACCTAAGAATATATACATTTATAAAATAAAATACAAAGACCCCCAAAAATAAAAGATACATATAAAAAGATTTAAAAATACATAACTATTGGAAAATCAGGTTTAAATTCTCTTATTCTGTTAATTCCAAAATACTTGCTTCATAATCTCAAAGACAAATATCTTTCCAAATTCGGTCCCCTCCTTTTCATACTTTATTCATTTTTATTTCTCAGCAATATGAAAACTGGAAGCTGAACCAGCCAGACAATTTCCTCAACTCATCAGAGAACTGCGTGGTTTTGAGCTGGCATGAGAGCGGAAAGTGGAACGACGTTCCCTGCAACTATCACCTGCCCTTCACCTGCAAGAAGGGGCCAGGTGAGTCCACCGTCTGATCAAAGCTCAAAGCAGTACCTGGTCCCGGCCACCAGGGGTCACACAGAGCACAAACAACACAGTTACTGCTCCTTTTAAGGCAAAGAAGAAATTCTTTTTTTTTTTTTTTTTTCTATTTTCTGTTTTCGCCTCTATCATTAGTGGAAAATATTATTCAGCTGCTGATCTAATTTTTGTTACTAAAAGCAAAAAACATCATCACTTTCTAAAGAGTTTGTATAAATATGAATAAGTAGACAAAAGTCAGAACTTTCATTTAGTGGCATATAGATTTGTTGAATACAGCAGTGTGTTAGAGAGACTGCAGGAGAAAATAGAAAACATTTTCACAAAATTTTTTAATTAGTCAAAGAAAGTTTCTAGAAAAAAGTGTGAAAATTCTGAGTTTGAGAAACTGAAAATTTGCAAGAAAAAATTAAATATTTAGATTTTTGAGATTAATTTTATACATTTCTAGAAAACTCAAAAAGTTCTGATTTTCAAAGATCAAAATTGTTTTAGATTCATGTCGAAAATTTTTAAAAACTTGAAAAGTTTTGAGTTTGAACATTTAAGATATGCTTGAAAACTTATAAATTTTTATAATAACCTCAGAATATTTTCTAGAAAATGTTGAAATCTCAACGTGAAATGTCAAAAAAATTTCCTGTAAAAACGGTTTTTTTTCTAGAAAATTTCTGAGCTTAATCTGTTACATCTTTTTCTAGCATTTTTTTGTCATTTTAAACACTGAAATGTTTTTTTTCTAGAATATTTGTGACTTTTCGGGGTTTTGGTGGAAATTTACTTCTCTCCTTGTTCTTCTTTTAACAACGATCTTGGCAAACCGTCGTAGATAAAACTGCAGACAAAGACAAGAAAATAGTTTACATTTTCCTGATGACGCTGAACATGCAGGTCTGACGCCCCCTGGTGGCTGAGACCCGCTATCGCCTCGTTGTCCTGCCAATAAAGTTTAAATTTTTCCAGATCAGTGGCTCAGGCTTTGTAAAGCCAGGTATCTGTTGTCTGCAGTGTTTTGCGGCGCTCCGCCTGTGGTGAAAAACACGCGCATGTTTGGAAACCGGAGGTCGGAGTTTCCCGTCAACTCCATCATCCGTTATCAGTGCAACCCGGGATTCAGACAGCGCCATCTACCTGTGGTCCGCTGCCAAGCTGACGGGACCTGGCAGAAACCCAAAGTGGAGTGCACAGATGGTGAGCAGAACCCCGTGATGTGTTTCACACACTTATTGAATTGTTTGTTCTTGAAAACAGTAATTTGTTGTGATTTTTTTCTCTCTGCAGTAAAAGCCAGGAACAGAATAAAACGCAGGAGCAGCAGGAAATCAGCAGTGAGCGGAAAAAACAAATGAAATTAATTAAAGTTTTTAAAAGCAAGAAAAATCTTTTCACATAATTTTTATAATATAAATTAAAATGCTTGAATTCTCATTCTGTGGGTGCTACGTTGTGGTAGCACTTGTTTAAAACCTTCATCCCTTCTCACTATTAGATTTAATGTTGTTAATTGTTTTATTTTACATAAATGAAGTCAAATTGTTGCTGTTAGTCTTTCTTTTCCTTCATCATGTTCTTACAGATGAAGAATAAGGAAACTTAAGAAATGAAAGTTTGGTTTGGATTTTATTTTTTAAGTGTTTCTTCATGGTAGAAATGGGGGCCTGAGATTTGCACATCCATCATGCAAACGATGGCGCTGAATACAAATGTAATATCTGACTGAGAAAAAACTGATAAAGCATATTTTTTTAACTTTATCTAACCTTCGTCCTTTTTTTGATCCAGATTAGCCGCCATTTGTGAAGTTGCACAGTTGAAAAGTGGAAGCAATAATTTGTGTTATTTAGCCGATTAAAGATGGTTTATTGTTCAATATTATATTTTCACCATGATATTTATTAATTTATAAATGTCACAGTTTAGCTAGCAAACTAAGTGTTTAATTAGTATTCTAAATATTTTAATTACAAACTAAATATTTAGCATTAAACTAAATTGTTAGCGAACTATGAGGGTAAAAATTAATCATCAAATTAAATATTAAACAAATATTTAACTAAATATTTAGTTTCGAACTGAATAGTTTGTAAAAAAAAAAGTTTCAAGTTAAATCTTTAGTTAGAAAGCAAAATATATTTATATATTTATTTGTGAAATATATTTTGCATTAAACTAAACTGTTGGCAAACTATTTTGAATCTAACTATTTAGTTAGCATGCTAAATGTTTAAACTAAACATTTAGCATTAAGACAAATTGCTAACAAACTATTTAGTTTGAAGCTAATTATTTTCTTTGCAAGATAAATAATCTAACTTGCTAACAATTTAGTTTGCTAACTAAAAATTTACTAACTAAATATTTACCTTGTTGAGTAGATATTTAGTTTTGACCTAAATATTGAATTTGTAGCTAAATATTTAGCTTGAAACAGTTACATTTATGAATGAATGAATAACATTTTATTATTGTATTTAAATTTCATAACAGGCTGTGTACTCAAATTGTTTTTGTGCAACTTTACAAACGCCATCCTATATATTAGGGTGCTCAGTTAAAAAAAAACATAAAGAGGACAAAATATTTACACATGAATGTCCAATATTTCTTTTAGATCCCACTAATATGAATTCAGAGCGTATTCAGCCGAATGCTTTAGCTTCCAGTTTGTCGTTCTGGAGACAGAAATCACCATTTTCAGAGGAAATTAGAGTTTAAAGCAGCATCTTATTATGTTGGTGGGATTATTTACAGCATTTTCTCTGTTTTATCTGATCACCATCATTAGTGCTGTGCAGTGCACAGATTTTTATAAATCACTGCTGTAAACCTCCAGGTTCCTTCACTTCGTGCCGTTTGTGCTGCATCACTGTTGCTGTTTGTGGGGGCTGCGCCTCCATTAAACATGTTGTCACCTGCTGCTTAATAAAATAAAGACGCTGTAAACGTGCCTGTTGTTTGTAAAGGCCACTTTGTTTTCTGCTATTTTCATACTGCATCAAAGTTTCCACCAGTTTTAGGGAAAAGGTTCAGATTTACACCAAACGTCTCTGAGAACCTGCAGCTGTTTTACTGGGATTTTTTCTCGTTTATCAGCACAAAAATATTATCGTTTTCTTTTCCTGTCCTGGTTTCAGAGCATGAACTCACATCTTTTATGAACAAATACATAAAGTTTTTTTTTTAAACTTAATGTCAGTTATTTAGGAAAAAATATTTTTTCTGCAAAATAATCTCAAACTGTTGATGCTAAACCTTTCTTATATTACTATTTTGTTGTGTTTTTTTTTATTTGAAATATTATTTATTTTTGTTAAATTCTTTTTTGATAATTATCCAGAAAATATAAAAGCACAGAAAAACTGACTAAAAAGTACAACGTTAACATTTTTACTTTCTTTTAAAATACTTTAAATATTGAAACTTGTAGTACTTGTTGAATATTTTTCCCTAATGCAAAGGTCTAGAATATCATCAAATATACCAACTGTATGTATATTTAAATCAAAATGTTGTGCCATTTTAAATAAATAAACATTTGGCTTATTTGTGACATTCAGCATATTAATATTAATAATTCAAACTCTCCACTTATGGCTAAATTTGGACATATAAACTATACATTTATGTAAAAATAAGACCTGAATATTTTCCTGAACAGTGGAATAAATATAGGAAACTAGAAATATGCTGGAATAGTTATTATTTTTTAGCCATATAATAGAAGAAAATACATATTACATCTCTAAATTGGTGAAAAACTAATAAAGAAAATATACATATGTCAACTTATATACAGATATATACCTTAAATTACATACAATAAGAACATTTAATTCTCTGAGTCATCAAAGTCATCCAATAGTGAAATGTAAAATATGTGCTGGAAAAGAAAATAACTGATTTAATAAATTGTTGAATGAAAACAAACATAATTTTTGCTTCATTCTTGTGCAACATCGTCTGTGAAACTCATTTCTGCTGCTGAAGCAAGAATTAAATCACCGTTTTGTGTTAGTGAAACAGCAGCGCCAGCAACTCCAGGATGTTTTTGGAAAGGGTGACAAACCACCTGTCACCTGTTTACCTGAAAACATTACATGTTCCTGCAGCAGCAGGTGGAATAAGCAGACAGCTACCTGACTCATGAGAATAACAAAAATATGGTGGATTTCTGTTTGACTAACAGGCGGGGTTGGCGTCAGCATTTCCTCCACTCTGAATGGGCTTTTTATTTTAAGGATTTCCAGCTGTTAAAGGTCATGACAAGAAAGGTTGCAGCAGATTCATCACGAGGTAAGATTGTGGAAAGATCAGAGAAATTGCAGAAAATCCAAGAGCTCCAAGTGACGTTGATTTATTGCTGCTAAATGTTGAAAAAAAAAACATAGAATAATTAAGTCAAATAAAACAAAATAAAATTGTATTTAAAAAATTTACAAATATTCTTCCCTTTAGATATAGAAGTGAGTAACTGTCAGTTTGAAATAAACTGAATTAATTACAAATTCAGATTAAAAAAGTTATATTTTGGGGGGGCTAATTTACTTATGGTCCTAAAAATTATTGTAAATTAGAGTCCATCTATAAGAACCACCTCTGGAAGGCGACTCTGTTGCATCTATGGCCGTTTTTATTAGTTTAATTTATTAATGTGACCAAAATAATGCAGAGCTGAAGGAACTGACACGAATATTAAACATATTTTTTTGTGACTGAACTCGTCAAAATTAAATTACTGGATTCAGAACATCACCAGTTGTATGTTATACTATATAAACAGAATGTTGTCTTTTTCAAGATCATTTTTATGGCGAAAGGATCTAAATAAATATGAAATGTGTTTATACGAATATATAAATATTTATATATTAGGACGATATTGACCATACAGTTATCCAGCAAGTACACTCACATTTGTTTGTAACGGTTGCGCGGAACTAAATAAAACAACCCATGTTTCCGCCCGGACTTCCGCTGTTTTGTTTTTCCTTGCTGGATAAGGATAGCTTTCCCAGAGTTAATTTTGACGGAATGAACGTTCTTTTTTTTTGTAGTTGTTTTTTTTTTTTTAAACAAACGCCACTTGATTCAAGACACCGATAGTGTATGTACAAACTCATTTGTTCCTAAGAAGATTTTTTAAACCGTTTTTCGGTCTAGAATATGAGCCGGTTATCTTAGGCTAACATATGGTAAATTAATATTATGCTAATTTCTATAAACTCCAACATTTAGTTTCACCGCCAGCTTTAGCGGTTCATGAAACGTTCCGATGTTCATTGAATTGATTTTATGAATACTAGAAATCATAGGACCCTTCAAAATAAAGTTGAGTTTAAACACATTCGAAATACGAGCATCTTCGTACTAACAGGTTCATTTCTGTTGGTCAGCTGTGAGTTTCTCTGAGTTATGAGGTAAACGAAATGCAGTCAACACAATAATAATGGATTAGTTTTGTGTTCTGTTTAAACCCAGTGGAGGTGCAAATGTGCCACAATTCAATTAATAAATAAGTCATTAAATTATAACTTAAATGCGTCCATTAATGAGTAAATGTTCAATAATAAATGACTAATAGGAATTTTTTGGTCTCCCAAAATACAAAGTAAAGTTAAGGACAATAGATAGAAATATCTATTTTGTTTTGAAGAAAAACAATGAATGTATAACTGTTTTACTCTTTATAGAATTGTTTTGTGGTTGTTTGCTTTTGCAATTAGCGTTGCTCATCTGTGTCATGTTAGTATTATTGGCAATTTAACATTGTTTTATTTCTCCACTTAGATGTTAAAGCAGAAAAAAATCATATCTTTTGAGAAAATATGGTTTTATTGTTTTTGTAATAGCCTATACTGTAAATATAATATGGTGAAATTGGGAACTAATCTCTAGTGAAAAAAAATGGTTAAATAAATTTAATACAGGAATAAATTTAATAAAGGACTTTGCACATCTTATCCTTATGTTTGGAATCATCTGTATTTTAGATTAGGGGTGAATGTATATTTTTTTTCACAGACAAACCACAGTCTTTGTTCAAAATTTCCTTACAAACAAACTTAGCTATGATGGAGAAATATTTAACAGTTCAGTTTGTCTGATTGACAAATTGTTTAGGAACTTATAAGAAGTTTATGAAAATACAAGTATTGGAAAACAATAGACATGATAATATGGCTTCTTTCTCTTTCTGTTTCAATTACATGTTCACTCACCCTTAATTTAGATCTGTGTTTCAGTTTTGGCTTTTATCATCGTATATTTGGGCAATTCAAGTCAACATATTTAATTTGCGTTATTCACCATCGTTCCCTTTGTTGTGGGAAAATAAATATTTACCGAAGGATTTCAGTAGTTGACTAAAGTCTGTCATCAATAACAGTTAAATACATTTTGTGTAAACTGTGACATTGCAGTTAGCAAAGCACTGGAGCCACATGCCAGAGTTGAAAACAACCAACCGAAATTCACAGTGTTTATTTAAGTTAAATCTAATTTCGTAAGTGAAGTTTTTGTTTGTTGTTCGTATTTGAACTAATAATGATCTTGAAAAGGGTTCTAAAAGACTTGGGTTGAACTTAATGAAATAATCTGAATAATTTTAAAATGTGCTTTCATTGTTTTTTTCAAATCAGATATGATGAGGACATGATGCACAAACTCAGAAGCTGTGAACTTATCAGACTTCGTTCTAAGATTAATTCAGGCAGCTCAGGTTTTATCCTCCTGTCTTTCTCTCTCTGCTCTGAAGGAAAGTCTGATTAGAAATTTCACGCTTTGGTTTTTACTGAGGAGCTGAGCTTCAAAGCCGCTGAATTCCCGATAGGTGGCGATAATCTGCTCCGGTTGTTATCCTGTTCCAATGTGACAAGCACAATCTTAGTTTGAATAATAATTAAAGTCTCCGGTACGTTTATTTCCCTCTGCAGGTGAATGGCCCGTCTTCTGCCTGATCTCGCCTCCTTCCTGTCCTCGGTTCTTCCCCGCGGCTTCGCGTTGGGCCCTTCGCTGCTGCGTGAAGGCAGCGTGGGGCTTTGGTGGGTGGGTCGCCCGCTGGAGGCTGGAGCCCCGCTGGGGACGGAGGGCGACGCACAGCGGGTCGCCAGGACGCGTTCAGACGGGCTGAGCAATTTCTCTGAAAACGACCAATCAGGAGCTGCTTGTTTTGAGGATGAGAAGGTGAAACTTCATCCTGAAACACATTCAAACTGTTTCTGTCATTCAGAAATGAGCTTCCGTTGCTAATTTACTAAATTATTAAAATATCTTAAACGTTTATTTGACATTTTGTTACAAATAAACAAGAGTTGAACTTATTTAATTAATTACATTTACTTCAGTAACTGTTTTAGGAGTATTTTGTTACACTGTACTTTGAGTAATTTTTTTATGGAGTTTTTCTGTGTTTTGGTCTCAACTAGTTCATTCTTTGAAGGATAATTTTGTTTACAGAGACTTAATTTCTCATTTCATTTGTTATTTTATTTTGTTTATTCATTCGGATATCAGTCAATCAATAAAGTTTATTTGTATAGCATATTTGAGCAATAAAGTAATTTACATCCTAAATTATTATTCTAAATTTAGTTTAAAATGTCTTCCAGATCCAGTATTAAATGTTCATCAGGAATTAAAGTTTATTGATCTTTGAGAATGTGTACTTGCATAATATTACTTGAAAATTGTCTCAAAACAACATTATTGTTTATCGCAACAACTTCTATGACAATTTATTGTCCAGAAACTGGCAGGCCTAAATGCCCATCTCTTCTGGTAGCAGATAGAAATTAAAAAGGAGGGATCCGAATATTGAGCCTTGTGGTACCCTAGGTGTGATTTCTGCCCATTCTGATGAGAATTTACCTATTAAAACAAAGACATTCATGTTCTTTTGGTAAAGCTTGAACTATTTAACTACTGGAACAGAGAGTCCTGTCTGTATGTATGTTACATTCAGTGTCTCTTGATCCAAATATCGTCACTTATCCTGATAGTTTGACAGATTCTGCAGTAAATGTCCATAGATAAAAAAGAACAGACTTGTCGGTGGTGGTTCTGTGAAGGAGTTGCTGAAAGGGAATCACTTTCCTCTGACAGATGAATCTGGAGTTTTTACCCCTCTCCTTGAAATTTCCCTCATTCTTCAATTAATAGCCTTTGTTTCTAAAATCTGAAATCTTTGTATCTGCAGCTGACGCCCATTAAGCTGCATCACATGAAGAGATTCGGTTTCATTCAGAGCTCCTATCACGGATACAATCCTTCAAAGATTTTCTTTATAGTGAGCATATTTTAAAGCCTATAAATAAGAGAAATAGTGAGCACTCTTTATCAAAGATGCTTTTTATTGTCTGTCTGTTAAATGGCCTGAATACTCCATGTCTGAGTGTCTTCCAGACATCAGCTACTGTCAGCCTTGAGGTTCTTCATAATGGCGTCTCGGTTTGGTGCTGGTTTGCAGAAAGAACTGTGAGTCACCGCGCTCAATTAATCTCTGACCCCGTGGGAAGATAACGAAATGATCCTTGTAATTTCCACCAAATGTTCTGCTGAGAAATGTACGCAGAGTCGCAGCGAGGCATGAAAAGATGCAGCAGTGACAGGTTTCAAGGACGCGATATTCAAGGCACAAACGATGTGGACAGCAAGTACTGCTGGGTATATTTATACTGATGCCTATTGTGACCTAGACTGACACATTGTGACCTAGACTGACACAATAGTCAGTCTAGGTCTGAAAAGCCCTTAGACTAAAGAGATTAAAAGTGCCAGATTTAATGTAGCAAAGTGAACAATAAGAGAGAGAATCTTAGGGTCAGAGGTACTTTCTAAGGAAAATGATAAACGATTCTCCTGGGAAGTCTTGGTTTGATTAAACTGGTGGATTTTGGTTTTAGTTTAAGTTTGACATAAAATGCATGGAGTAATTTTTCTGCATCTCTCTCAGCTGACGTCTTCTGGCAAGATAGGTTCCAGAAACTCGTTTAGGATGGCATTGATGATGTTTAATCCACTCTCATCCAACTCCAGTTTGTTTGCCTAGAAAGTCTGGTTTGTTTGAGGAGGTGTGGATGTGCAATCAAACTCTGGACCACATGCAAACCTTGGTCTCGCTTCGGTTGAAGTAAACTCTGGTGGCGTTCGAATGCATATGTGAACACCACCCGGACCGGGAATCACTCTAAAAGCAGAGTCGTCTTCAGAGGTTCTTGTCGTTTTTTTCAGAGGTACAGCGCCCCCACAGGTGAGGAGGGGAACAGGTTTTTCAAAACCAGTGCAGTGAGAAAGACAATGACAGCAGCTGAAATTGTCCCCAATTGAACTGTACAGAGCATTCCAGGGAATGGGAAGTTTTTTTCTTTTGCGTTTCCTCGCAATAATCCACTGATCAGTTCATGCGGCGGCCTCCAGAGTTAGTATTTGCTAAAATGACAACTGAAAATCAGTCACTAAGAGATGTTTGTAGTCTGAATAACTTTTGGATAAAAACAGAGTATCATCAACATATCGAGTAATTTTATTCAGTTTTGCCTAATAGTTGGCAATGGAAAAGCATGTAAAACGAACTGGTGGGAGCATAAATAATAATAAATAATCATCTGTGTTGTGTTTATAGGCACTGATGGGGGGATCAACCACTCAGGAAGCTCCTGTACAAAGAGCCACATGGTTCAAGTAAGTCTTCACAATAATACGGTTTCAAATCAACTTCAAGTCAAAGTCATGCAGATTCTACCGAGAGCAAATGATTAGTGTGAGACATGTTTATTCTCTTTTTCTACCTGTCTGGTGTCATATTTGTTGATCGTTACCAGAGATGCACCGATTCAATATCAATATTTGTCTGTATATTTAAAAAATGTAGATTTGGTATCAGGGCAGATCTAATCAGTCTAATTCTCTGCTTTGTGCTCTGAGCAACATCATGCTTTATTATTTATTTTACATTATATTTAGAATTCATAACTGCATTTCTGAACCATTTGAAAAGTTTGTTAAGGTTTATTTTTATGTTTGACCGAAGTAGTCAGTCTATTGTTTTAATTATTGCACTGACTGACTGAAGTTCAGTTGTTTTCCATGTCTGATCAAGACATGGAAAAGCTTGTGGAGCTACTGGTGCATTTAAGTGAGCTGTACTGGTGCAGAGTTACCAACATCTGAGTTGAAAAAAAAACAAAATTTTAAGTGAATTCATCAGTTTTTCTGAATCGGGTCAGTATCAGCTGAAATTAAGCCTCAGATATCGGTATCGAAAGTGGTAAAAGAAGTGGATCAGTGCATCCCTAATTCTTACTCCTGTTGAACTGTTGAACTCTGTGTTTCCCTCGGATGTTAACGTGACACTTTTTGGCCCTAATTTGTTTCTTGAACCCCAGAATAGTGCCGACTCCACACTTTGGCTCAGCGTTTCAGCTTGAGCTTTTTTCATGCTTCTGTTAACTTCAAACTCCAGATTTTAGTTTCTAAGAATGACACATTGACACACAGTCTGCATAACATCTGCTCTTCTGAGGCGTCCTGATGAAAAACTGCCCCAGTTTTCTTCCCCACAGAGTCAAACAGGAAAAAATATCATGCACCACCATGTTCCTTTGATGAGCCACTTAGAGACATAAAATAAATATTTATCCTGATATCCATACAGCCTACTCTTCTCATAATATGGACTTTTATTCCCATGCCATCAGCGGCCTCCTGCTGCGTTTCATTCCACGGATGCTTTAATGCAATCTGAGCTACATTCAGTTTGTCACCGTTTGTTTTTCCCTCAGCTTTGCCTGTCAGGCGCAGTGCCGGGCCCAGCAGAACCTGGTGGTGCGGTGCGCCTGCAGAGGGGTGTGTGGCGACGGGTGTGCGGGTGTGTGTGTGCGCGCGTGTCAGGACATCCATCCTGGAACGGAGCTGCTGGTGTTCGATGAGGCGGAGGGAAAAGGTCAACCAGGTGAGTCCAGCGATTTCACAGCTGATTTATAACCCTGACTGGGCCTGTCACGGCTACAAAGTGCTGCAGAATTTATTGTGATGAATAACAATATTGTTGTTTTGAGACCATTTTCAAGAACTGTAATGGGGATTTCAGAGTAACAATGCAAAAAGTGAACATTTAACACTGGAGCTGGAAGACATTTTAAATGTCCAAAATGAATAAGCAAAACTGCAGAAACAACAAATAAAATTGTGATCAGGCTAAGATTGGCTAGCTGTTGGTCAATCAGCCAAAACTATAGATTCAGTTTGTCATGGGTTATCATGAGATGAATAAAAGTTTTTTATTTCTTTGCTCTGCGTTCATGTCGAACTGCCAGGAAGTTGCTCCGTTTCCATGATAAAAATGTACAAATCTTTCTGTTAATGTCAAAAGTTGTTTTTGTTTTTTTGAAACTGCGTTGTTTCTATTAAATAAAACATAAAATTAAAAACATGCCTGAAGAACTTTGTTCACAGGGTAAGTCGTTAAAAATGAAAGCAGCGACGATTAAAGTCTTCAGTTTGCTGCTTTGGTCTCAACTAAACCTTATTTTGAAGGACAATTTTGTTTACAAAATCTTCAAAATTCATTGTGTTTGTTGGTTCTGTTTGTTGTTTATTTATTTTGCATATTTAAAAACTTCCAGTGTTAAATGTTCATTAGAATTTAAAGTTTATTGATCTTTCAGAATCTTTTCTTGCATTGAATGACCAGAAGATTATTATTATTTGTCAAAAAAAAGAAAGTTTTTATCTTGACAGATTTTTCTGTGAGAAATATTTATGACTAAAGTCTTTCGTGTTCGTGGAGTGAGCTGTGTTTCATATTTTTAAATGATGTATTTGGTTTTATTGTGTCAGTGAGACTTTAAATAAAACCCTTAACGTTGATGTCAGACGACCATCTGGTCGCTTCATCTCCGGAGTTGTTTCAATAAAGCTTTTATTTTCAACCTTTAATACCCACAAAAAATTCAATTCAGAGAGATTTTCAACACAGCTGGATGCTCGACGAGAGAAATATTAACGTTTAAAATCAGCGTGCTAGATTAAACCCGAAATGAAGATGAAATCTGGTCATAAATAATAGTCAAGAGGAATAATTTTATTATCAGATAAATGAAAACTCAAGCAAGAAAACAAGGCCATTAGTTTGTCATGTTAGAAATGGACGCTCTCTGCTAATCCTTCATTGTTTCTGCTCTGCAGCTTTTAAGAGCTGCGATTGATGCGACGATGAGGAGCAAAGCCCTGCAGCAGCGCGCTGTGGATATCTTATTAAACCAGCTTCCCTCTCTTAGCACGCTGATTCAGACAGATTGGGACTGTAGATCTGAAATGTGTCTTTAAAAACAATTGGAAACACTAAATTAAAGATAATAAGATAGGCGGTGGATGGCTGCAGGGAAGTCATGTTGGATTTGAAGAGAAACTGGAGGGAATATAATAATAATGTGAAGAAATGAGCTTTGAAATGATGAAAGAATGAAAGGAAGAAATGAAACTGAATGCAAACATTAGAAATCATTTCTTCATACATCTGCATACTAAATAAACATTTTATGTGATGAGAGGGTTGAAACAATTTAATTCACAGAAGCAATAAGTTTTTCAAATTAACCAATTATTAAACAAAGTTAATTGGCTGCTCTGTTTGTTGTTTTGCTGCATGAGCACAGAAACATCCAGTGGCAGGAAAATCATCAGGAAGAAACTAATAAAATGTTCCCTGCAAAAGGATTCAGGTTGAAATCGTTTTGTTACGTTACAACCATAAACATTGATCTTTTTTATTGTGATATTATACTGCAGACAATACAAAGAGGTGAGATGAAGGAACTTCAGTAAAATAACGTTAGTTTTGAACTCCACAGATCTGATCTTTATGGAAAGGAATGTCTTTGGTGAAGCAAACTGATGGTTTTCTACTCAGAGGAAACAAAAACTAACTTTTAACCTGCAGTGGAATCTCTGAATACAAATTTAATATCAAAAAAATTTCATAAAGCGAATTACCGTATTTTCTGGAATATAAGTCGCTCCAGAGTATAAATCACATCAGTCAAAAATGCATCAAGAGGAGGAAAAAACACACATTCCTGGAAGGAAGGACTCCAGGAAGGACTCCAGGCTGCGAGTGGCAGAACCAGACCGAACTATGACAAACCGTGAGAAATATGATATTATGTTGAATATTTTCCTTCTGAAACAATGATCCGCATCAGATTGAAGGAAATACAAATTGTTTGTTTGAAACTTGCACGACTCCTTGCCTCAGCCGATTTTAGCAAAATAGTGGAACCAGTTCTGGATAATAACATAATAATATATTTTGGATGGTAGCATTTAAATGCAAGGAAATAAAAACACGTTTGTACGGAAGAGGACTAGGGTCACTGAACAAGTAACTTTTTTTCTCAGAATTCAAACAATTTTCTCTGAATTGTGACTTTTTTTCAGAAAGTTCAGACTTTAATCTTCTGAAATCAAAAGTCTTTTTTTTTTCTCTGGTCCTAATTCTCTTCCATACATTTCTGGTATTTCTGTTTCTCATATTTCAGAGGATTCACTTGTTTCAACAATGTCAGTAAAAGTGCCAAAAACAGTGTATACTGCAACGAAACCTTTGCTCTTTTCTCCCTGCTATGCATTGGATTCGCTGCTGCATCTCCACTGATGTAGCAGAAAATCAGACGTAGAACAACAAAGAAAACAGCCTGGAGCTGCAAAGAGTGGAGCGTCCTTGAACATCAGTTCATGACTGCAAGGCCATTCTGCACATTTTTATGTGGAGGAAAATTTGTCCTTGAGACTTTCATTCATTTTTGATTTGTAAGAATTTGTTAGGAGTCTCCAAGTCAGGAAATTATAACAATGGATCCCTGTTAGCTGGGCCTGACAGCCAGGAAGCTGCTCTTTAAAATGAAAAGCATTTTAAATCAGCGAAATAATTAATAGATCTTATAGGAATATTTAAAAAAATAATTATAACTCATACAAAATGTTGATTTATTTATAAAATGTACAATCATTAAGCATTTCATTTGTAAGTATGTTGCTTCTTAATGGCTTCTCCTTTTAAAGCCTGACTTCTGTTCAGCTTTTATGAGGGTTAATTGTTAAGAGTTTCATTTCTTTCATTGCTTTGTGAGTGAAAGTGCATTAGAGGAAGTTTTTGCTTGAGGAATTTGAAAACGTCCTTTAACTGCACGTCTGGTGACGTATCCATGTGAATTTAAAATGCCCTTTAACCGAGCTAAGAAAAAACTTTGGTGTCTTAAGATGTTCCATGTCTTGTTGAACAGATACGATTATGAAGCAGGAGCCAGAGAGCAACAAAATAATCACTCTGGGAGAGGAGAAGCTCAAAGAGAAGAAGCAAACTCTGCAGGATGAGGAAGATCATCGCAGACAGACCCCCCGTGTCACCAAGCCTCGTCCTTCCTCTGAGAGGAGGATGAGGATGAGGAAAACTGTCCCATGTGACCCGAACTCAGACCATGAGAAAGAGCAGGACAGGTTGACAGACAAACCAAACCTTCCTGCTCCTCCGCCTGTTCGCTCCAGCTCCCGTCTGGCTGCTAAACCTCGGCGGTTTCACTGCATGTCCGCCGGATCGAGGCGCCATCCTGCGTCCAACTCGTCCAAATTGACCGAGGGACAAAACAAAGACTCAGCCGAGGCGCCCGAGGTTTCCCCGGCCGCCGAGTGGCAGCCAGTGACTGGTACCGTCAGAGAGAGACGGTACCGGTGTTCCAGCTGCGGGAAAAGGTTCTACCAGCTCGGTCACCTCCGGAAACACCAGTTCAGCCACACAGATGAGAAACCCTTCCGCTGTCGAGACTGTGGGAAAAACTATACCTCATCGGAAAGTTTCAAAGCCCATCAGGTAACAGATACAGAAATTATGTTTGTTTTATTTGTAAGTTTAAATTAAACTTAAGGAAAGGATAATTAGATTTAGCCTGCTGCTGCTTTGAAGCAAAAGAAAACAAAACCGACATCACTCCACTGAGAGTTTATGCATGTTTGTAAAATTAACACCCTGGTCATTCTGGTCATTTGTTTTCACAAATGTTATATTTTCTGTTGTGAACTCACCATTTGCTTAAAAAAAGTTTCTTTAAACAAAGTCAAATAAGAATGGAACAGCTGCTAAACAAACTTCAAAATTACAGCATGCATATAAATGTCTAATGACATGAAAAATAATTAAACCTTCAACACAAATATTGAACTTTATTCAACGGACGTTTACAAAACAGCTAAATAAATTAGATTTTTAAATTAGCTCTGCTACTGGCACGTTAGCGAAAGTGTTCCCTCTACTCTCTGGAGAAAAAATACAGAGAAAATATGATGTAAACATGTATATCATAAAATCACCATTAGATACATTTAAGTTTATACTTAACAGAAAGAAAAAGGGTCTGAATGCCAGGCAGCTCAACCAGTAGTAAAACACGAGATGAAATATGCGATTCTGAAAGAAAACAGTCTGGAGTTTTTCTCTAAAATCGTTTTCCTCTGGATGATTCTCTGTTGTCGTGTCGGAGAAAAGAAGAGGTGCTGAGACAAATGATTTGTTTTTAGTTGAGTCACAGAGGCGAGCGGCCGTTTTCCTGTCCTCACTGTGAAAAGACGTACGGCCTGAAGCGAGACCTGAAGGAGCACCTGGTCCTGCACACCGGAGAGAAACCCTACACCTGTGAGAACTGTGGGAAATCCTTCGCACGACGCCCCTCGCTGCGCATCCACCGCCTGCTGCACTGCAGCAGGAAGGTCTACATGCTGTCGCCAAAGGTAGCAACAACCAGGATGGTTGTATTTCTCATCACAAATATGCACAAATCTTTGTCTTTATTCTGCTAAAGTTCAAAAACACAATTTAATGATTGCAGTGTTTCAATTAAATAAGAAATCATGACCTGCACAGTGTCTAAATAAAAGACAAAATCCCTCTACTGCTTCCTGTCTTCTACTTCATCGTTTCCACCAGAAATATTCGGATGTTGGTCATGTGACAAAGTGTTTCCTTTGCAGCTTTGTGATTCGTTCAACATGATGGAAAAACCATCCCATCCTAGAAAAAAATATATGTTTCATTTCAGACAATTAATTTTTGTAATTTCAATTTGTGCAGTCATATGGATACATTTAAATGAAGCTCCAGACGCCTCTCCTCTCCTGTTCAAATTGATTTGAATCCCAGCTTGTTTATTCCCAACCAGCCTTCTGACCCGTTTTCTCCCGTCTCTCCCAGGTGCAGTGCTCCGTCTGCTCCAAGGAGCTGGCCAACCCCAACTCCCTGAGGACCCACATGAAGCTGCACACCGGGGAGAAGCCGCACATCTGCCAGCACTGCGGGAAGCGCTTCAGACAGAAAGGTAACGGCGGCTCTGATCGCTTCCGTGTCTCTGATAGCCGGAAACTACAAATGACATCCGTCCATCAATCCAAAAGTAGTTTTGTACAATAGGATATTTCTTTCATTAAAACCTATTTCCACCGATCAAACAGCGTTTTGTTGCAGACTGTAAATGTTTTCTGATGAGAAGAAAGCAGCGCTCAGACTTTCCTGGAATAATGTGTCTGTAATTCACTGCTGACCTCCAGATGCACATCATTTTACCGCGTGATGAATCATCCCCGTTCATTTTCTGTCAGATCAGAACAATTGAACTGATAAGTCTAGACAGTCAGCTCCGCTTTAAAAACCCTCACAAAGGTGTGATCATTTTTCTTCTCAAAACTAAGAACAGAAATTATTTTTTTTTTAATGAACAACTTGGCAGATATTTTTAGCCTTCAGTGCAGACATTTGTTGACCTCCTGACTTGGACCAAACTGTTTTTTCTCTTTTTAGCTTCAGAGGAAACTTATTTGATCGGTTCCTGCTGTCTCCCATCCAGCACTGACTACTGGGGTTTTATTTAGAGGCTGATGTGTTTCACATTGTTGGACAGATGACTCTTCATTCATGCCTTCCTGTCTGTCGGCCTCAGGGAACCTGGAGAGCCATCTGAGGGTTCACAGCGGGGAGAAACCGTTCCACTGCCCCGAGTGCCTGCAGACTTTCACTCAGAAGTCAGATCTCCAGCGGCACATGTTCACCCACGCTGAGGGTTTCTCTGTAGCTACTGTGGGAAATCTCTGAGGGACCCCCACAGTCTGAGATACCATGAGCGGCTGCACACCGGAGAGAGACCCCATCGCTGCTCAATCTGTGGCAAAGGTGAAGATGTCACTCTGAACACAATCAAACAAGTTCTGCATGTAGAGAAAATCATCTCATATCTTCCTCCTTGTTTTTCTGAGCCCAGATTGATTTTCCGTCCCCTTTCAAGCGGAAAGAACAGTTTTTTTATTTTTTTTATTATGGTTGTCATGACTCCAAACTAAAAGTAAAGAGAGTTTCATAGGCTTTTGAAAAAATAAGAGATTTCTAACAAAAGATAAAAACGATCCACATTGTTGCTGTAGCCTCATTGTTGAGGTGAAGGATGATTATCAGCAGGAAACTTTGAAGATCAAGGAGTTTTAAGAATCCAGTAAAAGAACATTTACCCTAATCAGACTGACGGATTTAAATCTTCAGTTACTGTTCAGCCTCCATCCCATCAGCTGTTTCCACCCAGCCTGAAATGGTAGCCAGGGGTGTGAATAATTTTGAGCTGAACTGCATTTCAATTTTAATACAGAGGCTTTAACAGTGGATTACCACGCTTTAATCTGCTAATCCACTAATAGCAAACTAATTTATCTTTGAAAACATTTGTTGCACTTATCAACAAATGTTGCAATATTCTTAAAACTCTAAAAGCTAATTTACGTCACGACATCGTTCCAGACAGTTATGGACACACTTCTGCGAACCCGCTAATAGCAGCTAATTTTTGTGTAGCGCTTTTGCTAACTTTGAAAACATTTGTTGCACTTAGCTTCTGCAAATGCATTTTTCCAGATAAATGCTAAACCACTCATTTACTTGATTGTTTTGTAAACTTTCAGTTGAATGAAGTTCAACATCTGTCTTGAAGTTTTGGTTATTTGCATTTATGTTCAGACTCTTATTTTGAAGTGATTGTTTACGCAGCAGTTCTATTTCCTTTCCCTGTGGTCTCTTTTTCCCAAATCCATCCCACAGTTTCCAGGTTTTTCTTTGTAAAAAAAAAAAGGTGAAAACCATGAATCATTCTTAAGATAACATTGTCGTTCTATTACATAATATCCCAATAAAATACATGAAGTCTGTGGCTGAAACGTGATTAAATGTATTCAGTGGCGCCCTCTGCAGGTTGTTCTGTGTCTTTTAGACTAGTTTTATCCCCAAGCCATCTGTTTTTGACTGCTGTCCTCAGATTGAGACGGACAACTAGATTTATATTCAGAAAAGTATTGTGCTTATGAAAAGAAAAAATGCAAACAACCTTCAGAAAATTTTAAGCACTGCTGATCAGCACTGCTTTGGCATAAAATATAAAGAAATTAGATGCACCTTGAACTTCCTCACTGTTATTTATTGTAAAGATGTTAAGTAGCTTGTATTTTAAAACTTTGAGAGACATTTGCATACATTTTATGCCTCAATTTTGTCCTTTCATCATGGAGTTAGAGGAGTTTCAGGGCAGAAAAACTGCAGCTGAGGCGAAGCAGCGACACATGAGTTGATGATAAAGCCAGTTGGGGGGGTGAAGCACAAACCGGCACAATTCCCCGACCTCTTCCTCCTCCAAGCAAGCGGCGCCGTTTATCTCGCCCAGCAGGCTGCAGACGCTCTGTCCTGCATGCATGATTGGAAAGCACAAGCTGCTGATGACTCCGCACATGTTCACAGATTCTGTTCATCAAACGTTCATCAGTAAAAAAAAACTTGTCTGCTGACTTCACTGGTTTCATTAACAATAAAGTTGGAAGCAAATAAGATATTTTCTGCCTCATGTGCAGAAAAAGCTGTAGAAAATAGATATTTCTGGTCCTGGAGACACTCGACTGTGGAGAAATGTATATTTATAAATGTATAAATGCTTTTGCATGTTCGTCAAAAAATTTATATATTTTGTTTTTGCTTTCCTTTATACATGCATTTTTGTCAGTGATGACGTCAAGCAATCAAATAGAATGTTGTCCTGTTCTATTAGCTGTTACTGAAAGAAAATGTATGAATGAGAAAATGCTTGTAGAGAACAAATCAATTCCTTTTTAAATAAGATTTTATTACTTAAATGCTAAAGGATTCAAATAGCAACTTTAGTCTTAAGCTTGAGGTTTGAAAAACTTTTCAAGTGCAGAAAACATGAGAAATAAGATATTTAACCCTAAAAAATTCAAAAGCAAACCTAACTTGAGGCATTAGTAAACACTGCCTTTTATATTTTCTAAATTAATAAAGATTAGTTTAGACTAACCAATTAGACATTCAGTCAGATATTAAAATAATCATTAGTTGGAGTCCAATAAAGCAAGAACTGTGTCTGTTTCCTCCTCAGGCTACACCATGGCGACCAAACTGAGGAGACACATGAGGTCTTCCCACCTGAAGGAGAAACCGTACAGTTGCTCCTGCGGCGCCTCGTACACCTTGAGGCAGAGTCTGCTTCGGCACGAGGCTCAGCACCGGCCCAAGACAGAAGGACCGAGCAAAGCAGGTCCAGAGGAACCGGTGGGTTCGGGCTGCAGCCACCTGAAACCGACCCGAGGAAGACCGAGGAAGACCGGGCTTCACCTGGAGACCAGAGGAAAGGATGAACCGCGGGAAAAAGACGAGGAAACTCTGAAAACATCAGAGGCTGCAGGCGACGTCCAGCACACCGTCATTTTTACGTCCACACAGACGAGCTGCCTGCAGGGGCGCAGCCGGAGCTGGTGGAGGTGCTGCTGCCTGACGGCGCGGAGCAATGCATTCTGGTCCAGGGGCAGCAGCGGCTGGGAGAGCTGCTGATCCTGCAGGAGGAGCCGGACGGACTCTGCAACGTGGCGGAGACCATTGAGATAGACACGGTGTAACCCGAAGCCTGAGGACGCCGACGATCAATCAGGTGATCAATTAATGAGATCACCCTTCCATCAGCCGACCTCGTCTGCATTTCACCTCGTTTATTAGGAAAAAATGTCTTTGAGGAAACTCCAGTCAACAGATGTGAATGAATTGAAGCTGATTAACTGCTGATACTCAGTTTTCATGAACTTTGTGCCGTTTTTGCTGTCAAAGGGGCAGAACTTTGTTAAACTGACGTTTTTATGTTAAACCCTCGTCAGAAACACCTGGAGTGTGACATGCTTCTTCCACGCATGTTTGAGAAGTAGTTTAATTTCTATGACAACCAGTTTAGCCGGTGTTTTCGACTGTTTTGCAGTTTTATGGAAGTTTGTTCCAGATTAATGAAGCATAAAGTTGTCTAGATATTTCTGGGAGTCTTTTAATCCTGGAAATGTTCTTCAGGTGGCAAAAAATCTACTTTGTAGATGAATTTATGTTTCTGGAGGTTCCGGTCTGAGTTTTAAAACTCAAGAATTTTATTTAATTTATTTCTCACCATGAAACAAACTGGTGCAAATAGAAAAAGTTGAACATTTTTATTACTTTTTAGTAAAACTTATGTTTATTTTTTTACAACAAAACCAGGATTTGGATCAGTATTTATTTTTAAAACATTAGTTGTGTTTTGTTGTGGTTTTCTTTATTTTATTAATAAAATGCAGATTTGAGTGCACTCTCATCTAAAAGATTATGAAAATTTGCCAAAAATAAAGCAAAACGCGTAATTTTGAATAGATAAAAACTTTTTGTTTCTAACATTTTAATCTCAAAAGAGTCTTTTACTCTAAGACTTTTACATGTTGTTCATTGATGTTTTCCATCCAATCAGACTGAATTTGATCTAGTTTGCAAAGAGGAAAGGACTGAAAACTTCAGTCTGTAGATGTTTGAAGGAGGTGGAGACAAAGTTCAACCGGGCTGAACATAAATATTTGTATCAAATGAAATACTGAGACATTTCTGGTTTCGGTGTGAAAACTTGGCAATGAATAGTTTCAAGGCTGTATGTTTGGTTTATTTTTAAATAAACCTTTGATTGCTTTATTTAGCTGTCAGAAACTTACTGTCAAAAAATAAATAGGCCTAAAATAAATTTAAAAACACATCAGTAATGTTCACATCTCAGAAAAGCCAAGCGGATGGAAATCTTTTATCAGATGGAGATAGCACAACTTATGCATCAAAGCCTTTTCTGTAAAAATGAAAATAGCTCGTCGTGATCTGCAGCGTTGAATCCTCTTCCTGCTGCACGGTGACAAACACTCAGAAAGCTCTCCATGCTGAAGTGACTGCAGGAGAAACCTGTAATTAAATGCCAGCCTTGTTCAGGAGGACCTTGTTTCCAACTGCAATGGATTTCATGTGTTGCATAATAAAGAGTCCAGCGAGTATTATTTCTGTCGCTCAGAAATGCGTGAGTAGGAGTTGAAAAAAGGATCGCTCAAGGATATTGTTCTTTGAAAATAAAAGAAATAGAAATCAAAAGAAGCTGCACACATTGGGTCTCCATCGGGTTTTAAGGCATTCGCCATGTAATTGTGGTTTCTGTGTTTGGAGACGGAAGCTGCAGTTTGTCTCTCCAGTGTCTCACCGGTGATGAGAAGCAGCCAGGCAGAAAATCCCTCAAAGTCTGGAAAAACTACTGAAAAACTGCAAAACAGCCGAAATCAAGACTAAAAACCCAGATATTTAGAATTGATCCACATTGATGAGTTTAATGACAAACACTGCAAAAACTCAAAATCTACCAAATATCTTTGTTCAACTGAAATAAGACAAAAATAACTTGAAATGACTTCAGCAAGATTAACTGCTTGTTTCCATCCAATAATTCCTGAATATCAATGGGAAAGTTTCAGTTTCATCGTCACCAATAACATGAGGAAAACATCTTGCTATAAGTGAAATAATCTTCCAATTGGAACAAGATGTTTTTCATCAATGTTAAAACAAACTTCTATTTCCTGCTGAAGTTATTTTTTATTTAGTTTAAATTAGACTAAATAAAAAGCTCACCTTATTGAGTTTTTGCAGTGTAATGTCTGTTATAGGTTTTCACAGTTGTTGACTATATGCTATATTTATGATATGATGTAAAGCACTGTACAAATAAACTT